AAGCCTGAGCATGTTGTTGCAAGGACAATGGTCCAGTCAACATTTGTGCCAAGTTTGATTAGTGTTGAAGCAGTTTTTATAGTATTATAGCAATTTGAACTTGTAACGGGAGACTTTTCAATGAAAACAGCCATTTTTCACAAAATGCTCATGAAGCAATGGGTTAATAGGGAAAAACAAAGCAAAGGAAAATGTATAAACAATGTGTCAATCGATTTCTTATGCAAAGGAATAGCAGTCTGGTCATCCAAAGGTTTAAGCCTCAGTCTATGCGGTATTACTGCTTAATATGTATAATGCTGGGCAGAGCTTAGCTGTTATCTTGCTTGACAGGACTTTCACTAAGTTTCAAAATTTGTAAGTCAGCGACTGAAAATGCCAGACTTTGGAAGTCACATTATATTGGTAAAGCACAAATCAAAATCTTGAGTAAATGACTCCCAAACTTCCACAAATGAAGCCCTGACTAGACCCAATATGGTTGATATTTTTCTTTGTAATTTATTTCTGCCAACATGTAGATAGTGTAAACAAATTATAAAATGCAGACTTGAATTTATGTAATAGTACTGTATATATGGATATAATCTCACAGCAACATAGCAGATTCTTATACAAATAATTACAATGTTAATGAAACAAAGTGAAAACTCACCATTCCAGGTCAACGAGACCCCCTTGTATTGCTATTTCAGCTTTCACTCGACTGGCAAAACTCACTGAATCTTCACCATCCTACATGGTGACAACAAGTTTACAGTAGTATTTTATATAAGTATGGAAATACATCTGGAGTTTATCGCTAGTAAAACCTTAATTTGCTACACAATATCTGCACAAGGTTTGGGCTTAAAATTAGTCATCATAGACAATCTGCCATATTTTACCAGTTTCCACCAAAATCAACAACAAAAGAATCGGGTCCAACAAAACAAAAACTGTTCTTAGCTTCCAGCTTTTTAGAATGTTTTAAGCAGAAATAGACTTAATTGTTCAAATTTATTCAGGCTAACAATGAATGCCAAACCTTAAGGTCACATGCTTTTATCCTGTAAGTATGAAGTTACAAGACAGTAAGTCTTCGACAGTTTCAGACCAATAAAATGAATTCTTGATAAACATATTTTTTTTTCAATGATGTAAAAACTAAAAATTTAAAGCATTCAAAATCACTTTGATGCTCTTGTAAAACATTCAAGCCAAGTCTTAAATTTCAATGAGGGTCTGTTTGTTTTGTTTGATTGGGCACCTAAGTAGAACCACAGACGTTCCGTTAGCTAACTGGACAGCTTCCTCACATGAAAAAATCCAAAGTCCCTGTCAGGATTCCAACCCACAGCGGTAAGGGGCAAGTGGTTTGAAGTCAACTACCTTAACCACTCGGCCATGGATGCCCCCAATGAGGGTTTAACACTAAACTGCAATAGAATCATCATGATGGGCAATTAAGCAAAATTTTCAAAACAAGGGCTAATAACTTGAAAACAAGGTTGGGGATATTTATTTCTTTAAACTTAAAATGTTTCTGTTATTATGCAAAGTTAAAATAAATTCTATAAGACCGTTTTCATTCTGCATGTAGTATGTCTATTTGCAACCCTAGCATACACCTTTACAGGAATAGGAATGTGCTTCTTTACATGAGTAAGACCTAGTCTTCACTAACAAGAAAATCACTCTTACACTGACTTGTGTCTACTACTCTTGCTTTGAAATTAGGAACAGTCATAAAATATAAACTAGTCTGACTACACAGGAGTTCAGGCTGGCATGACTATATTGATGGATAGATCTTCACTCAAATAGTTAGCATGTAATGATCTGATCAGTTTAGTTTTGCTTTGTAATAGGAACAGCCCGAACAAAGTTTGATGGATTTTAATATCAAAAATCAAAATTGTGCAAGAAATAAACAGGTCAGACTGTATAGATGTGGCAAAATACTAATTAAGCTTCCATTAATGTAGTGACTGTGTTAATATGCATTACCAATCTTTTCATAGGAGGCAGGTACCAGACATCAACTACTAAAGCCCAGCTGGTCATGATGCGAAATATGTGAAATATCATACTATCTTTACTACTGTTCCAAAATGCATCTCCAAATCTACTATCATACTGTAATAAAAACAATAGTATTAACATTTCATAGCATTATTATTATTATTGTTCAAATTATCTGACAGAGAAGGCTTAGACAACCAGGAAGCTACAGCTGTAGAGTTGTTGAACAAAGAGATTTTTATCCCTCTTCCAAACCAACACTGTAAACGTCATTAGGTAACTTTCCAGCATTACTGGTGAAGGAAGACCTCATGTGCCCCTGAAGGCATTTTCTTTCACGCACAAGCTAGCTTCCATGTAAAACCAAGACCTTTACTAAAACTTTTCGACATTAAGATAGCCTCCTAATATTGAAGAGTTTAATATAATCTATACAACAGATACTTTCATACCCAGCATGTTTAAATCTGGATAGAAATTAATTAAGATCAAGGGGGTTAACTGTTACTGTTCTACTAATCATTGTGGAACTTGCTTGACTTTCCATTTGTTTTTTATTTCTGCAAAATTTACCTAGTGATCTTCAATTTTTCTTTTACTTTTTGATAAACTAAGAATTTTCTTAAAGTGGTATTAAATGAGATTGTGTATAGTGTTAGACAATATAAACTTACTTTAACAGCTACTGGATAAACCACAGGAGACACTTCAAATCCTCCCTTTTTAAACATCATAACTGATGTGTTATTTATACATGTCCCTAAAATTGTGAGCAAATATCATAACGCAATGTTTTGACTTACACAAGGACAATTGTTAGGTCCAAAATATATTTAAAATTCACAGTTACAGAAAAAATATCAGAAGATTTTAAGTAAAATTACAATTCTAACAAGCCAAGGGTTGTCCAGCAAAGCTTAAGCTAAGCAGCCAGAAATACGAAATCTGAGCAAACTGTTAAGATATGACACCTGGCTCTATAGACTATACTGGCAGCAATAGGAAAGAGGTTATCAGCAGTTGAATTTTTGCAATTTATAAGATACAGTACTGTACTTAACTTTTGTACTGCATCAAATTAGATCAGTGAAGATCAATGTTCAACCCTATACCTGAAATCCCTTAAACTTTAAATGTAATATTCTAAATTCAAAGCTGGGTAAATACATCAATACATTACATTTAGCAGGTTAAGTGTTTATTTACATTTATTAAGGGGACGAATCACCAATTTAGATCAGCTTTTTATTAAATATCTTTCATAATAATGGATTCTCTTAGACTATACAGCATAAATCTTAAATAGCAAGCCCTCAACTTGGCTGTTACTGATTGTTTAGTGAGGTTCCTCTGATTTTCTACAATCTTTTCTAAACTAATTCAGTCAATAAAATGTTTTGTACAGTACAACATGCATGTGTGAATTCAAGTGAATTAGTAAATAAAACATGATGTAAATTCAGAGAGATGTCACACCTAAGTCTTTTAGAATTGAGGAAACTGCTTTCTTTTTATGGGCTTCTGCACTTTACTTGAAGAAAATTTAATAAAACACCAAAAATTTGCTTCTAGTTTCTTTTATGCTGCAAAAAATGAATTAAAAACATGACTTACCCTCGGGAAAAATTAAAATTGGTAGCTTGTGTTGATCCTCAACATGCTCTTGCATTCTGAATTGTTATAAATTTAACAATGAACATTTTTGCTCAGGTTTATACGAAAATGAAAATATTTCAAAGGTTTAAGATAGTTCACAATAACAGGTTCACATTTGACTCCAGCTTAAAAATGGAACTGCTAAAACCTTATAAGCCCAGCACATAGATCAAAATTTACAGAAAAATTATTTGAAAGATAAATCAATAAAATTAAATCATCTAATTAAATCATCATTATTCTGAGATAAATTTTTTTTTTGAGGATTAATTGTTTTGATTGTTATTGAAATTTTTAGCAGATTTATCCCAGTTCACTAATGAATGCCAACAAATAACAATACATGTAATACCTTTTAGAGACGACTAAACGGTCTTTAATTTCTGATCTCTCGAACCAGATATGTGATGTTGCTCGAGATAAAGCTCTCTGCATGATGCCTAGAAACCCTGAATGTGACTGGCCAACCTATAATACACAGTATTACAAATATACATCTCTGCATGATGCCTAGAAACCCTGAATGTCACTGGCCAACCTATAATACACAGTATTACAAATATACATCTCTGCATGATGCCTAGAAACCGTGAATGTGACTGGCCAACCTATTATACACAGTATTACAAATATACACTCATTTTCCTATAGAGCAAGCTTACTGACTGCTAGAGTAGTCTATGCTTCCCAAAGGACCATCTCACTTACAATCCAATGTTTATTCATTTATTATCAACACTTCTGGTACTTATAATTATTGCTAAGTCCTTAAGACAAAAGATCTTTAAAGTAAGTTATTGTGGAAGAAACAGTTGACACCTAGAAGACTGATAATAAAATCAAAGGAATGAAGATGATAAATATTGAAATAGGTTTTTTTTTGTCTTAAATTTCCATATACAGTATCTGCTACTTTAAAATCATAAATAACTAAATCCTTTAAGACTATACATATCACTAAAGGCGTTGGATTCTCTTGAATATACACATTTGTCAACCTTATTTTTTTAGCACTGATAAACTAAACCAAGTGACCCATAACTCTACCCAAAGTTAGAGGAGCACCAAACATAGCAGTCAATTAAAGCTGTATTAATAAGTGTGAAAATCTTTTTATAAATTGGTGACCTTAATCTTGACCAGAAACAACACACAAAGTGAGAGAACCATCCAAGATATCTATCTACCAAAGGAAGAAGTGGTAACTATATGCTTCCAGATTTTTGGGGGTGCATAAAAAAGTGTTTGAATTTATGTGTCAGACAAAGCAATCAGGATCTGTCCCAATTAGAAAAAATCCACAAGCATTCTACTTACCATCGCATAGCAGTTATCACTACTGAGTATGACAACATCAAGAGGTGATGTGTGATTAGCTACACATATACCACTTCGTGGACGGTGCTCTAAACTGAAATCATGATAACAATTACTGTAGTATATGCCCATTTCTATACACCTACATTAGAGTATAAATCATTTTTATACACAGAAATAGTTCATAAAACATGAAAACCTTGAATTTTATTCCAGACAAATTTGGGCAACCTGAGTAGCACCATAGACCTTCCATAAGTTAACTGTATAGCTTTGTCACATGAAACAAACCGACATTTACAGTTGTGATGGGGAAGTAATCTGGAATCTTCAACCTTACCCATTCAGCAACAGACTCTTGTCTAGCTAAAACTCTACACTTATAACCATGGCAAGAGTATAAATTCTTTCATCCACATTGGATTTTCTTAAATTACTACTGCACTACTAAATTTCTAAATATTATTATCAAAATAATAAAAAATACCTTCTCAGTAATAGTTTCATGCATAACATTGCTCAGACATACTTACTAATTAAACGTTACAACAGCAGACATGGCACGACATAGTATTCTATGAGCCATTAAACTTGAAATTCTGTTTAAAAATCGTTTTTGCCTGAAAAGAAAAATTACATTATTTACAAAAAGATGCTCTCCAAATACTCCAAAATATCACACGATGGTGGCAAAATATATATAGTATTTTATAAAGTATTTAATGCTAACTAATTTAGTACTGACACAAAAGTCCTTGGTAGAACTTCGTTATTAAAGCATGAACATTTCCTGTAGCTTTTCATGGTAATGAAATAAAAGTTGTACGACAACAACTTGTTCTTGAAATATTCAATTTATTTTTAACAATTTTTTTCTTTTCTACTTAGTTTATTCACATAAGTAAAGTTACACTTACTTTCCATCTGGAATATAACCAATTAAAAATGTAGAAGATATTAACCACAATAATCCCGCAGTACACAAGGTAAACCTGTAAACAATAATAATAATAATAATAAAGACTTTATTTAAAGAGGCAACATAGTAGGGCATGCCCAGTCTTCCCTATGAGCCTCTATCAAATATACAATGTACATAATATAAACATTTACAAACAAAAGGTATGATAAACAACAACAAAATTACAAATACAATGTAGTTAATGAAAATCTAGGGAAAAAACATTATTTAAGAATATAAACATTGCAATTCAGATATACATAATACAACTTGATGTGTTTTATTACCACCAGAGAACCACCATTTCAGATAATTATTTTTGAACAACTGTAAATTTGTGGAATTTCTGATATCTAAGGGAAGAGAATTCCAAAGTTTTGACCCTCAATATGATAAAGATTTTCTGCAGAACTCAAGTCTAGGTTTTGGGATTTGAAGTTGTTTTTGTTGATATGATCTTAATTGTGTATTTTCTGTGTAAGTAAAAAGATTTTGCATATAATCATGGAGAAGTTTGTTAAGGGACTTGTACACTAAAATAGATTTTTTATAATTTACTCTTTCAGAAAATTTCATCCAGTTTAATTCAGAAAATAAATCATCAGTGGGTGCATCAAAATCTTTGTCCAATATTATTTGTGCTGCCCGTTTTTGAAATTTATACAGGTCATTTAAGAGTTCCTTACTGCAATTTCCCCAAATAGTGCAACAATAGTCTAAATGTGGAAGAACGTATGCATTAAAGAAAATTTTCCTTACATGAACATTTAGAAATTGTTTTATTCTCAAGGAAGGTACAGTAATGAATTGCATTCATTCAATGTCATTTTGACTTGTGTTTTCCAGTTCAGTGTATGATCAACATAGACACCTAAAAGTTTTTCTGTTTCTGAAAATTTTAAGCTTTCATCTTGAAGAGTGATCTGGAAATCACTAGAATTACTGATAGTATTGTAGATATTATTTGAAGGTGAAATAAACTAGTTTTAAATTAGTTTTCTTAGCATTTGGAATCATTGAATTTCTGTTGCACCACTGTTGTATGGAATAAAGGTCAGACTGAAGTTTTGTACAAATTGAATTGATACTGTGTCCAAATGAGGTAATTGTAGTGTCATCAGCAAACATGTCTGATGTAGAATGTGATAAATGCAAAGGTAAGTCATTGATATAAATAATGAAAACAAATATTATACATGTATATCAAATCAGGATAATATTATATTCTTTTCTCTAAAATTAATAGAAACCAAACTTTTAATGTGGTCAAATATAAACACATGATTTCCTCTAAATATACATCTAAATCAGAATTATTAGCTATAATACATGGGAATGCAATTTTTTTTTCCAAAATGAGACTGACCTTATTTTGTAAACAAAGCATATTTCTGTCAATCAGGAAACATATATAAAAATTATCCTTATTAAGCAATTGTTGAAATTTCTAAATTTTCTATATTTTTTCTTTAGTTACAAACTTGTAACACAACATTTGCACTCCAACTGAGTCTTCAATAATAAATCAGCTTCCTTTTTACAGTTGTAAATAACAAGGAAATATGTTCCTGACAAACTTTAAAATGAAAATTTTTACACAAAATTTTACAAACTTGACCTGTTATGAGAGACGGTTACTTATATCAACAAGTAAATTTTAACTGCTGTTTATCTTAATTTTATTAACTTTAACTTTGCATGGGAGCTATCCTTTCTAATTGCCGTCCCACTAATTGTCCATAGCAACTTAGTAACACTCTTGAGACAGGAATTATGGAACACACGAAAATATAGGTACAGTTATAACTTAAAGCATCAATAATTCAAGACCCGTGTAAATTACAGAAAGTTATAAATGAAGTATATGCTTGTCCATATGTTATTTTCCAGTAAGGAGGGTAAATAAACTAAACACACACAAATGCACCATTTATAGAATTCAATGAATATTAAGCATCATTATGAAAGAAATTAAAAATGTCTGAGAAAAGTTTTCTGAGACAGAGTGTACCCTGATATTCATAATATTACATACATTTAAGGGACTCCACTCAGGTTTGTCGAAAAAGTAGGGACTGGAAATATTTTTTAAGGATTAAGTACCATTTGATGAGGATGGACCAATAATTCATATGCAAAATTTCAGATCATTTGCTCACCGTTTTTTCTTTTCAAGGATTATCATTTCAATTGTGCAAAATAACCCAAAACTTAAAACACATTTAAATGCTTTTAACTAAAATCAAACTAAGAATCATACAAAACGATGATTTTTAACACAATTAAATCAAGCAATGCAATTCATCAGAATTAGACTTTCATGTCTTAAGTACCCCAGTTGCTTTATTTAAGTGTTAGAGTATCATATTTTTTATATTTTAAGGCTTTTGGATCTCAGTGGAGCTCCTTTAACATAATAAATATACAATGTATGAGCATACCTAAATGGTAAGAGAATTCCATAACGTACTAAACAGCCTATCCACCACAATATTGTAAGCCTCATACTGAAATAAAAAACTCAAAAACAATTTTTTCCCCCAAATGACTGAAATAACATATCTTACACTGAATCAAATGTTCTTAAAGCCGCTTTTAAGAGATAAAATAGTTGAAGTTCATTGGTTTTGGCATTTTTGGTTTTTTTTGTTTGTTTTTGCAGGTAGGTTCTTCGAGGGAAACAAACAATATTGTATTTTCGGTCCTAATAAACAGCAAAAAGTATTTTGCATGACACCTGTTTTCATTTTAGTTGTTGAGTTGAATATTGGTCACAATTAAGTACCCAGCACATTGTTCCACTTATTTTATGACTAGACTGACAAGAAATATTTCAACATGTTTGCAAAGTGTAAATTATCAAAAGATATATTTCAACATATAAATAACTTGTACTGTAGTATCAGATGAGATTATATCAATTTTATCATACCTTATAAATTGGTAACCTTTATCTGTTCTAGTGAGGAAATTCCAGCTTTTCAGGTCTGAAATAGAATCAGAGAATGATAATATGTTATATGCCGGCACCATTTATAGTAAAATTCAATATCTTCATAAAGGTAATATGGACATTTTTTCAGCTATATTGGCGTGTACATTATTTCAGACACAAGAGGGCACAATTACATGTAGTCTGAAATGCTACCCCAAGTAGTCAGGCAATGTATATATAATGTAACTACTCAAGAAATATGTACATGTAAAATAGCCACTTAAACCTTTCCTTCATCAGCATATTGTGAAAAATGGCCGTTTTCATTTAAAAGCCTCCTGTAATAAGTTCAAACTGCTATGAAACTATAAACAAGAGGGCCATGATGGCCCTGAAGTCGCTCACCTGTATATAGGCCCCCGAAGCGGGGCCAGTTTAAACCCCAGGGCTTTTATTTGAACAAACTTGGTAGACACCCATTAGAAGATGTTTCATGCTAAACATCTAAGGTCTAGCTGGTCAAGTTTTTTCTTTTCACATATAGTTAAAAACAATGACACACCTGGGGCAGGGGCAGTTTTGACCCAAGGGCTTTTATTTAATTATTTATTTAATCTTTGTAGACACTTACTAGATAATGTTTCATGCTTTATATCTAAACTCTAGCTATTCGGGCTCTTTAAAGAAGATTTTTAAGTTTTTGCTATACACATATAAGGAAAATCAATGTCCCCCGGGGCGGGGTCAATTTTGACCCCAGGGCTTTTATTTGAACAAACTTGGTAGACACCCATTAGAAGATGTTTCATGCTAAATATCTTAGCTCTAGCTCTTTGGGTTCTTTAAAAGAAATTTTTTTTAAGTTTTTACTTTATGCATATAGGGAAAATCAATGACCCCCTGGGGCGGGGCCAATTTTGACCCCAGAGCTTTTATTTGAACAAACTTGGTAGACACTCACTAGAAGATGCTTCGTGCTTAATATCTTAGCTCTAGCTCTTTGGGTTCTTTAAAAGAAGATTTTTAAAGTTTTTACTATATGCATATAGGGAAAATCAATGACTAGAAGATGTTTCATACCAAATATCTAAGCTCTAGCTCTTGGGGTTTTTTAGAAGAAGATATTTAAAGTTTTTTCTTTTGGTTGCCATGGCAACCAGAGTTCTGCATGAAATTAAATTCTTTGAACAATTTTCAAAGGTGACCACCAAAGGAACATTCCTGTGAAGTTTGGATGAAATTGGCTTAGTGGTTTATGAGGAGATGTCATTTAAAGTAAAAGTTTACGGACGCCGGACGGACGCCGGACGAAAAGCGATCACAAAAGCTCACCCTGACAGGTGAGCTAAAAATGCTTCAATACTGATGAAACTTGGCACAAATGTTGACTGGAACATACCCTGTGTAACAGCATGCTCAGTCTTAAATTTCCTGTTACATTGGCAACGGGGGACTTCTCAAAATTGCCAAAAATCACTATTTTTGCATGTTTTTTTTCCATCAAAACTGAATTCAGTGCTGCAACTTCTCAATGGATTGAGATAGAGTAAAAGGCTTTTCAGCGTTGGTTACATGTTACCTTACGATCGACCTGAGGCCATTTTTAGCCTGTCACATGTCGCCCCCCTTCAAACCCCCCAAACAGAAGGGGGCAAATCCCCCCTTCTGGCAACTCCCTGATGTACCTTTTTGATGGGTGGGCACCGCCGAAAAAGTGGTCACTTTTTTCATCAACATTTCTCAAACAAAAAACAGTGTCAGGGGCATTAATAGGGCATTTTTTCACTGTTTAAGGGCTCAAAAAAAAATGTAATGTAACTTTTCAAGAATATGGAGAAAAAAACAACGTACATAAGACTATTCTCAGTGCTGAACAGTAAGAAAAAGGTGAATTTCTCTGTAAAAAGGTAATACAGTGTTATGTGACCTGCGTCCATCATGCTAGATAATCACAGTGAACAAGTGTTTTTTAATTACCTTTCAGTAGTTTTTGGAGATACCAACTTGCACACAATTACTAAAAGTGAGACGTTAATTAATGTGAGCATTAGAGCTCCCCCTATTCTTCAAATACTAGTCCAGCTTAAAATGATCAGGATATATGTCTTTCATCCTTTGAAAGAACAAATTTTTCATCAGAAAAACTTATAATCAATGTATTTAATACATGTATATCATATGGTAGGACTTTAACTTTATCATTTTCAAGACTTTTCTCTTGATGGAACATATTTTTATGCATTAAGATATCTGCTTTATTGTATAAGATAATTATATATATGTTTATACCTTCAGCTGTAAATCTGTGTGTGACATCATCTTGAATTATAGCCTGAAATAAGGAAGAAGTATGCCTTTAATATATATTAGAAGTGGTGCATAGAAAACAAGTTTTGTGGACACAGATTTGATTTGATGTCAACTATAACATTTTTTATTTGATTCACAACTAAAAACACAGAAAAAATGCAAGTTTTAGTTCCTCTCTGACAAGTCTAGAAAGAGGAAAAGTCAAGTATGTTGAGATTATGGTTATACAACTAAAGAAATGCAAAATAACTATGTAAAGGGCAACTCACTTTTAGAACAAGTAAGCAGAATTGTCAACTTAACCTTTTACCCCATGAGCATATTGTGAAAAATGGCCGTTTTCATTGAAAAGCTTCCTGTTACAAGTTCAAACTGCTATGAAACTATGAAAAATGTTTCAATACTGATGAAACTTGGCACAAATGTTAAGACCATAGCCTCTTAACAGCATGCTCAATTGTAAATTTCCTGTTACCATGGCAACGGGGGATGTCTCAAAATTGTGAAAAATCACTATTTTGCATTGTTTTTTTTCCCATCAAAACTGATTTCGAAGTGCTGCAACTTCTCAATGAATTGAGATAGAGTAAAAAGGTTTTTCAGCGTCGGTTACTAGTTACCCTTAGATCGACCTGAGGCCATTTTTAGCCTGTCACACTTCCAAAATTTTCTTGGCGATGAGGAGGACTCCGCGCCCTTCCAAACCCCCCAAACAGAAGGGGGCACATCCCCCTTTTAACAACATTCTCAAATGAAAAACAGTGTTTGAGGCCTAAATAGGACATTTTTTTCACTGTTTGAGGCCTCAAAAAAGGGGGGAGGGGGCAAAAAGCACGTCTATATCAGGTAAAAGGTTATAAATACAAAATAGTACTGTAATCAGAAATGAATCAAATAAAAAATAATTGAATCAGGGTGCCTGAAACATGACCCTGCAACAGCTACTGGTTATTTCTTTTACATTCATTCATGGTAAATATTAATTTACAAAATGTAGTTTACTTAAAGAAATTACCCAGTCTCTTTCAAACATAAAATCCTCCTTGCAGAATTACTCTGTACAAAATGGTAATCAGAAATGAATCAAATAAAAAATAATTGAATCAGGGTGCCTGAAACATGACCCTGCAACATGTTATTGGCTACACAGCTACAAGTTATTTCTTTTACATTCATTCATGGTAAATATTAATTTACAAAATGTAGTTTACTTAAAGAAATTACCCAGTCTATTTCAAACATAATAAAATCCTCCTTGCTGAATTACTCTGTACAGGAAGGAAAAAACTTTTAATAAGAGAATGTAACATATTTATAAGAGAAGATATCATACCTCAACTCCACATTTCACAAAGTACATGATATCAGATACATGGAAGTCCTTTTTAAATGTCAGGTCATAATCGGGACGCTTTGATGGGATTTTGATTCCCTCTAATGCTGATATTGAGATGTCACGGTATATCACTTGATCATTACCTGTAAAAACTGACAAAAAAGTTCCTGCTTAATTATTGGCTCAAAACTAACATAATTCAATTATGTGTTTACATGTACATGCACACTGTCCCTTTAGCTCAATAGGCAAAGCGCTGGGCTGTAAATCGGGCGACCTGGATTCGATTCCTAAATGGAGCAGGTCACTTTCCTCATGTCTGATCATGAAATTCTTTCTATGGTCATTTACACTGTACCTCTGCTCTGACATGTACAGAAGTAACAGTTTTTTGCGAAAAAGAAGGAAACTAGTGGTAGTAACCCCATATGGAAATGACCTCGGCAATATCTAATGTTTACAATATCGGTCTTCCAGTAATATCTAAATGAATAATTCAATGAAAGTTTGCGTTTTAATTCAACAGCGTTGAATGGCGGTAACAGGGAAATCATGTAAAGCACAGCCTGTATATGAAGTAATGGGTTAAAGTAACATCAATCATTATTACTATGTACTGAATGGTTATGTGGCAAATTGTTATTTTGGTGAATTGTTACATTACCAATTTACATACCATGGTTCTCTGACTCTTGTGAAGTATCAGAGAGGCTATCTGCTTCTGGCAATCCCTCATCACCAGAGCCTTCTTCTTCCTTGTGTAAATGTTTTTGTTTGTCTCTTTCTGATGCAGCATAGCTATTTATCCTACGCCTCCCAAACTTAAAAATTAAAACAATACGCATGTAAAGCTAGAATTATTTGCCAGTATCCAGACATATTTCTCCGGACAATTTTCTACTAAAAATGTTAAATGTCATGTGTGTTTTATTCAGAAAAATTTCCAGGAATAAGAGCATAAAGTACTAAAGTACAGAAGCATTTACTTTCATTTGTATGTTATCAATGCCTATATGTTTCTATCACATTTTTTAACAATTTTGCACTGAGCATTGGTAGCAAGCCAGGCATTATAGACCAATACTAACACAGCCCCATTGCAAAAATAAACCCCAATGGCAATTTGGTCCTTTTTCACATGACACCCCAACCATTTATATCCTCAAGGTACTTTATACCGGGAGGTACTTTGTAACGGGAATGTCCAGATATTACAAACAATACTTACATAAAAATTTCTTTTGTATGCAAGTGTTTTTCACATTAATTTCATACAAAATGTAGCATTTTTTTACAAAAATTCAAAGTTTTAATTGCCCTATTCACATAAATGTGTATTACATATAAAAACCAGGGGCCGTATTCATAAAGGATCTTAAGTTTTAAGGGAAACATTTCCTTATGTTCAAGAAAACTCCCTAAGGTAAAATTTTCCCTTAACTTAGAGGTCAAAAATCCCTTAAGTGAATTCCTTAGGCAAGAAATTCCTTAACTTAAATTTTATCCTAAGGCGAAAATTTCGTTTAATAGCAGTTTTTCTATTTGTTATTACCGACTGGAGAGCACTGACTCTGCTAAAAATAGTAACAAAAACAAGATGGCTGACCTAGAGCAGGAAATGCGCAACGTTTCAGACCTTTCATGGATATTTGTTGTATTTCATGGAATTATTCGGACAATCATCATATAGGACGAAGGCAGAGGAAAACGATTGTGGGTTTAACACTAGTGACATGGTTTGAGACTGACGTTTTTAAACAATATCAGTTTCATTCGCATGTCGTTCTTGTTTACCTAACTCGCTTCGAAAATTTTCCGAAATTACAAAGTGAAAGTAGGGTAAGTGTTTACTATTTTACTGATAAATTAGGCCGATATGATTAAACATACGTAATAAAGCATGTTTTATACAAGAACCATTGTTTCACTCCTAATTGATTTCTTGACGATACATTTGACTATTTTCTGAATTTCGAGTCAATAACTCAAATTATTCGTCCCCTGGTTACTTCGTGCACATTTTTGCCTTTTTTGGTAAATTGTTGGAAGTTGATATTTTTTCTGAAAAAAAAAAAAACCCATCTTTGTAACAAATTAAAAAGCCGTGTTGCAAGGGGGTTATTGGACAATTGCCAAATTTTATTAATTTTAAACACTATCAAGTCCAAGGTATATACATCATACATGTACATGTAGCCCTCCATGTTTAATATTATCTTGTTTCTTAAATTTTGTTTACAATAATTTACTTATTTTTATTTGCATAGTTCATAGTTACAAGATCAAAAAGTTAAATATACATACCGTATATAGAAAAATAAGTAAATAGTGTTTTAACAAATACAATATCATTAATTAATGTTTTTATCATTCATGCAATTATAATACTAATAGATACTGATATGGACTTCAGTATGTTAGCTTATTTTATTTAAACATTTAAGACATAGGTTACTATCATTTATTGCATGGTTTAGTGCCCTAGAGAATAAAAACTCAAACAAAAAAGAAATTCCTTAAAATCATAGACTCATAACCTCTGATCCCCATTTTATTTAGTTCCTCCCATAGTTTTCTCGTTTAGGGCACACGCATTTTTTTACTTGGGGATCATATGCCGCTTTTCATGGAATGGCACTTACGTGTCACATTGAAGGTTCCATGATGACGGCCATATGAACACATCTGCGGATGTTTCAAAATTCAAAGTTGTACCAGTTCATGTTAAATGTTGAATTCTGCTTAAGCCAAGGGGGCGTGGACAGTGGTTTGCACTTGACAGTACCGTCCATGAACAGGCACAATCAAACCAAGCATGCAACATTTTTCAATTGTGCCATGTTGGGCTTTCTTTAGGGATTCTTATTTTCTCTATTTTGTTGCTGTTATGTCTGCTTTTTAATTTATTATATATGACATAAACAAGCTCATATCAGCTATGTCTGATAAAATTGATATCAAAAATACAATAGTATGTTATTCTCTATTGCAAATTTAAGTAATTGATGTTCTTTCATTTGGTATTTGATTAAATGAAGATCTGTGACACCAGGGAATAAAATAAATGATAAAGAACAATTGTTTTCAGTATGACTGGTCTTAGTTAAATTAACTGAAGGAAAAAGGACATGAACATTTTAAAAAATAATTGACAAGAACAATGACAATGTTTGAACTCATAATGTAAGGCCTTTCAATTATTTTGAATTTATCAAAGAGTAACTTCATTGTAAGAGTATATTTACAAGAAAATAATATATATTAAAATAAAGGTTCATTAAAGTTGTTTTGACATGTTAACATATTCACTATGTTGTTATGTAATTTTGGTAAAAAAGTGGTTGTTTTCATGTGTTTTTATTCAAGAAAGGCTTTTTTAATTATATTTTTTCCTCTACATAATCAACTAATCAGTAATGAAATTTACAATGGAAAAAATAAAAGGATTTCATCAACAGTTTGTAAATGATTGTGAAAAAAATTCTTGTCGAATATTTTTATTCAAACTATGGCAAATCATTATTACTATGTGGTGTATCCTTACATTACATGCATTATTAACCAGCATGAATCTGAAGGATCAAAACAATTTTATTTATTTGTTTGCAAGCAACATAACTGTAGTAATGTACTATGATAAATTAAACAGTATAATTACAACAAACAGTTTTGTCTCATTGATAGAACACAATCTTTATAAAATATCTTAAATACATATAATATGTATTTAAGTATATAAATATGCCATTGGCACTATGACATGGCTTATGGACACATAAAATTTGTAGTTTTCATGTGTAAATTGAACTGAATATTACATTGCAGATTTTTTCTCAAAGCTTCATTTGTAGTTTTGGGCTAAAGTAGATACTACTTTACAGTAATCTATAATTTTTTTAGCTTTCATTTTATATTGAGAGCACCTGAATTACTGTGCATACCAGCCTTTACACATGATACTGTCTAAACCTGTCATTTTAGTAGTCAGTAAGGGAACTGAGCAAAAATAACCACTAAAAAGAATAATTGTGGCTTGCATATGGTTATTATAATCAGATTCCTGTGCTATAACTTTCTTATTTGATTCAATAACAAATATCTTTGAAGCCATGAAAACAAATCTGTCAATGTATCACCAGTGATTTTTTTTTCCAATTTTAAAAACAACCTGTGGCTTTCTGAAGGGGAAAATATAGTGTGATTTACCAGAAAACAGGGAAATCTAGTGACATCAAATTCACATTTGATAAAATTTTCACTTTTCAATTCAATTTAACATGCATGGTACATAGCAGAGGCTATTTATAGGGAGAGGTTATTGATATAAGTCAGCCAGGCTATCTATAGGGACAGCTGTCAGATATAAGTGAGATGCTGTGTTAAGTCATGGTTTTTTGGTAAAAAAGTGCACAGGGCATTTAAGGGGAAAATATTATTAACACTTTTAGGGAAAATATACTTATTTTGGGGCTAGGGGAAACAGCCTTTTTGGCTGTAAAATGTAGGGGGGAAAAATCATTGTATTAGCAATCCTTATGTTTAATTTATGTCAAAAGTAATGACTTCAGCTGTGTTCACACAATATATTTTTAATAATTTTTTAATAGCTGTCATTCAAGTATGCCAGATTCCTTTCACTAAGAACAAATTGACAAAAAGTAGTAAATTAAGTACGCAAGTAAGCCAAGTACATAGACTCTTATAAGGATCTTACACCGGATACCTATAGTATACTGACTGGAAAATTCTTGCATAGCAGACTGGAATTTTTGTTCATTTTACCCATGCCGGACTACTTCTCAAAAAACTACTGGTGCAATTTCTTTCTAAATTTACAGGAATGATCAGTACCAAGTCTTGTGTGCATATCATCAAGCTTTTATGGTTCAATAAATTTTGTTGGATTTATGGCCCTTAAATTATATATTTTTTTTAAAGTTTGTCCGGACAGTATTTGAGAAGTGTTTCTAATTTCTTTTCTGGTTTGTAAAGTTTCTAAGCTTATAATTCTCCAGACGATGACGCCTTATATGTCTCCCAACTTCTCCCTAAAGTCTCCTCACTTCTCCCCTAAATCAGCTGGAGGGAGAAGTCACTTCTCCCTAAAAATTTGACCTAGCTCAAGCCCTGGGACTACTCCTATTATACCACTAATGCAATTTCCAAGAAACTTTCAGGATTGATTGATAGGTCAAGTACTTACACAAGCACAAATTACTCGAGTTTCCCGCTTGAATGATTTTTGGCCATGTTATGGCCCTTGAATGAAAAGGATGTTAATAAAGTTTGTCAGGACTACTCCTCTTATACAATTACTGCAATTTCAATGAAACTTTACAGGATTGATTGGTAGGTCAAGTACTTGTGCATAAATTGATAATACACAAACTTTTCACTTGAATGATTTTCAGCTGAGTTATTGCCCTTGAATAAAAAAGTGTTTTGCCCAGTTAATGATTTTTGGGTCTCTTGGTAGCTGCAACATGTGACTGGCAATCATGAGGCGACACATGTTATCACTGTCAGATGGCCCTTGTTATTAGCTTAGGAATATTCCACATAAAACAAGAGCTGTCCGTAAGACAGCGCGCTCGACTTTTTTATTGCTTGCCAATAAAAAAAGTTTTTGCAGTAAAAGGCAATACAAGAATCTCTGTATTTTTAAAGTGAACAATGGCCATGAGCATTAAGATATTTAGTGAAGAATTATTTTATTATGACATAATTTATGGTAAAGTGAACAAGTGGATAGGAATGAATTTTTTTAGATTTTTTAAGTTTTTTAGTGCTTGCCTATAATACAAAACATTGACAGTTAAGGGCCATAATTCAAATAAAATCTTTGACAGAATTACCTTCTCCTGGACATGTTTGGGAATCATGATTGTAAACAAGTATTCCAACTTTCAAATTAATATCTCAAACAGTTCAGTCAAAAAGTGGACTGGTACTAAAAACTTAACCAAGATTCTAAGTCGATAAAAGGCCTTAATTTTTAAAACAAATCCTTGACAGAGTTACCTTCTCTTGCGTACAGATGGGGGTAATGATGTGAAATAGCATTAAAAGTTTCAAAGCAATATCTCAAAGGGTTAAGGCAATAAGTGGATTTTACCCATATTCAATGTATTTTCTAAGTCAAAAAGGGGCATAATTCTGTCAAAAACCTTGACAGAGTTATGTCCTCTTGTCTGTTGATGAAGGTCGTGATGGTAAACAAGTATGGTCAGTTTCAAAGCAATACCTCCAATGGTTTTGAAATAAAGTGAGGTGGTACAAAAAACTTAACCAAGCTCAATACACTTTCTAAGTCAAAAAAGGGCCTTAATTCTGTCAAAAACCTTGACAGAGTTATGTACTCTTGTCTGTAGATGGAGGTTATGATGGTGAACAAGTATGGTAAGTTTCAAAGCCATACTTGTAATACTTCTGAAATAAAGTGGGGTGGTACGAAAAACTTAACCAAGGTGTGACGCCAACGCCGACGCCCGGGGCGAGTAGGATAGCTCGAGCTAAAAAACGACCCCTTGAGTCACAAATGACCTTGAGCTTTAAGGTCAAATAACTGAATTTTGCTCTCTTTTTTCTGTAACTGACTACAATTTTGTATTAATGAATTGTCTCATAATTAGACTGAATAACCTTTTCATGGAAGATTAAACTTTGCAAAAGAAATTATTAAAATTACAATGCATCGTGTCAAGTTTCTAACTCTGAATTTGTCTTTTTTAACTTAGAAAATATCACAAAAATGTACCAAAGTGGCTAAAGCTTAATCATTCATGAATGAATTGTCCTTGTGGATACATTGTAGACCTTCAAGATGATGAAACTTACATTGATCTTAAGTCATAAATGACCTTGACTTTCAAGGTCAAATAATTGATTTTTTTGTGATGTAACAGACCGTCCCCATCTCAGGAACCAGTAGCAATATTTAATTGAACTTGAAATATCCTTGGCAATATCACAAAGAAACCTTTTATCTTTAATGGTGGATAACAATATAAATCAGTGTGAGAGTTTATAACTTTATTTTACAAAAAATATTGAATTCAGGATGAAAGTTTATTTCATGAAGAATGAGTTCATGTACAATAAGTCATAAAAACATCATAAAGAGTCTTCCAAGATTATCACTGATGTAATAAGTAATCACACTTCCAAAGATTATTACTTAGTTATTGTTGTCACCTACATTGTAGTTTTTACACTTTTCAAGATCTTCAATAGATCACTTTTGTCAGTAATTGCAATCACACTTTTTCAATATTGCAAGGATATCAATACCATATGTTAGTATATTGTAATTTTTTTTTCAAATTGTCAACAAAAGTCATTGATTTCACATTTATAATGAGTATGACATTTCATTTACTTAGTCACTGGCCAATAAAAATTCTGTTTTGTTGTTTATTCCTTCTGTAGGGTTTCCAAACCAATCTTCAATATCTTGAGTATGCTGGAGAAAAAAAACAAAATGTATTTTAATACTTAATTAATATTAATTTAAACAAAGAAGCTTAAAAACAGAAACTGAAACAAGACTGAAGTTGTGACATAAAATGCAAATGACTTGTTTTGTGCTGAATCTAAATAAAAACAAAAGTAGTTTTATTTAAAATTATCATTTGCAAGTACATACCACCTGACAATGATCAACCAAAGGCAAATATTTCAGAATAAGAAACAGAACACAATTATCACTTATAAATGTTAGAATATATATAGGTATTAGTGTAAATATCTAGGTGGCTCAAAATCAACCAAGTCTCTTTCCTATCCTAATCAGTTCCCCTCTAGCTAAATATTTCTGTCTGAACTTAGGGCTGTCATTGATGGAAAATTTTGTATTGATATATCAAGAGACAAATATCGACTTTGAAAGTAGATAAATGAAAACATTAAAATATGCATTATGAATTGGAATCATGGTGTTATTGCATGCTTGTATTAGACACTACAATACTACAAACTAACAGAAAGTTTTTTCTGTTATTTTTGTCACTGACATTTGAAAAATAGTTTAAAGTTCATTATAAGACAAAGTTAGCCAAGAAAACTTGAAAAAAAGTGACTTCTCTTATTAGGCAAAATAGGAGAGGTATATACCGGTAAAATAAATTTTAGCTTTTATTGATATTTGAAGTGTGTATCGATATTGTATTTGGATGATATAGCGATATTAAATGACAGGCCGTAGTTCTGTACTGGTAGCCCATGAAAGATTTTTATATTAAAAAGGGGCTACTTTTATACATGTAACATTTACACCATGAATAGCTGTGATAAATTCTACATTTAATCATTCACTTAAATTTAAATAGAACAGAAGAATTTGGATACACTTACACTGTACATTTTCTGTCTTGATTAAAAATATTTAAAGATTTTTGACAAGTATTTTACTCATACAATTTACAGATGCTTCACCCCCGACAACTTCACCCTAGACCCTTTTTTGCAGACACTTCAGCCCTCGGACAGTTCACCCCTCATTTTAAGAAATTTGATTGAGACACTTCAGTCCCCATTTTTTTTCTTTTGTGTTTAACAATTATTTTCTGTAGAAAATGTTAAATGTATTCAATAGTGATTGAGTATCTTTATTTGTTTTAACCAAGACGTTAAGATATATATGTCATAACATATTTTTATTATTATTCTAATCATGTAATTGACCAAAGACATAGAGGATATTCAAGTTTTTTCTATAGATACATGATTTATTTTTCATCGAGTGGTATGAAAATAAAAAAATTTATTTTCATACCACTCGATGAAAATAAATCATGTATCTATAGAAAAAACTTGAATATCCTCTATGTCTTTGGTCAATTACATAAATATTTCATCAGTGGGGTAGCCACGAGTGAAATATGGTAATTTTCATGCCACAAGATGAAATAAATCATGTATTTATAGAAAAAACTTGAAATTTTCTGTTTATTAATATTATATTTACATTTTACTCTTTTTTTTGCGATAAAAATGAAGGACTTTCCCTTAAAATTTGTGTACTGGCAGCACAATTTTAAGAAAAGTAAGTCCGGCAAGACACCAGTGAAATACGGAACGAAATATGTTTCACTGCAGTGAAAAAAAAAAATTTTTACAGTGAAAATACGGAAAATGAAAAAAACGCATTTATTTCATCAATATTTCTCAATATTTTCATTTATAAGACGTATATAATAAAATGGATATATTGTTTGCTTTTGCCCAACAAAAAAGGCTCATATTCACAGTTAATGGACAATTTTTAGCTCACCTGTCACAAGTTGTGACATGGTGTGCTTTTGTGATCGCTTTTCGTCGTCCGTCATCCGTCCGTAAAACTTTTTTAAATGACATCTCCTCATAGACCACTAAGCCAATTTTTCATTCCAAACTTCACAGAAATGTTCCTTTGGTAGTCAACTTTAAAAATTATTCAAAGAATTAAATTCCAAGCAGAACTCTGGTAACCATGGCAACAAAAAGAAAAAACTTAAAATATCTTCTTTTAGAAAACCGTAAGAGCTAGAGCTTAAATATTTGGCATGAAACATCATCTAGTCAGTGTCTACCAAGTTTGTTCAAATAAATGCCCTGGGGTCAAAATTGGCCCCGCCCGGGGGGGGGGGGGGGTGTCATTGATTTTCCTTATTTGTATATAGTAAAAACTTAAAAAATCTACTTTTAAAAAACCCAAATAGCTAGAGCTTGGCTATTAAGCATGAAACATCTTCTAGTGGGTGTCTACAAAGTTTGTTCAAATAAAAGCCCTGGGGTCAAAATTGGGCCCACCCCAGGGGTCGTTCTTTTTCCCTTTATGTTTATAGCAAAAACTTAAAAAATCTTCTTTTAAAAAACCTTTAGAGCTAGAGCTAAGATATTTAGCATCAACATCTTCTAATAGGTGTCTACCATTTTTGTTCAAACAAGGGCCCTTGGGTTAAAATTGGCTCCACCCCAGGGATCATTGATTTTCCTTAAATGTATATATACCATAAAGCAATGTTAACCTTTTCCCTCATATAACTTTTTTCATTAATATAAGCGTGTTTCGACGGCTTTTCGCCCCCCCCCTCCATTTTTAAGGCCTCAAACATTGAAAAAATGCTCTATTTAGGCCCCAAACACTGGTTTTCGTTTGAGAAATGTTGTTAAAAAAAGTGACCACTTTTTCGGCGCGGTCCCCCATCCAAATGTTACATCAGGGGGTTGCCAGAAGGGGGATATGTCCCCTTCTGTTTGGGGGGTTTGAAGGAGGGCAGAGTCCCCCTCATCGCCAAGAAAATTTTGGACATGTGACCAGCTTAAAATGGCCTCGGGTCGATCTTAGGGTAACTAGTAACCGACGCTGAAAAGCCTTTTACTCTATCTCTATTCATTGAGAAGTTGCAGCACTTTGAAATCAGTTTTGATGGAAAAAAACAATGCAAAATAGTGATTTTTGGCAATTTGAGACGTCCCCCCCTTGCCATGGTAACAGGAAATTTACGATTGAGCATGCTGTTACAGAGGCTATGGTGTAGTCAACATTTGTGCCAAGTTTCATCAGTATTGAAGCATTTTTCATAGTTTCATAGGCAGTTTGAACTTGTTACAGGAGGCTTTTCAATGAAAACGGCCATTTTTCGCAATATGCTCATGGGTTAAAAGGTTAAGATGGTTTTATCAGACAAACAGAACTTCCCAACCTTTTCCGTGTCGTCTGCAAAAATATTTTCCGAAGTATTGATTTACCTAAAATGGGGTTAAGTTATTGCGCATGGATATTCAAACTAGAATTCCCCAGGTGTTGCTTATTTTTGAAAGTCGCAAGTTTTCTTACAAATGTAACTTTAAATAAAAGGAAAAACTTCAAAACAAATAAATCATTGTACTGTTTAGCATAGAAATCAAATGTCTCTCTGATTGATGAAGTAATGTGGATGCCTTTACTGGTAAAAATAGACTACTGGACGAAAATGATAAACGACCAGAAAACTGCTAGGGGACGGAAACTGCTAGGAAACCAGTATATTTTTATCTTTCATACAATATCATTTATTTTACATACAATATTATTTAGTCCTTTAATTAAAAAGTTATTAATCAATAATATTAAAAATAATTTAAATAAATAAAAAAAATTGGATGAGGGGTGAAGTGTCTTGACGGGTGAAGTGTCTGCCGTCTGGGGGTGAAGTGTCTTCCTACCCTTCAGACAATAAAGCTCTATATAAAACAGTTGTTTAAGAAATAATATATCCCAAACAGTGATTCTATCGCTCAATAACATCACTGTTTGGAGTTCGGATGCGAGGAATTATATCACGAGGGCTTAGCCCGAGTGATATAATGATGCGCATCCGAACGACAAACAGTGATGTTATCAAGCGATAAAATCACTGATTTGGATATATTATTTCAATTCTAACACAACATCAACAAATAAATGTTGCCGTACTTGATAGTTAAGCAAATTTGCGCCTGATTTTTTTCCGTACTTATTTTCAGCGCGTCGGATTTTTAGTGGTTACGTCACGTGTATAATGATTACGTCACATGCATAATAACAAACACTTTCTGTTCTTCTATGTTTCAATAGGAAAAATGCGGGTCTTGTTAGAATTGGAAATTTAACCCTAGTCTCTAGTTGCATGACACATTTCTACTTTTAAATTAAAATTTTTATAATATTATGCTTAAAGTTCCTTTTATCTGAGTGTAAGCTAAAGAAATACATATCAACGTACATCTACTTACCAAAAGTTTTTAGCAAATTAAGTCCTGAATCCAGGTCGGCAGGTGAATGATTTGTACATCTTTTTCTCGAGTGTATATTTGTAAAATGGAGGTTTTTTTTTAACATTTTTGAAACCTCATCAAGAGTGTATTGAATATAAATCTTCAATTTTCTTCCATATTCTCTTATTATAAATTGATTGCATTGCATTATAATGTTGACTTTTGTAGATGTCAAACCGTATCCGAAATATCAGTCCGAACACTATTATACTTATAGCTCTCCGATTTATCCACGTTCCCAACATCATGCAAGGATTGGGCTATCCAGGAAACATACTGTTTCTTTTTTAAGACAATAAAAAGTCAGTTCTGCATTCGTAAAATACTTTCTTCATACAATAAAGCATTCATTTAAAATGTTAAAATATTCAGAAAATTGCCTCCACTGGAACGGAAATTTCCGGTTAGCTGCATTGTTTGGCTAATATACGAACGAATTATTTTCATCGGATATTATTATGATTAAATCTCCGTCGATTCCAAAATGGATAGTAGCTGGATTTGTTATTTGAGAAAGGGAATGAACAAATCGTCTGCTAATCGGCCATTTTTTTTCTTCATTTTTATCCCTTAACTTTTTCCCTTAAAAGTTAATGGAGCATATGGGCTACCTTAATATTTAAGGGAAAAATCGGCCAAAATTGAGGAATTTTTGTCCTAAGGAGTTTTATGAATAGCAACTAAGGAAATTCTTAAAAAGTTAGGGAAATTCTTAAAAAGTAAGGGAAATCTTACGTTTTTTAAGGGAAATCTTAGAATCTAAAGGAATTTTTTCCCTTAGGAGCTTTATGAATACGGCCCCAGTAGTATTGCTAACGATCTGGACCCAACATGATATTTTGAATGTGTGTGCAAATGCTAATCAAATTGTTACCCTTTTACTGTGTGATAACTGATAAATTTTGAATAAATATTGAATAGAACTTTATTATCATTAATAGTAATGCACCATTTACATATGTTTTCCCGGTAGATAGTACAACCAGGATAATAAAAGTTAAAAAATATCTTGTTTTTTCTCTCTGTTTAGTTATAAGTTATATTATGTTAATTGAACTGATCATTAAGTTTTTTTAATACTTAAAATGAAATCAACATTCAAATTTCTATATCACGTTGGACAAAACAAGTAAGCACTTAAAAACGTGGTAAGGAGACAAAAGCTTTGAGTATTCTGTTTAGCTTTCTTTTGTTCAAAGATTGTCTTTCTAATTTTAATCGACTTACTGAATAAAAACTTTTTTCAATTATACTTTTCATTTGTTGATTTGCAATTATAATTATGGTATAATAAAATATGTTTCCTTTGTTTGGAAATAATTCAAAATGGGGCCGATTTGGTAAAGAGCCGATATGCCAAGCCGAAATGTCAGTTAATTAGGGACGAAAAGTATTCGGGACGAAAAGTATTCAGGCCGAAATGACTCGAAATTCATTGGTCTAACTACTCTTCTTCAAGCCTTTTTAACATTTTGTCTCCGTTACTTAAGTAAACTTTACAAACAAGCATTACCCCATGATGTTTTGACTAAGCTCGAAACTATTTAATTAATAGAAAATTCACAAATATCAGCAGCGTCGTCTGCAATTTTGTTCACGTCATATTTTTACCTCAAAAACTTTCAACAGAATCTGGATATATTTTCTTCTGATTCCAAGCGACTGCCCTGCAGCAGCTAAAACAATGGTTAAAACTATTATTCCAAATAAAAAATAAAATAGGGCTAAAACAGCAATAATAATTAAATTTTCCATTGAAATTTGTTGTTTGCGTGAACTAAGGTCAAGGACCAAATTTGATTGAGAGAAAGAATATTAACTACCCGAAAGATTTAAGAAACAAACCAAAGACAGTGGCAATATTTTGTAATTTTTAAAAAAAATCATTCTTTTTAACTCAATTTTCTCATCCTGCACAAATTGTTAATGATATTCCTTTTGGTGTTTATAATGCCATTTTGTTAATGTCAGATGCCCTTACTGGCCATGACTTATCAATGTGTTTAAGAAAAGAAGAAAAGTAAAATTTAAAAAACTACTTGAACTTTTAGAAATTTTAATGTAGCGGAAGTTTTATTTTGGTTTTGACAAAACTGAATCCACTGAACAGTTTTTTGAATGAAAGCTTTTTGTATTACCACGAGTGCCAACTATATGATTTCATAACTGGAAGATACTTGAAGAATTATGAATATGCAAAGTAATTATGTTTAATGTTTATTTTATCTTATGATATCATATTAGCATTTTAGGCATGTCATACCTGGAGAAAATGACAATAACTAAAATGTTTCTTTTTATCTTGATGGTGCCAATATAACTGTGTGTGATGAGAAAGGTTAGTTATTTGGAGTGCCTTTTGATTTTATGTTAAATTCTAAATACACACATAAATACAAATGTTGGAGGGGAACAGCTATGTTAATAAAATTTATTTAAAGAATTGTTAAAAATATTGATGATCAACAAATTGGTATTTTAACATGCAATACTCTTTCGTCATATCAAATCTAAATAACTGTCCATTAACGAGAGAAATCAACACAAAGAGAATTGGAAAAAAAGACAACAATACATTTCATACTAAGAGATTAATACACGGCAGAGGAAGACCGGAAGGTGAGAATCGGCCTGCAAAATTAATAATGGCCCTAGGGCTACTAATTGTGGGCATCATTCATTTCAGGGCCAATCATCACCTTTAAGCCAATCTATGACGTGTATTAATACAGAAGCAGTTTAATTTTAATTTACTGTGATATTTTTTGTCCTTGACATTCCTATCTCTGTGCATAGATTTCAACTGTTATGTACAGTATCTTATACAGAGTTGCTTCCCTTATTTGTATCCAAACACGATTAACTTTCTTGTAATGAAATTGTAGCTTTAGTAATTTATTTCTTTAAATTTCAATAAAGCTATGTTTGTAGAAATTACACTCATGGTCTTATTCTAAAATCAAGCTAATCGTGCTTCAATCCTACTTTCAAGCTGATTTGATGACGTATGCGACGTCATTGTTTCACTTTGTGCACGTACTTGTAAATTTAGTGGGCCGATAATGATTATCAGTTATCGGCCCCGGGCCGCAAACACACAATCGGTCACGTGACACTCATAATCAGTTGAAATCCTAGGCAAATTTGTTGCTATATATAGTAACAAGTGTATTAAATGATGATTCTTCAAGCTGATAACGTGATTTATTAAAGACTTCTATCATAACATCTCTTAGATTTAAAATAATTAAAATTGTTGCCTGAATTGGAAATTTTTCAAAATATTTAATAAACAAGGACTTAGTTAACTTCACGTGTTTTAAACCACTATGAATACTATATATATAACCTTTGATATTCAATCTATTTAGAAAGGCATGGCAAAAATAATTTCAGCTACTCGGCGGCAAGGCTGTGCAGACGCATTCAGACAGTGATTATCTTATAAGCATTTCAAGTGCTTGATCAAAGGTTGGAATGGTCCTGGATCTGTTCTGTGTGTGTGTGTGTGTGCGCGCGCGCGCACGCGCGCGTTTTTTTTTTTGAAAAATTTACATGATGTGAGACTCTGATTTTAAATAAGAAGTATTTTAACCCTTTTGAATTTGTCTTAACTTGTACATCTTTAAAGCTTTGCCTTTCTTTATTAACCTATTTCTATTCCATATAAATTGCCAAATTCCTGATACTGCAAAGTTTCTTATGCTATTTTAACACGCTTTGTACTATAAATTTATGATGTTATTATATTCTATAATTCATAAGTCGTATTTAAAAGCTTTCAGTACTTGATATATCACACGTTGTTAAATAACAAAATCACAAACTTGTATTCTTGGAATCTTCTGTAGCCCTGTGTAAAACTACATTTCACATTTTGCGGTCATGCTCTTTTCGCTACAAGTCACAACTTTTCAACTTTTCGGCTCTTTCCGTCAGGCGTGGATGATCGGCAAGTATTCCGAATGCGTCCTGACCTTCGGCAATCGCAACAATCATGCCGTTCGGAACGCCAAAAAACCCTTCCGTCAACCCAATGACGCAGATGCCTCCAAAGGCACCGTCGGCATTGGTTAAGGTATGAATGTAATATATTGAAATGTTAACTCTAGACGTCACGTTAAATAGAACATTGGTCTAAAACTTTCAAAATAAAATTCCCCACCACCCACGAATTTACCGCACTGTCACTGACTGAACAGTTACGTCTGTCAATATGAACTTAGGTTTTGGTTATTACTTGAAGTAAGCAGGATTTATTAATGTAGAATTTAAATTTACCTAGCAAAAGGCTTAACATGGTAAAGGGTCAACTTGGCACGGGTCATAAACAGGTCTAGGATTTCATGATATTTATGGACTGTCAGTAAATTTATGGATAGTCTTTAAATTTAAAGATTTTTCAGTCCATAAATTTACAGATCCTCAATGTTAAATTTGCTGATTTTAGTTTTATACTAAAATCCACAGCTTAAAACAAGTTGTTATATTGATTGTTTCTATTAACAAAGGCACGGATTTATATTACAGGGATCGGACACTCCCAGTTAACCCTATATAAATGCTTAAATATCTTGTTGTGCACCCGATAAAGGTACATTGATCGATAATTTATCGGCGCTAAGCGAAAATGCCCGTTCGCAACGGATACCTACTTTACCAAATACCATATAGCTTTTCCATTTATTATCCGATTTTTGAAATTTAAAGTTTATTTTCAAGGAAAATGCTTGTTTAATTCAAATATCTAATTTGTTTTTTAAAGATACAGATTATCTGTCCGCAACGATGATTGAGAAATTAACTTGACGAAATCCCCGGTAAATTTACATTTTTTATATAAAAAGCAGATATTTGAAATTTATTATTACGGTAACATAATAAATTCAATTTCAAAATTAATAAAAAAAGAAGCCGATGGAAGTTATTCACAGTTGATCAAAGATGCAATATTTAAGATTTATTTGGTTATGTAGTCAAATTAATTGACGCACAATTGTTTTACGGGTAATGTATTGCGGGCTTTACAATTCGCTCAACACGTGAAGTAAATTTATTCATTTTTTAAATACAAGATATTGCTGATATTGTCAGTACATTTATTGCCATTTTCATAGGATAATTAAATTTTCTTCATCATTTATATCATTAGTATTATTTTTTTGTAAATCTGTTTTCAAATGTCGGTGCAGTGAAGTAGACAATCATCGTAACAGTAAAGTACTCTCTTGTGGCTGTCTCGATTACGGCCTTTATAATGTCACTCGTATATTTTAATTATTTCACTCGTATATTTTAATTATTCTTTTTATCTGAATGCCTGTAGAAAGATATTTCTGATATTTTTTAATGTAATGCTAAAAAACAATAAAAATCTTTACAGTTTGAGTCAGTATTATGCGAAATAAAAGTAACTGTTGCTTATTTTTTACACATCACTTAAATTTCTTTGAAGTTTAATTACTTTTGAAGGGGGTTAATTACCAAGTAACAAGTGATAATTGAAAAACTTTATTTTCATTATCAGGTTACATGTGATAATTTCAACACTCAATCTTCAAAAACAAATAGAATTTGAATGTATATTTTGTATGTGCGCGGTCTTTAACTACAGTCCATGGCATGTGTGGTAAGAAAATGATTCTGAATAGGATATATATAAATACAATGTAAATCTATTTTATTTATTAACATTTATAAATGAAATTGAAAATAAACAACTTAATTTGTATAGTCCTTTCTTTGAAAAATAATGAAAATAAACATATGAAGAATAAATCATTTGACGTGAATTGTGAAGGATATGAAAAAATCTGTTTAAAAAAAAAATATATTATAAAACAGCTGTTCTGTATGCCAATAAAAGTTTCTTCCTTGCCAATGTAATGAATTCATCTATATATGAATGAATGTCTAGAATGATCTGAAAATATATTTAATACACTAATTAGTAGAATCACGGATTTACATTACAATATAAATCCGTGGTAGAATATACACTATATTTATACTGATATACAGGTATATCAAATAAAAAATGTACAAATCATTTGGAAATAATTCACAGAAATAAAGACACATTTCAAACATGAATTTCTTTAAAAGTATTTTAGCAGTCAAGAAATATTTTTTTGCAATGCCACCATTAAACCTTTTAAAAATAATTATCTTAAACTGAATCGCGGTAATAATTTATGTTTGACGTAAAAGGGCGTCAAGGTGTAGAGAGAATGCCTAAACAATAAGCGAATATTTTTTAAATTAGGTACTTTTTAACTAAGCGTCGCAGCGTTCTAACGGCGTATTTTCATATATTATTACTTTAGCTGCACAAAATAATACTGTATCAATACATTCATATGTGTATAATTTTTCACAAAGCTGCAATAACACCACATACTCTTGTGAAAATCTGTCATATTTTGCACTCCGAGCGTTCCGCCATCTCATCTGTCCACCTTTATCCGATTCCGCGCATGCGCGCGACGGGACTTTAAGCTAAACGAAAGTGTCCGATCCTTGTAATATAAATCCGTGACAAAGGTAATGAGATAAGTTTCATCTTTGTATGATGACTTTGAAATTTTTGTTATAAGTGAAAATTGAAAGTCATCAAATTGTTCTGAATCTTATCATACTGTTACATTTAATCATATAATCAGTAAATTTATTCTTACTAACCTGCGGTTTTTAATTTTAATACAACTTATACTATTTTCGCATTTAATGTCTATAAATTTACAGATAGAAAAATCTGTGAAATTATAGATGGTCCATAAATTTACAGATTGTCCGTAAATATCATGAAATCCTAGACCTGATAAAATGTCATATTTCTAGGCAAACTAGTAAAATCGGCCCCAAGTTGAATCGGCCCCAAAATTAGTCAAATCGGCCTCAAAATTAGTCAAATCGACCACACAACAATTTTTAAAAAGTCAAATCGGCACCAAAACTAGTCATATCGGTCCCAAAATAGTCAGTTATTTTTGTGAAACATCCTGTTTTGGTTAAAATTAGTCCAAATATTTAGACGTAACCGCGGATTTGAAGCTATTTTTTACATGGGTCAAATTCACATTTTCCGATAAACATCAAACTGTAAAAAAAAGAAAATGCAATGTCTTTCAATGAAGGACTAGGTAAGGTTATTAACTGAAAATTGCGCTTTAATAACTTAAATGTACCAATTAAAATGATTCATTACAAAATTGAAAAACTTTAATGCTAGTGATAATTGTTATTTATGTAATTATGCAGGTGTGCTATGATTGTTGATTGATTTCTACATTTAAATACAATTAAATATCTTCATATAAAGTCGGTCTGCGTTTGAAGATAAATAATTGTGTGAGAAACAAACAATTATCATGTGTCTAACAATTCAGTCCTTGTCTCAAGTTATCATGCATTGAATTCGGCTTCTATAACAAACAATTTTGTGTGAAGTGATTTTTCTAGCAACAGTCAAAAGTGTATTTTACTGTTAACTGTTAGTTACTTAGTGATCTTTTGTGCATTGATTATTTTCCTTTAATTTTGGAGATTACTTACGTTGATGGACTTAATTGTAAAATTGCCATTTGTTCTTTTTAATAACTTTATTAAAATAATAGAAAATAGCAGAGTAATGTTCAGTGATAAGAAGTGACAATAATTTGTGTGAAAAACCTCATATGCTTCATACAGTTACAATAAATAACATGTATCCTGTTTCATATGTTTAAAGTACATTGAAGTTAAACGTTATACTCGGGCAATAAATTAGATTGATTATTATATGTTTTGTTCTTGTTTTCTTTGTAATCAATGGTTTGTCATTTGGTATTCTCATCCACACAATTGTTTTTTTTATCAATATGCATGCAACATTTATAAAAAAAAAAGAAAATGAAAAATGAATAAAGAAAATAAAAGAATGGGGCCGATCTGACTTGAGGCCGATTTCACTTGGGGGGCGATTCGACTATATCAGTTAACTTACGGTTAACCGTTTAACCAAGAGACTGTCAATTTGTATAATAACCTATTAATCAACAGTCTCTAATTGTCAGTGTTTGGAGACTTGGACCCTCAAAGACTGGAAAATGCTGATTAGTAGGGGCCCCTATAAATATTCATGTGTTTAATTTATGAATATATACCTTATATAATTATTGCCCATTATTGACTATTGTTGTATTATATGGGGTAAAGGAAACACAAACTACATAAATAATGTTTGTAATGTACAAAAAGGAATTGCTGAAATCATTTTACAGCAACCACAAAGATCTACTTCAGTGGAGCTTTTCCAATCTCTTAACTGGTTACCATTCCTTGATAGATAAGTCACTTTTCGTAGTTTTCAATGTGAGCGAAAAGAAGATCTCAGAACTTGCTTATAGAAATTATGCAAATAAATGGGGAGTAATCATCGTAGATATTATTAGTTTCTAATAATATACTTCTACAAACTGTGATTTTACTTTAAAATTCTATTAAAACTCTGTAATTCATATTTTTAAAGTCACTCGCTCACTTTCATAAAAAAAGTCACTTGTATTTTAGGCATACCGTGTAAATATTACCAGGCGGATCTTGTTTTTAAATTTTTAAATAACATGGATTGGAAAGAATTGACAACTTTATGGGATAACAAAATATACTATTTAAAATCTAGCTCACGAAAAAAATTGTATTATGGACAAAACCTAAAACAAATTATAAAGACACATTTTCTTATCATGGCATGGACATTTCTTTAAATATTCGCAATGTTGATAATCAAAAAATACAAACGTTACACATATCTTGATGTTAATGTGAATGAACAACAAACAAATAAATGAAGCAATAGACATATATGTATGTTTAAACAAATTGTTAAGTTGAGTGTCTTTCAAGTGTAATCTTATTAAAAAAATGACACATATTATACATGTTTACCTAAATGCAAGTTCTGTTGTTGTCGTTGTTTCAGAAGGTCACATTGGAAATAAGATAAATATGATTGCTGTTGTATATTCTTAATGTGATACTTTCTCTAAATAAAGATAATAGATTATTATTATTATGCTGTTGGGGTTATTGCTGAGCTCTATGCTATTTGCAAGTTTACTTTTAGAATACTAGACAGTATCTGCCCATGATAAACAGGAAAATGAATTATTTATTACTGAACAACTGCAGAATCGGGAGTTAAATTTTAAATGAGTCCAATGCTTCTTGTTATCCCCCGCCGAAAAATTTCGGCGGAGGATATAGAAATAGTCTCCGACCTTCCTTCCGTCCTTCCGTCCGACATTTTTGTCCGGAGCATATCTCTAAAAGTATTTGAGTTATCAACTTGAAACTTCATAGGTGGATAGACCTGATTGAGGAGGAGTGCAGTGCACAAGAATGATAACTCTACCTTGCATGATTTTTGAGTTATTGCCCTTTGTTATTTTTCAAAATTGATTTTTGTCCAGAGCATAACTCCAAAAGCCTATGAGATATTAACATGAAACTTCATAGGTGCATAGATCTCACTCAGGAGGTGTGCAGTGCACAAGAATGATAACTCTACCTTTCATAATTTTTGAGTTATTGCCCTTTGTTATTTTTCATACCTAATTTTTCACCTGAGTGGAGCATAACTCAAAAAGTGTTTGAGATATCAACATGAAATGTCATAGGTGGATAGATCTTATTGAGGAGGAATGTTGTGCGCAAGAATGATAACTCTTCCCTATACAATTTTTGAGTTATTGCCCTTTGTTTTTTTTCATGCTATTTTGTCCAGAGCTTATCTGAAAAAGTATTTGAGGTATCAACTTGAAACTTCAAAGGTGGATGGATCTCATTGAGGAGGAGTGCAGTGCTTAAGAATGATAACTCTACCCTGCATTATTTTTGAGTTATTGCCCTTTGTTATTTTTCAAAATTAATTTTTGTCCAGAGCATAACTCAAAAAGCCTTTGAGATATCAAAATGAAACTTCATAGGTGCATAGATCTCACTCAGGAGGTGTGCACTGCACAAGAATGATAACTCTACCTTTTATAATTGTTGTGTTATTGCCCTTTGTTCTTTTTCATACTTAATTTTTCAATTCAATTTTTTTCTCAAAAAGTATTTGAGGTATCAACTTGAAACTTCATAGGTGGATAGATTTTACTGAGGAGGGATGCAGCACACAAGAATGATAACCTACCCTGCATTATTTTTCAGTAACTGCCCTTTGTTAGCTCGACTTTTCTATGAAAAGGGGAGCTATCCTACTCGCCCCGGCGTCGGCGTTGGCGTCACACCTTGGTTAAGTTTTTCGTACCACCCCACTTTATTTCAGAAGTATTACAAGTATGGCTTTGAAACTTACCATACTTGTTCACCATCATAACCTCCATCTACAGACAAGAGTACATAACTCTGTCAAGGTTTTTGACAGAATTATGGCCCTTTTTTTGACTTAGAAAGTGTATTGAGCTTGGTTAAGTTTTTTGTACCACCTCACTTTATTTCAAAACCATTGGAGGTATTGCTTTGAAACTGACCATACTTGTTTACCATCACGACCTTCATCAACAGACAAGAGGACATAACTCTGTCAAGGTTTTTGACAGAATTATGCCCCTTTTTGACTTAGAAAATACATTGAATATGGGTAAAATCCACTTATTGCCTTAACCCTTTGAGATATTGCTTTGAAACTTTTAATGCTATTTCACATCATTACCCCCATCTGTACGCAAGAGAAGGTAACTCTGTCAAGGATTTGTTTTAAAAATTAAGGCCTTTTATCGACTTAGAATCTTGGTTAAGTTTTTAGTACCAGTCCACTTTTTGACTGAACTGTTTGAGATATTAATTTGAAAGTTGGAATACTTGTTTACAATCATGATTCCCAAACATGTCCAGGAGAAGGTAATTCTGTCAAAGATTTTATTTGAATTATGGCCCTTAACTGTCAATGTTTTGTATTATAGGCAAGCACTAAAAAACTTAAAAAATCTAAAAAAATTCATTCCTATCCACTTGTTCACTTTACCATAAATTATGTCATATAAACATTGCTGTAATATTCAAGGGTATCAAACAACTAGTTCACTTTAAAAATACAGAGATTCTTGTATTGCCTTTTACTGCAAAAACTTTTTTTATTGGCAAGCAATAAAAAAGTCCAGCGCGCTGTCTTACGGACAGCTCTTGTTATTTTCAGCCATCAGTATTCACATAGGTTTCAAATCTGTAATCACTATAGCCATCAGTTTTCATTACCAAAAGACCTCTTAAAATGGAATTATTCCGCTCTACTACATATACATTCTTCCAATGAGCAAACACATTCGGCGGGGGATGGCCATGTTGACATGGCTCTTGTTCACTTTTAAAAGGGGAGATGTTATTTAAAAAAGGTTTTAATAATTGTTGATCTATGTATTTTGCCTCTCTTTTTTCAGACTGGAAGGTGGGCAATGTTTTTGTCAGGGATATTTTATGGTGCATGGAGATTAAGTAAGTACCTTTCATCTTGTGAGATCTTTATTTTAAATGATCAGCTATGTTTAATCATCCTCCAACATTGTGAATATTTATTTTGAGATCTGCTGCTTGAAAGGAGTGGGGCAAAATGTTGTAGTTGATGAGAAAGTGTACAACAGGCCTACTATGATATCATCGTGTTATCATTGCTTATTGCTTAAGGAATAGCAGGGCCTTTTAATATGTCAGTGTTCCTAGTATCATACAGTATTCTGATACATTAATGCAAAGTTTAAAAAAAAATACAACTTACTGATTTTCTAAGATACATATAAAAACTAAGATCAAATTGCCACCTGCCATATGATCCACAATCCAACAAATATTCAATGTTTTTGGTGTGCACTTCAACGATAGCTAACACTTACTGACATAACATTAATGCTATTTTTTTCCAGATAGCTTAAAGCCTGTGCAAGAGGCCATAAATGAAAGAGATGAAATTCTTCACGAGTTCATCAAGGCTAGAAAATACAGATTCTTCATCGATAAGGGTGACGGTAAGTGTCATTTTATAAAGCTCTCTGCACTTCACCCTTAACCTCTGAATTTGTATTAACTATTATGAATAAATTTGCCTTTCTTTGAATTAGGTGTAATTTATTCAAGTTTAAGGCATTTGAATTAAAAAAAAAAAAAAAATTGAGTCACCAAAAGTATAAAGCCTTGCCAGCAATGAAGAACCTGTTCAGGTTGTACGGATATGCAGGTTCATGACATGGCTCTAAACTGTTGACAAAGGCTAATCTCTGTCGTTACTATCAGGTAAAGGGTTTAAGCAGCTGTAATAACTCAACTGCCAAATAGGATGTAGCTTTAACTTCAATGCCCTCTAACCTGAACCTAAATTTATAATATTATACAAAAAAAAATTATGCAAACATTTCTATAAATCCAACACAAAAAAGTTTCATCACTGTCAAGGTACATTACTAAGCATAAACATTCATTTCATTGTTTTGCTAAGAGCTTTAATTAAAAAGTAATGTCTGTGATTGATCTACTTCTTTGTGCTATATCTACGGTGTGATATCACTGTGAACAGAAAGTAGTATCTCTTTTGTGACCATGTAATTTTATATTATGAGCTAGATGGGTGTTTGTCATCCACTTTTTTTGTTTTACTGCATGAAGACAGCTTCATATGAACCACACTTGCACTGAATTGGTATCAGGTAGATCTTAGCTATTGCTTTAAAGTGGCCAGATGCCATCATGCAGTTGGGGTTCCGAATTAGGCATGTTTGCAATTTCATTATTATGGGTCATTTATTTTTACAATACCCATAACTGGATTTTTTTATGAATAATAAACTGATAATAAAATCATGCTTGGTGCTGGTTCTAATATCAAACAGTAAAAAAAGTTTGTATGGAATGTCACTCTACCCAAATAAAATCTGCAATGACACAGGCTTAGAATTTTGACATGTCTCTTGTGGTTTGGCTGGCCTGTCTCTTTACAGTTTAATGATTGCATTGAGGAGAGAAAATCTAATATTGTTGCCAACATTTTAAGGAAAAATTCATGTTAAAAGTTGCACATTTGGACCAAATTTATAGTAAATTGTGGTCACTTAAATGCTTTTGATGCCCCTTTATGACAGTCAGTATAGAAAATTATCATACCCTACCCAGCCAACTTCAAACGACCACCCCTTCCGTCCATTCATTTTTAGAAAATATCAACAAAATGATTGGTGTCCATAACAATTTGATTTTTATTTTGCAGAGGATGCATATCTGTTGTTGAAACAAGTCCAAGGCGAACCAGCAGGAGAATTGCCTGAAATCAGAAAACCACTTCTTTTGGACGATGAATAGAATCAAATTTATAATTTAATGTTTGAACATATTTGTGAAGTGAACTTTTAAACAACTTAAGATAATTATTGGAGCTTTTGCACTGTATCAGGACATGGAACAGTGTTTTCTCATATAATATGTAAAACAAATTATGCATAAGTATGCATAACAAAGAAAAAGTGCAGAAAGAAAATATTATTAGCGAGTGCCAGAAGGATACTATGTATTTTTGAATGAATAAAATTTCTGTAAATACATAATTGTGTTTAAAGTGTTATACCCTATTGTTTGTTGTTTTATGGTTATGGCTTTGTCCATCCATCCATAGACAATTTGTTTCTGCTGGATAACTAAGGAGATCTATAATTGTCATGAGTAGTAGTTTTTAAACCCCCATTTGAAAAACCGGTCATATAGTTTCCCCCCTGCGGGCGGGTGGCGTCTACAATTTTGTCTGGAGCATATCTCCTACACACAAGGAGGAATTTTAATGAAACTACACAGAAATGTTCACCACTATACGCACATGAACCAGGTCTCTAGGTCAGTCATACTTGGTCATTGGAACTTCTACATGCATAGTGGGATTTCAATATAACTTGGCACAAATGTTCACCATTGTGAGGCGGAGTGTCACATGCAAAATTTAGGTCCCTGCAGTCAATGTCACGCAGGGGTCAAAGTTCAGAAAAATATGAAAATAAGTATTCTGGTCATTTAGTCATCATTTTTTGAGGGATTGAAACATAAATGGTCATCATGACTACAGGTGTGAAATATATAATTTAGGTTAATAAAATTATGTGCAAGGTCAATGTCACAAAGATGATGAAATAAAGAGATTTTGTCCAGAGCATATCTCCTACACATGTGGATGGATTCTAATGAAACTTCATAGAAATGTTCACCACTATGAGAAGCAGTGTCATGCGCATAAACAAAGTCTGTAGGACTGTCAAAGTCACACTAAGAGGTCATTGAAAAATGCTTGTCCGGAGCAAAACTTTTACATGCATAGAGGGATTTCAATATAACTTGGCACAAATGTTCACCATTGTAAGGCAAAGCGTCACATGCATAATTCAAGTGCCTGTTGTCAAGGTCACACTTAGGGATCAAAGTTCAGGTAATATGAAAATGTGTATTCGAACCATTTAATCATCATTTAATGAGGGATTGAAACACACATGTTCATTATCGGGACTACAAGTGTGACACATGTAATTTAGGTTAATATGGTTCAATTACTATATTTTTGGGGGGTGTATGAAAAAATAAACATTCAAAGCTAATATGGTTAAATTTGAAACTTTAATCAATACAATAATCTTATAAATTAAATATATACATAATTATAAGCAATTTTTTTTATTTTGATAATTTAACAAATGAGATCACATAACATTATAAGCATAAATTCCTGATTAACAAAAATCAATGAAGAAGAGTTGACATCAAATTATAAGTTTATGGCAATTGAGAATTATAATTTTTAGACTTCATTTTAGGAAAGGATCATTAAATCAGATAAAGAAACACTGTTTACGGTATATACAGTGAGCTGCATTTAATATAAAAACTAGAGAGGATTTAAAGTATTGTGCTTATTTGTTTGCCATAACCACTATTTGGCTATGATAAATTTAGTATATTTTAAAGCGCTGTTGCTGATTATGAAAATATCTTGTACAGTCTGCAAATGCCACTTCAGAAATAAAAGTACCACAGTCTCCTTGATGGAAATGTGGGGACAATTTTCATAACAATTATGCAATATTTTATAAAAATTTCTGTACAAATGTATAGATTTTATCATGCATTGTGAAATGCACATGACTTGGAGTAACAGCTAAGTTTAAAGCTTCTGCTAGATTAAATCTCAAGTGCTATAGCCTAACAAATAGTACTCTGAATCAAAAATATTTTATGTCTATTTTTGTGAGGAACATCTTAACTATGTTCAGAATTGTATGTTTTACTGCAAGGTTCTGACCCAGAATCTACTTTAGATATGTCAATGTTAAAAGTAATTAAGTTTAAGTAATGGCAAGTGCAAGCTCTCACATAGGAATTCCTGGATATACTGGCACTCTCCAATTAATACAAAGTAACGAAATGACCACCTCTCCTGATTATCATAATGTTTTTAAAGAAAATTAACCCTTTTTCACCTATTTAGCTTGGTCTATTTTAAATTTCATATTGACGATATCCCCTAGTCCCGCCTCTATCACATCACCACTGGCAACAGGTCCCACCCCTTCGGGCGTTCCTGTAAGAATTACATCCCCTTCTTCTAGCTTAAAATATCTGCTTATATAACTTATAAGATAAGGAATGCTAAAAATCATATCACTAGTTCTGCCATCTTGTTTAGTAGTATCATTCACCTTCAGCCACAAACGAACATTTCCTGGATCTGAAATTTTATCTTTGTCAATAAAACCACTAACAGGGCAAGACGTATCAAAACCTTTGGCAAGTGACCATGGCTGGCCCTTTTTCTTGGCTTCATCCTGAAAATCCCGTGCTGTCATATCAAGTGCAAGAACATATCCACCTATATGATTACTTGCATCTTGTTCCGGTATTGCCGAACCTGATTTTCCAATCACAATTCCCAGTTCAACTTCGTGATGAAGAGAAGAGCATCCAATTGGAATCTGAAATTTAAAAAATGCATATTTGATATAATGAAATTGGAATTGGAACATTGCTGTTGCAAAGATTGCAATATAGACAACAATGACAAGTTTTTATGGGTATATAGCTATATTGAGCCGTCTGTAATTTGCCGAATTATTTTTATATGCTAATGTTTTCAGTAGGGGAGGCATAGAGATTTACCCTTGTCCTGCCCTGGTGTCAGTTCATACAGTCTGTTTTTGTTATGTATATAATCTCCAAAAGTATTAACTGCTAAAGCTATGAAACTTTCTAAATAGTTTCCAGTATCTAAACTTAAACATCTGGGCATTTTAACGCAAATTTATTTGAGATCAGCTGCCTTGCCCCCTGATAATTTTTCAAAAAGTCACAATATCTGTCTGCAGACTGTAGTTTGTGAAAAGTATAACTACTACAATAACTGCTACAGTCATGAAACTTTTTAAGAAAAGATGTCAACATTTAAACTTTTATACTTTGGTATTTTATCACAAATGTGTCATCAGCAAAGTTATACCTGCTGATAAATAAATATAAATGAAGAAACTTTTTAGAAATGTGTCACAAGTAACTTCAGTAAGTATACTGAACCAAAAAAGAAACTTTCGCAAAGTATGTGCTAGTTGTTCAAGGGTACCACTTAGATGTACACACTTATATACATGAAGTAGCTTGTAAAACTCGTTTTGTTTGCAAAATTGGTCAGCTAATCCCCGTATAAAAGCCCGATATGTTTGTTCAACATAAAATCGAGTTTCAAAAGGATTGAAAAACTGTACTAACATATCTACATTCAAACTTAGAGAAAGTTTCTTTTTTGTTTCAGTATATATTTGCTACAACTTGCTAAGAATTGCTGTCAGCGTGTGAACTACTGCACCTGGGTATTTTGACACAAACTTTTTTTAGAGTTATGCCCCCTCATAAGCTAAAAATCATTTCAATACCTTGACATTTTCGCCCTCTGTAATGTAGGATGAAGTTGGTTTTAAAAACAATATAGGTTTTTGTGGCACTGGATTTCCAAGTTCTGCAGCATGTGCTCTGAAACATACAAATTCATTTTGTTGTTAATGATGCAAAGTAAATGCATGTTGAATGAAAGTTGACTGCAGGAGAAAATCATGCTTGACTGTAATTCCAGCACTTGATAATGAATCATAGAAACTGGAATACAAGATGTAAGAAATATGTGGCATATTCTCAACATCCATGATAGTTATATAATCTTTACAAGTAGAGGTCACGGTTACATGTCATAATGCCAAATTTCAAAGTAGTGAAAATATTGTAAGATGTAAAAATATGGTACATTCTTAAATTGAATGTGCTATAGCCACCAAATACCTCTTTTGATTATAATGTTATTTGTTTATAGTGAAATTAACCGTTTTAAACTTTTTTTGTTTCCTTTAACACTTTACATACTAAATGATAGGTCTTTAAACTTTGTCAACTTAAGACAATGGAGGAACATCAATTTAGTGGTGTTTTTCAGCCCGGATGGTCAAAAGTTAAAGATTATTGATGATATTTATGAAAAGAATGAAGGCTGAATTTTCTATTTCAATATTTTTTTCTGTTTTAGAAAGCATGAAATGGTAAAGTTAACAGGTCTATATCAAACTCATCCATTTTTTGCAAAAACCTGTATAGATATATAAACTTGTGCAAACCAAGTCTATTATATAGTTTGAAATTTTCTATGAATGAAGTATATATATTTTGAAATTTTCTTCAAAATCATGAATAGTTTTGTTCAGATTAAAAGTGAGACAAGTCTATTTAGATAATTAGCATGTTAAGGGTTAATGAAAAGGTAATAACCAATGACCATTATTAGGCATGGCAAAAAATCTTCAGTTGAAAAAGGGGCTTTACTTAAAATTAATTTCAGGACTATCTGTCCTTTTGAAATGGTTATCTTTTGTGTTAATATTAAAACATGTTGCTTATGTATACCATGTTTGAAGTGAATAGCTTTTTATGTTACTTAGAAAATGGACCTTAAGGAAAGGTTAGCATAACCACTAGCTGGGATAGCGTTAATTAAAGTCTATTTTCTCAGAAATTATCAAACATATTCACTTCAAGCTTGGTATAATACATGTTCACTGTTAAAATATGATGTCATTTCAAAAGGACAGATAATATTAAAATTTATTTTGGCAAAATTTTTCCCCTTTCTGACTTTTTTTTGGGCTAAGTTCCATTTCTCAAACTATTCTTTTCAAAATGCTTTTTTCCCTCTAAAATTGTTATTTTCCCCCCTATTTAAGGGATACGGACAAAAGCCCCCCCCTCCCCCGGACAAAAGCCCCCCCCCCATCTAAAAATGACAAGGTGGACAAACCCCCCCCATGAAATTTACACATTGGACAAAAGCCCCCCCATGAAAAATACAGGTAGACAGGTAGGACAAAAGCCCCCCAGTCCATGAAACATTGTTATTGAGAATCTCATCAGTTTCATTCCGGAACTAGATGTATTGAGACAAGTCAAAAATGCAATTGTTTTAAAAGATAATTTACATTAAGATTTAAATTTAAATGTACAAAGTTCTAATTTGATTTATTGTGTAATTCGTATATAATTCATTGATGATATGAATGTTTTTATGTTTATTATATATTGTACAGTACAAATGTAAATATTTTCAGAGAATCATTTATCAATGCTTATCAAGGAAATAAAAGTGGAAGGCGCATACTTGTCTAGATTTATTTGTAGTATAACCCAAGTTCCCTAACACTGGGCGTGTGAAAAAAGATAGTTATCAGTCTGGTCTATAAACCTTAGCGGGGCTTTTGCTGGATGGGGGTTGGGGACGGGGGCTTTTGTCCAACCTCTATTTTTGATGGGGGGGGCTTTTGTCCTATGTGTAAATTTCATGGGAGGGGCTTTTGTCCACCTTGTCATTTTTAGAAGGGGGGCTTTCGTCCGGGGGGGGGGGGGCTTTTGTCCTACACTCCCTATTTAAAGCCCTGTGCACATTTGTCACGAGAGCAACTGACTTAGATCAGCTGGTAAATAAATTTATTGGACTTTAAGACAGATAGCTGCATGTCTCTATAGAAAGTCTAGATTGCTGACTTTCTTGTATGATAAAAACTTTTATACACAGCCTGTATTTGCAAGTAAAATTGTAACTTTCATTCACTCAAGATAAGGGACAAAGTTATACATTTTACAAATATTTTCAGGTTTGATATCAGTTATTACACATGCTGTCACCGTTGTCACAGAACAATTACCTATAATTCCGCCCAACAGCGACGATTTTTCTACCCCACTGGGTGAATTGTGTCAATTTTGAAGCCATCTTGAAACGTGAAAAGTTACCTCCCTTCCTTTGTATAGGGTACTACCAAAAAGTTTTACCACATTACATTTAAGTGGTGTAACATACGGCGTGACATGTCATATGTATATGTTGTAATGTTGACCAAAATCTAAGCATCGAAAATAAATTAATAACAACTATAACTCTAGTTTGTTTTGTTTTTAGATTTTTTTTCGATACATATAATGACAATAAAATGTTTATAAATATTTAATACAAAAACGAAGCATTTATTGTATATACACAAGACTTAATAATACAACTTTATGAACTGAAAATGAAATAGCTGAAAAATAGAAATTGTAAAAGCGTAAAAATGTCCATTTGCTAAAACTTATGTAGATATACTCAATTAAATTGTACATATAAACGGAAAAGCAAGTTCTATTAAGCCGAATCTATGGTGTGTCTCGTTTTCATTTTGGCATTGCCGCTGAATTTATTGAGTGGAATCATTAGCACTATACCAACATCTTCAATTTGAAACATCCCAAATACGTACATTTCATAAAGTAAACAATGTTCAGGTGCTATCGTAATTTCTAGATTACAATTTACACAACGTATAGCTACATTTCAAACAGCATTTATAAAACATCACCTTGCATGGTTTACGAAATGATATCCAGAAGTATTCGGCGAATGACCCATATTAGGCAAGCTATGTCTTCCTGGGTACACTGCTAATGGTACATGAAGTCTACTCGCGCTTGCAAATGAGTTCATCTTATCACGTGCAGTGTCATTTCTAAGTATATTCTGAATGTCACTTGTGTGGTGTATTTTTTGTAACACAGCATTATCCAACCCTGTAGGATGTGCATTTGGAAACATATGAGGTTGCCTGGTCGTATTTCCGTTGGGAGAGGATAATTGTTGCCCTGTAGGAAGTCTCATATCTATCGGTGACGGCATCCTGCCGTATGTTTGGTTGGTTGGATTTGGAGAGGTTAAATGAAAAGGTGGTGGGCAAATACCGAACGCAGCTAACTGGGCGACATCAACGCCACCTGTAGGCAAACAAAAAGCCTGAGACTGTTCCTCTTCCCGTTGTTGGCGCTTCTCTTTCATGCGTCTATTTTGAAACCATGTCTTAACCTATAAAACAAGACAATACTGTTAGTTTGTTTAAAATGTATATTTGAGTGACGTGTGTTACAACATACATTATGGACATGCATTGCGAAATAAATCAACATCCGGCTCTTTGGGCCTATAGTTCACCTAAAATAATAACCTAACTTAATAAAGCACATGTGCATGTTGTTTTTTTTGGTTTTTGTTGGGTTTTTTTAAACAAATTATAACGAATAGATAAAGGATCAAATGATATTAAAGGTAATAAGCATATGATTTTAAAATATACATGTATGTAATATATATGAAAAGACATAAAATATCTGAAGTTTGAAATTTATGAATTCAGCTGATTTTGCCTAGATCTACTCTGAAATGCTTTTATAATAATAATAATAATAATAATAATAATAAATAATAATAATAATAATAATAGGCATGATTAATCTTCATTTGATTTAACCAAATAAAATATTGTTAGATAAAGAGAATATTTCGTGTATGTTACAAAATCAAAAGTCATGACACATTTTAATGTTTGTTTATGCTCAATCTTTAATCTTAATTACTACGTTGAACTCGGATAAGTTAAAATTAGGCAGACATGCAACGGGATATCGAACTGGATTGACTGCATGATTTGAGAAGACTTATTTGTCATCCCAGACAAATCAGGCTGCTAAATGACTTCTGTACACATTTGGTGGGGGGGGGGGTGGGGTGGCGGTATAACTGCAATGTAATAACTATATACAAAGTAATTGCAATTATTAAATCGCATTGACCTCTGTCACACATGCTTTTATCTCATAGACAGCAGGATACGCGGGTAAAGTATCACCTTAAATAGTATGTAATCCTTTAAATGCACATGTCATCACTATGTTTTGTTAACCAAATTGACAGATTATATCTAGTCTTGGGGGAAACATGTTGGTCTTTTGCTTTTCATTTCCGATTAATATGTACAGAATTTTCAGTTATAAAAGAATAGACCCATTCATATTTAATGTTTTAGTATAAAAAGTTTTAGTCTGATATTGAAGAAGTTTTAGTCTGATACTAATGTCTTATAATGTTAAAAATCCAGTACACCATGTGCATGTATGAAATCTAATAGACGTATTTTCATTTGATGAAAGTAAAATATTGTCACATTACCTGTTGTTCTTTAAGCTTCAATGCCTTTGCGATGTTGGTTCGATCGCTCGCAGTTAGATACTTTTGAGTTTTGTATCGTTTCTCCAATTCCTTTAGTTGTTCTCCACTGAAAGCTGTGCGGGCCTTTTTCCGTCCACGTGACAGTTCGTCACTGCACGTGCTCTCATTGTCTACATCTTAAAATAAAGTAATCGTTGGATATATTTCTTGTTATTTTTACATATAGTGAGTAAAATCAAAATTTGCTGAAAGAGTCTTAAGAAAATCTAATGCGTATGTTTTCGGGTTTTACTTTCACGACAAATGGTTAAAAGCTAAATAAGTAATCTTATATCCGGCCATCATTGCAAAAAGAAAAAAAAGCAATAAAATTAAAAGTGTATGTTTGTAAATATTTTGTGTAAAATTTAATTTTTATCCCCAGAAAAATCTGAATTAATAAATTTTATCCCAAAGAAGGAATACATAGTGCAAGTTTTTAAAAAAAAAGTTTTGAAAATAAGAAGTTAATGTTGTTCAAAATCTAATGCACCGTCGTATATTTTCGGTTTTTACTTTCACGACAAATGGTTAAGGTAAATAAGTAATCTTATATCCGGCCATCATTGCAAAAAGATGTTTGTAAATATTTTGTGTAACATTTAATTTTTATCCCCAGAAAAATCTGAATTAATAAATTTTATCCCAAAGAAGGAATATATAGTGCAAGTTTTTAAATAAGTTTTGAAAATCAGAAATTAATGTTGTTCAAAGTTTATTTTAAAATAAGGTTACTGCAGCTACATACCTGAGGTCGCGTATGCTGTAGACGTAGGACTTTGTTTTTCCTCTTCCGGGCAACTCACGTTGCTTGTATCTATCACCATTCTGTCGTCTGCAAACGATTCGTCAGATGATGGTGGCGTGCACGTGGAATCCAAACGTCGTCGTTTCGGCGAAGGCATTATAGGTGTAGAATGGTTTGGCATATGAGACATTGAAGGCAATAATGTGGTCTGCCTCTCAAAAGAACCATGAACCATATTTTCTGGCACTGGTAACCTTAAGTCCATTGTGAGCATTCCATTCACATGTGCACTGTTAATCCATTTTTGTAAATTGTCATTTGAATTGTAGTCAACAGAGCTAGGTGACTTCCTTGACTCAAGATAGCACAAATATGGTGAGTCTGTATCACGCTCCTGCTGTTCATCGTGACTGCTTATTGCCAAGCTCTCAACAGAGAAACTTTGTCGTTTCGTGCCTTTTTGCTTAAACAACATTGTAGCAAGCGACTAGAGTCCTCACTTAAAATGCCGCTTATTAGTCAAATAAGAAATATCCCACAAGGCACTGATTAATAATAAATATAATGTATCTTATGAACTCTGAAGATCTATATGCTAAGAACTAGTATAAAATATAGATAAAACTGTTCGACCGCCAGATGGAATTAAAATGACTGTACCAAAGCCTGGGAACAGATATAAAATTACAAGTAGGTGTCATAAACAGTTTTTTACTCAAACTTTTTGTGTCAATTGTCTGATGGCTTGGATAATTTACCGGACTAAACATGTTAACTATCGACTTTCACATTATCTTTTGTTACTCTATTAAGTACCTATAACAGTTTAGAGTAATGTTTTGTGCAATTGACCAACCGTTGGCAGATTACACTAAAGAAAGAATGGACAAACAATAAAAATGTGGCGAACTATTGAGTAAATAATCGCACCTTATGCTTTGCATTAGCTCCTCGTTGAAAGACGTGATTAACGCAAACAATGGCATTAAGGATTTTACAAACAACTGGTCAATTAGTTATCAAAACTGTACATACGTTACATAAGGGGTTAATATACTTATATCAATACAATCAAAGCTCGCTCATCTGTCGCGTGCTTTATGCGGATATCTTCGCGATTTATCGTGAAAAGGAGACATAAAAGTTTTGCTGAATGGATTATAATCGGATGATAATCAACAAGATTTAAGATGACATGATTGGGAATGTATCAAAAGAAAAGATTTTTCTTTATTTCAAATGAATTCCATACAGGTCTAATAATTTACTTAAAGAATAATCTCTTACAATTCTTTCATTTAATTTATTTGTCAGAAAGAAATGAAAAGTATAAGTTACTTATAACGTAAATATCAATCATTCCATAATCTTCGTTATTCTATCACTTTGATGTTTTGTTTATCAGATAATAATATTAATAAAATAATCTTACATAAAAGGGACAATATTGTGAATTTGAAATGGCCTATTATAGTCCTTAGTTAATGAAAATCTAATTTTAACATTTAATAGCTTGGAAGGGTATTTTCTTATAAAGCAATACTCTAATGCGAAAAAAAACAACAAACAAAACAACAACAACACAAACACTCTGCTACCCTAGAAAATCTTATTCAAAATCCACTCTATGGATATAGACACAAAAGAAGGCTTTCCTTCCGCGTAAAACAGTATAGGTAAATATACAAATTATAAAAAAGACACACAATATCATCATGTTATTTTCCCCTTTATTCTCGAGATTCTTCATCAAAATGAACAACAAAAACAAACAAAATGCACTCTAAGCACATGGATATATAATTATCATAAACAAATAATATAACATGTATGTACTTAATTCCCCTTCACTGTTCATGATTAAAAATGTGAAACCTTAACTAATAAAATATAACATTTTGACATATAGATTCCTAGGAATATTTATGTCCTGTGAGTCAACTTTCTTCTTTACCAGTTAAAAGCAAATATTAGCACATCATTTTAAAAAAATCTTTTACTCTATTTACTTAATCAAATACAAGTCTACAGCAGAATTTTAAAATTACTTATAAGCGCAAAAGAGCGATCAATAATGCCTTGCTACTTTGTCACAAATATACAGCCAACAAAACCTGCTTCTATATCTGTACATTCTGACCAAGCATTATACTGTTGGCTGATCAATTGAAGCATTTTGATATTGAAATCACTCAAACTTACAATAGACAGTAACTACAAGTTCAAAACAATACAGGCTGTAATAGACCTCTTTAACATTAATGTAATTATATATTGTTTAATCATGACCATGTATTAACATTAGAATAATTTGTTGATAGTTCCTAAAGTTTGAACCTTGAAGCTTATGTTGAATCACTCTAAAATCTTATTCTTTAAACAAAAACTGTTGTTTTATGAATTAATATTGTTGTGTCTCCTGTAAGTCTTGAACCCATGATCACAGACATATTTAATCACCATGTCTGCATTGCTCATTTGAAATTGCTGGAGTTACAATACTATTAATCTGGCACCTAGGCCAATTTATCATTAACTAAATATCTTATGATCAAATGGGAAGGATGTGCCAAATGATCTTGGTTTGCACAGGTTGTATGGGTACTGTAACTAGCAAACAGGCTAGTTAATATGGAGACATGTCAATGTATTTTCTATATATATACAAGTACACAAAAAATAAGCACTATAAATATTTAACAAACAGGCACAACCAGATTTTTTTGCATTGCAGTGCATATACAAATTCCACCTAGCATAATTATATATCATACACAAATTCTTCCCAGCATTATCATTTACAAATTCCACCTAGCATAATTATATATCATACACAAATTCTTCCCAGCATTATCATATACAAATTCCACCTAGCATAATTATATATCATATACAAATTCCACCCAGCATTATCATATACAAATTCCACCTAGCATAATTATATATCATATACAAATTCAACCTAGCATTATTATATAAATTCCTAGCATATATAAATCAATACTTAAAATATGTATTTTCACCTAGTACAATAATTCTCAAAGAGTATAAAGCTACATGTATATCTCATGAAATATTTTTATAAAATTAATCAACAGTAAAATTATATTGGTTCATAATCTATGGTTGACTCTCCAACAAGTTGTTACATAGAATACCTCTGTTATTTAACACACATGAATATTGTTTGTAAACAGAATAAAATGTTACAAAACAAAATAATATTGCTTGCTATTTAAAGTAGGGTTTCATCCATTAAGTATTCACTTTTAAGGCAATTTACTACCATATTTCTTTCATACAAGCATTATGGAAGTATTATTTTCTTTAAATTTCAAACAAAAAAATTTTGCAGCGGATATATAGCTTTATACACTTTAAAATAAAGCATCTAAAAAAGCTATGAAGAAACATATTCTGGACCTAATGACCCTGGTATATCCATCAACACACTTTAAAATTTCAATAACAAAATATCTTAACCTTTGGCATGTGTAATGGATTTACACCATAGAGCAGTTCATTTGATGTTTAGGATTTAAGTATCAAAATATCCTAAATTTTTAGGATTTAAGTATCAAAATATCCTAAATTTTTAGGATTTAAGTATCAAAATATCCTAAATTTTTAGGAGTTAAGTATCAAAATATCATAAACATTAAAGATTTAAGTATCAAATATCCTAAAATTTTAGGTTCTTAGTATCTTAACTACAAAAACTGGTCTATTAAAAGCTAATAACATTTGGATCTAGTAGGTTTTAAGGGTTATAAGATAGCAAGCATTGAATAATAATATCTGTCATATGTTGCGGTTCGGACCGGAATATCCGTCCCGAGGGGACCCGCCCATTGGGCGGTAACGAGGCTTGCCGAGTTACCGCCCATGGGCGGGTTCCCGAGGGACGGATATTCCGATCCGAACCGCAAACATATGAAAGATATAATTTTTTGCATATTCTGCCATATTATTTCATATTTAAAATGGTTTACCTCAATATGATAAATGTTCATGGAAATTAAAGTCATTTCATCCATAACTATTTTCTTACAATAGCGTATGAACTTACAACTTAAATAACAACGGCGAAATGACGTCATCCTAAGCACATATTTCCCTTCTAAACTGACGTCATTTTAACGCGGTTCATTCATAAATGGAGCTAAAATGACGTTGTTGTATGGCACGCGACTCATCTGGCACCCCCCATGCCAGATGAAATTTCCGGCATGGGTAAAACTCACGGAAACGCCAGTCTGCTATGCAAGAAATATTTATCTTGTTGTTAGTCATTTTATCAATTACACTAAACATTTGATTTCATGAGTTCAAAACTGTACTATTACAAATCATTTTATCACATTAAACCCTAACTCTGCTTAATTAATCTCCTAAATGGACTGTCCAACTTTCAATTTTGGAACTGTCTGTTATAAAATTGGAACTATTAGGATGTAAAAATATAGTTGGTCAGCCATCAGTATATAACCTGGTCTGTGTGTATGGACATGAAAGCTGACCTGGCTCTATACTATAGTTACAAACACTTATCTTTTTTGTTCTAGGACCTGAAATGACAGGATTTTTGGTAGAATTGTTTTTAATAAAACGTTAGAAAATGCAAATCAATAATGTCAAAGGTATTAAGAAATGCAAGTCATAGTAGGGCATCCATGACCGAGTTATAAAGACAATTTAAAGGATAATTTATTATTAAGACATTAGAATGTAGCAATTTCAAGACTTAATCAAAGTTTACAATAGTGACCTTATGTATGTAATGCAGACATATTAAGTAATACCTAATATTTTATGTACACATTTTACACTTATAGCACATTTATCAGTGTTGACATTCTATACAAGTTATATACAGGAATAAAAACATTTAGATCATTACAAATCCATCAAACATCATATATATAGAGTAATAAAGATTAAAGACATATTATCTCCCTTAATAAGTAAACCACCATACTTCTATCATTTATCTTTAATGTAATACAGCTTGATTTAACCATTTAACCTTCAATTTGAATCATCACAATTTCATCATTGATTTCGAAAATAGATCAGTAAATAACTCTTCATTATAATCATTTAAATGAAGAGATAAAAGATGAAATTATGGTGGTTTACCTCTTAAAGGTGATAATTTGTCTTTATAATGCAGCATCAAATAATGTCTCATGTATCTTCTGCAGACAGATAAATCATTATGATTAATCATCAATTTAACATCAATTAAATCATAAATTACCAACAATACACCATACTTCCATACTTCATGATGACGTTAACCTGTACCCTGTTAGAACATTAAGTCTTTGCCATCAGTATAGTGCCAGACCAGCCTGTACCTGTTGGCAGTCTGACGAGGCCAGTATAGAGCCAGACCAGCCGGTACCTGTGGGCAGTCTGACGAGGCACTATAATATCCCTAGTTCAATTTTTGTAATTTGATATAACAAATTTCATGCTGGGCAAATCTATTATACACATTATGTAGGTTATAGGTTAATTGACTACATTTACTTATATGCATTATCACTCATAAATATACATAAATAAATTACAATTCCATAAACATCACTACCATAAACATATATCTCTGGTAAATCAACATGATTTATAAATCATTAATATCTACACAATAAATCATTATTCCATTCATATCTCAGTTAACTCATTCTTACCTACAAACAATTTATACTAAATTATAATTTCATTTGAACAGTAATTCATCTAGAACAATTTTTGATGAACTCCCTTAATGCCCAAACATGTCATGGCTACTTATATAAAATTGCTGACAAACTAATTATTGAAATATTATCAATTAAAACTATACATGATATTTGTTTACACCAAATTGGTTCTCTCTATAAGCAATAAGAATTTGAATAGTTTTCAAAGCTCAAGTGAAAATATAAAAGAAAGTTACTCTTGGAGGTGAGATATAGCCCATGTTTATTAAACCAAAAAACAACAAATTTTCTTATTGTCTTACAGTAACATTCAATAGTGCTACCTCTAAGCTTATCAAACATTTCTAAGATTGGCACCAAATCAGGCAAATTTACATGTCATTAACCATATGCCATGAAAATTATAAATCACTAAGATTGTGAGATCTAACTTACACTAACTTAATATAACTAAATAAACAATGATTTCATAGTCATTTATTAATTCACTGTTGAAATGGTGTATATAGGAAGTACACATCATTTATAAATTGTAAAACTATAAATATGTAAGTTAAAAACACTCAACTCATCATTTACTTTATCATATAAAAACTTAACCCCCCAGACCCCTCTCCCTCGAAAAAAATAATAATAATATTGACTGACATTAAAGAGCTTTGGAATAGCATGATTCAAATATATACAGCATTTTAACTTTGTAAACATTTGTACAATTGTGAAGGTATATTTGCATGGATTTATGTTATATGTACATACATATGTATGTATGATTAATGCCACACAAATAAATCAGTTCAGTACATGTAAGAAAGAACAACTCCAATATGAATGCAGGAATTTTAAGATTTTAACGTAGAATAATGTGTAACAAATTTATCTTCTGAGGGAAAATAGCAATAAAAACAGACTGTGTTTCACCAGGAAAGAGCCAGGCTAGCTTTCACATTGATGCACTTTTTTATTAGACTCTAATGTTTACTGCGAAAATACAGTACTGTGATAACGAAACCCCTTTAACTAAAAATGGACAGTTTCAAAATCAAAGCACAGCATAATGGACTGCATAATTTCAGCTGTGTAAGGTATACAAATCAATAAGTTTGTGTTACTAAATTATCTATCATAACTCAGTAGACAAAAAATGTTTTGTTGTTTTATACATTATTGCACAAATATTTACACATGACCCACAATGGAATAAAACATTGTTACACGGATTTGTTCAAACTCCACTTACAAATATATCAGAGGCTTGCTAAAACTACTAAGCAATAAATCTGACATTTGTTCTAAAAACAGATGAATTTTTTCAAGTTTTGTTCAAACACCACATAAAGATATATACATATATACACTGTTCCTACTCTTGAGCAGTCGTCAACAATTTACGAGTCCAATACGATCTGGAGATCTGTTATTTCGTCCGGAGCGTGGCTCATTCAAAATCATCAATGTTGGTTGGTTATCTAAAATCAAAATTATAATATTATATGTTTTTATAATTATTATCCTGATGTAAACATGATGATCATTCTGACAAAATATGTAAACTTTATATTCAGTAAGACAATATTTGTTATAATTATCATTTGGAAAAAAACTTTTTTCTCAGTATGGTAGTAACTGAAGTAATAAAATATCTATGAATTTAAAGCTACAGTTTCACTTACGCACATCACATTCTAGACATATCTTCTTATTCTATACCTATATCATCTAGCCAATCACCAGTCTATTGATTATCACATGTGGAGCGGTGGCCTAGTGGTTAAGGTGTCTGTCTCTCAACCATCAATCATGGGTTTGAGCCCTAATCGGGTCACAACTATGTTCTTCATATGACACCAGTACTGGTTGGTTCCAGCAAGTGGACTCAAAAGTAATTAATATAAGTTGCAAGAACTTGTTTCGCAATCGAGGTTAAATATAAATATGTTTAAACCATCATCACATGACCATACAAGTATATCCCAGTATTTCAATAGAATAAAACTACAGTAGATGCCTGACATTATGCTGCCAGAGGAGCAAGTGATATTTTCGTCACCCAATGAATCTAGGAAACTGCGATATGATCTTTACTGTGCTGGTGTGACATCAAATCCAACAAAAACAATAATGTATTCAAGAACAAACCTGGAAAATCTGAGTCAGGTATGATAGTATCCTCGGGATCATCTAGCCCCAAAATATCTTCCTCTCCGCATGAACATGTTGAATCATGGTGAATACGTGATCTATGCTTCACTATAGGATAATACTTCTTGTGCGACTTTAACTTCCTGAAATCAATCATTATTATATAATTGGTGGTGATAAAACAAAACTTTAAGAAATACAAAAACAAACAGTATGACTATTCTCAGTGCTTGATAGTAAAACATGAGCATAGATAATGTAAAAATTAACAAAAAAGATTTAATTAAAAAAAATACAGGGCAGTTATAAGTTTTGGATATTTATCATAAACTTTTCTATGTTTACAATTGTTCATTTTTCAATATTTATGCCAAGATTTTTAGGCCTTTGACATTTGGCCTTTAGGGAGATATTGGTTGTTGAAAGGGGCAGGTGTTTTGTATCTTTAATTTTGAGTTTCAATAATTTAATAAGTAATAAATATCAAAACTATCTCTTCACAATTTTAGGATAACACATTCATAATAAAGTTAGCAGAGTTCATTAAAGTAAACATCATAATGTGTTTGTTTAATTTTATGTCAATTTAACACATTTTTGGTCATATTTCAGCTGATGGTCCACCTATTACCAACTTTTCCTGGATAACTAACTACATGTAGTAATTACCAATTTCTCTTCAACTGCCTGATTACTAATTCAACATAATTTCTTAATTTTGTCTCAACCTATGATCTTCCTAATGAGCTTGTTGATGGATTACCATAAAACATGACTTAATGCTATGTCTGTATAGCAAAGAAAAATATGCACCGCCATGTTGTATCTTTTTTACTGAATTACAAACACTGCCATGTTATAATATATCATTCAGTCATATACATAGTAGATATTTAAGAATAAACTTACTTTCTATAATAAAATATAATAGCCACAGCAAGGCCTATAACTGCAAGAAGAACTGGTACTGATATATAAACAGCCACTAGACTATGTTTCTCTTCCACCGTTGTCATGTTTACATGGACTGGTACAACTACAGTGACAGTTACTGGGGGAGGTGGCACCGTGGAGGATTCTGCCCCAGTCCGTACTGTTAGACAAGATAAAAATATGTGTTTACATATTACTAGTTATAACTACACAATCATGTATCTAAAACTATTATTCATCATTGGGTTTATGAATTCTTACAATACTTCATTTTTGTAATGTTGAGTTCCATAGCATATTTCTAACATTTATATTTTATATATTAGGCTGCTACAAATCTAAGTATTATTTTCTCTTGAATCACAGACAGCTGTTATAATACATTATAAAGACTTCCGGTATATGGCTTTATATAAATGTATTTTACATTACAAATATACACTGACACCTAATAGACTTATATGTACATGTTATCAATATATGCTTTCTTTACATAAGAAATAACATTAAGCAACTTACAGTCAAGAACTCCAGCGTCAGTAATTATAACAATATCATCACTTGTAAACAATGGGAATGCCAGGTATTGTTGTTTAGCTTGGTCAATCAACATCTCAACAACCTGTTTATATCAAATCATATATAAATGTGACATCAACAAAACTATATGTGAGGTAAATATGTGCACCTACTTAATTCCTTTTATGACTATATATGATACAAATACATGCTCATCCCTTTTCTAAGTTTTTTATACATAAACTATGCAATTGTATTTGGAGGAAATGGCAATTTTTGTACATAGAAGGAAACTAAAGCCAGCATTTTAGCAGGACCCTAAAGTTCATGTTTGACAGAATAACTTTAAATAAGATTTGAAATGACTTTTTTTTTATAGGTATTGAAGGTGATATAAAAAAAACATAGATTTTTGTGTTCATAACTATATACAATTAAATTACAAGAAAAGGTCTAGTTTTATCACAGAACAGTTATAATAACAGAATAATAATCAGTGCTCCCACTCTACACAACAACTGCTTTATGGAATCTATCCTTTGGCTCACTGGTATAGAGCATTGTATATTGCTGCAGCTAAGACAGTGGTCATAAGTTTAGCAATGCTTGATTTTTTGCATCTTTGTTTTACAAGTTTAAAATGTTTGTCTATGTTTAGTAAATATAATTCACATGCCAAATGGTATAAATGATGTGCATACCTGGTAGGTCTCTGTTTCATTGACATCCCTGTTTGGTGGAAGTACTGTTAAATCTCCAACAACTGGTTGGGTCGGTGGCACTGACATGATTATGCGTGATCTTCTAATATTCAAAATCTAAATAAAGACATAGGAAGAAAACTTAAAAAAAAAACAAGAATTTTTCTTTAAAATTTTACCCCCCTTTACATAAGAGTCAAATCAATAAAGAAGTATTGAAAAACTGCTGATGGTTGTTTTATTACCAACCATCCATTCTAATACATTATTAGAAACCTGACTTTAATATAAACAATTCAGTGAAAGTATTATAGGTGAGAACATTATAAATCTGAACATTCACTCATAAAAAAAAAAAATATATATATCATGTAAAAAATATGTCAAAAAGTTTACCATGGTTTCAGATAAATGATTTGTCACATTTATGTCCATGACTTAACAAATAAGAAATATTGTTAAGTAGATCTACAAGTAGTTGTGTACCAAATGTTTTTTTTTCAATTTATACTAACTGACTTCACTTAAAGATTTTTGCATCAAATTTTCTAATACAATTAAAATTTGTTTTCTCAATCTCATTTAAAATATGCCTCTTTTTTTAAAGAAAAACTTATGTGATTTATACACAGTTAAGAGATACACAAACATTTGAATGTCTTCATCTCATTTTTCTGACAGCCCATTTAATTCAGAAACCTTTTACATCAAAAGTTCATAACAACAAAAAAACAACAACATCTTGTTGTCTTAATTGTTTAGCTCTAATTAAGGACAGGCATATTTGTACCTCTGACAAACTCATTATTCAAGCAGACATAAAATAGGGGGGAAAAACTTGAAATAATTTATTTTAATTATGTTAATCCTTTTTGTACACTTTATAGTCACTCACCTTTCTGCAGTTTGGTTTGAGCAGAGTTAATGATTTAAATTTGCAGGTATGACGGACAAGTAAGTTAAAAACTTATTGTTATAAAATATTCAAAGTAAGTAAATGTTTACAATGATATATTCACCTGTGCTAGATTATGACATAGTATTTCAGCCAGTGCTTGTCTCACATTCAGGCTGCTACTGTTATAATCATTTATCTCCTCCGAAAAATGTATACGGACAGTTGTCATGGCATCTGTAAATAAAACAAATTCCTCCTATCAACATTGTACATGCCTTCTCCAGGTGTGAGTATATTTATGATATAACTACTAATTAAATCTGCCTGTGCAAACAGTAACTACAGCAAACATATAAAGTTGAACACTGAGAGAGTTACATATTTCAAGTTAATGAAAGTTGTAAAAATGATATTTAGGACATCTGAAACACAATATAGGCCCCAAGTAAGAAAATAGCGTGTAAAGCTATCAGGGGAACTACAGAAGATAGAAGTTTAAAGCTGCATGCCTCCAGATGACCCAAAATATTTCAAGAAAATTAAACTTGGAAAATCATACTAAAACTTTGAGAAAAGTAAACAAATTAAAGATTCAAGTGATAATTTATTTATTGTATGTGCAATTAATGACTGTATTTTGTAGTATTTATCACTACATTGTATATTTCTACTGCGTTACTAACACAGTAGGGGCTATTTATGCATATTTTGACCTCTTTTTGGTAATTTACGTGGATTTTAAGTGCCAATTGTAATATGTCAAGTACATTCTTTGTTTATTTCACAATATTTTACCTTTAAATACATTTTCAAAATTTTCATGAAAATTAGGATGAATCTGGAGGTGTGCTGCTTTAAGAGAGGATCAGATGATATTATTATACCATTAATACATTATATCATAATTAAGCCTATCAGATATAATGAAAATAGAAAAAAAAAACTAACCATAAACTTCTACAGACTGTGTATAGAATACAGAACTGACAGAATTAAATACATTAAGTGTGAGTTTATACTCTCCAGGTTCATGAAATTCTTGTTGTATAACATTCTGCCAGGTAAGTTGTCTAATAGCACCAGTTATCTACAACATACAACATATATATATATAAAACAAACACTGTCACAGTTTGTCTAACCATCTTTTTTGGTACTTTGACTATTTCATTACCAAAATTAAGGTAATTACCTAAAAAAATAAATTGTTTGTTTTATCATATTTTAAGTCATGATGACACTGTAAAGGTCACTTGATAGTTAGATTTAAAAGTCCACAGTAACATTGCAAATCAGTTTTGATTTTTATTATAAGAATTTCAGCCTAACAGACATCAACAAGATAAAGCAAATGACAATGACCAGAAATTCTTATTCATATCCAACTTACAATATATTTCAAATTATTTCAATAACAAACTCAGTAATCTCTTGATGACTTGAAATATACATACTTTGTTTTCAAAATGCCAGGCAAAATGGAGGGGCTGTTCATTTCCAAGTTTTGTGATATTATCTGAGCCAAGGACGGTAACATTAAAATAACTTGGCATGTCAGTCCTAGCTCCCCATGGTATCTCAACCAACACTCCTTTCAATCCCTCTACAAGAAAGATTAGAAGATAATTACATTTTAAGTAAATTTGATTGTTTATGATGTGAGGCAGACACTGTCAAGGTCAAACAGACTGTCAAGGTTATACAAACACTTTAAAAGCCATATAGCAACTTAAAGCTTTTATTGGTAAAAAAGGACCATACATACTTCTTAAATCAGTCTAGCAAACCTTTCTCTGTTTTAATAATACTTACAAAACCTTATGCTATATAAATATACATGTACAGTGAATGTAAAATAAGAAAGTTGTACTGATTTAATGAACTCTGCAATGAAAGATTTTTATTAATATTTTCTTATCATTCATACATGTATGTAGCTGTTTACAACCACTGAACCACTGAAAATTCCCTTTGTTTAATTGTGGAATTATTTTAAGTGAAAAAAGGCGTATTATTATGTTAAAATCTATAAAAGAGGTATGTACTCTTGCCTGAGAAAATATTTTTGCTTCGAGTACCTCAAAAATTTCATTGAAAAAGTGGGGTGAATATTTGACTAGAAGATGCCTGGGTGCACACTAACTCTAAAATATTTCAATTAAGTTTCTTTAAAGTAGATGGTTCAAGTTAAAATATTCTATAACTTTACTAAATCTGCTTACCTTCAACATGTATTGTTAGAGCAGCTTGTGCTTTTCCCTTACTATTTATAGCAAGTACAGTGATATTATAAGTTCCTACTGTGCTGAACGAGGTTGTTATGGAGGCAGCTTTCTGTAGACCTTTTATTGTCACATGTGAACTTCCATTACCAAAACTCCATGTGTAGACTGTCTCTTCCACGGAACCCTAAAATTTGACAATCAAAAGTAAGCTATAAGTCTTTACAATACAGTCATCTTTTTTCACCTAGGTCAATATTACCCAAGAAAAAATATTTAATCTAAAACATACATGTACGATTTGAAGTAGTCTAATCACAGGGCATTTCCCAAACACACAAATTTCTACATTCTCACACTTTCTGACATTTAACATGATTAATCTTGAACTAATTTACTGACCGACTCTTGTGTTAGTGTGAAGGTGACATTAACTCCCCTCTGTATACACATCTTCTCACTGTAAATACTGAGACCCTTCGGGGCCAACAGGGGGCATGTTGTCTCTACTGGTAGATATTTCATTTCATGTCCTCCAGTACATTTACTAGCTGCAACCTTTCTGTACCTGTGATTAGTCAGATTTACAACAAATAAAACTAACTGTTAAAAAATAATTTACTGACTAAAATTTCAATACAATTAATATTGAAGGATTTTAGAAAGTTTTCATATCAATATGAATACAAGATAAAGAATCTGTACTGATCCATATTTCTGAACTGCTACAGTTTTATATTTCTTAAAAACTTGCACATGTTTGTTGCTGGTGTAATTACTACCTGTTGTTTCTAAAAGTTTAAATCTAATTTATACATCAAGTACTGTAATTATGTAATACATGTAATATAAATCATTAGTTTTGAATATGTTTGCACCAACTGCCTCAATACTTACATGTTACACAAGGCTTTAATATACCTTGTCATTTTGTCTCAGATTATTTTAGTCCTTCATACAGAAGTATGAAAAACCAGTACTTAGCAAAAAGAGAACTTTCTTGATCTAAAAAAATGCTCATAACTTTCCTAGTATTATAGTCTGGGATTCATAGGTTATACTGAATAAATACTGCTTGAAAAGATCATAAATTACCCTTTAGTTTGATTATAGTTCCCATTAGCACAAAGAGCTGAAGGAAAATTATCTTCACTAAACCAGTCAGATTTTATACATGTTGTATCATCTCTACCAAGTTTATAACCAAAGTCACTGAAATCAAAATGACATACATTAACAAAACTGTCAACATGTACTTACTGCATACATTAACAAAACTGTCAACATGTACTTACTGCATACATTAACAAAACTGTCAACATGTACTTACTGCATACCTTAACAAAACTGTCAATATGTACTTACTGCATACACTAACAAAACTGTCAACATATACTTACTGCATACATTAATAAGACTGTCAATATGTACTTACTGCATACATTAACAATACTGTCAACATGTACTTACTGCATACATTAACAAAACTGTCAACATGTACTTACTGCATACATTAACAAAACTGTCAATATGTACTTACTGCATACATTAACAAAACTGTCAACATGTACTTACTGCATACATTAACAAAACTGTCAACATGTACTTACTGCAAACACTAACAAAACTGTCAATATGTACTTACTGCATACATTAACAAAACTGTCAACATGTACTTACTGCATACATTAACAAGACTGTCAATATGTACTTACTGCATACATTAACAAAACTGTCAACATGTACTTACTGCATACATTAACAAAACTGTCAATATGTACTTACTGCATACATTAACAAGACTGTCAACATGTACTTACTGCATACATTAAGTTTGTTAAATGGATGATAAAATTATAGAAGTTTCACAAAAGAAATTTTAAATAAATTCTGTTTATTTTTAATGTTTTGGGTATTTCCAAGAAACAATTGGATTTAAAATTAAATTGATATTATATTAAATACAACACATTAATATAGGATATTATCAAATTTACTGTAGATGTAACATAAGATATGATACCATTCAAAATCTTCTCTACCACAAGAACAGATCTGTGTAGTCTTTGGTCGCAAATAATCCGCCCCATAATAACATTCTGACAACTGTTTTCTTCGCTCATATACAAGATTTTCTCCCATAATGCATTTCACCTTATTTTCCTACAATTTAGACTTCATGTTATCACAAACGATCATCAAAAAATTCACTGCAAAAGAATAGTCAAGGAATCTTGATCCATTTACAAAGAAAAACTCTTGATTTGATTGAAGCTTTTATATGCAAATACATGTATTACTAACTCAAAATCAATGAATATTTATTTCAGAAGTAATTTTTTTTAAAATTCATTAAGAGTGGAAAGATTCATCATGGTAATAATTCCTTATTCTTTTTCATTAGTCACATGGACAGATACTCCCCTGATGTTTCTTTCACAATGTTAGAAGTTTACAATAAAGATAATATGTTCAAATCATTAAGCCTAAATGAGCTTGACTCAATCTTCCTGCCAGCCTATCCAACAATACTAGTCAATAGAATGTACCTGTTTATCTAATATTTAATGCTATGAGAAACTGAAAGTAGGTGTGACTTAATAATGGAAAGAAGGGCAAATTCATAACACTTAAGCAACGCTGCATAGAACAACTATGTAGCAAAAAAAATCTGTAGAAACCATGAATAATAATAATTTTTTTTCTTGGGTTTTACATTGCGCCAATAGCTCTCAAATGAAAGAATCAAATGACACTTGCATGGCTCTAACCTACAATGGTGGTAGGCAAGTGGTTTAAAGTCAATGATCATAACGACTCGGCCATGGACGCCTCAAATGTCACAGAGTATTTTGGACATCACTTAAATCTGCATCACATTTACATATTTTCCCATCAATTTTCCTGAATTTGTCAATGTACTTATTATTTACCACAAGATCTGCTGCAGGTTGCCATTGTTCAAAATCACCATGGTTACATTGGCGGTGTAACACAGACTCAAAGTCCATCTTCACCATGACCCAACCATCACTAGAGTTCATATGTCCAAATACACTGCAAACAAATATGACAGCTACATGTACATAATGTCATAGTTTTAACTAAAGGGAAGGAGCAGAAAATTATTATTAGCCAAAGAAAAATGTACTTCAAAAAAGTTTTTGTTAAAATTGACGCTCAATTTTGTGTGTGTAATAAAATACTGTCAAGCATGTTTACATTTTGTAATGTTTTTGAAATATTTATATCATAATGTTTGTTATGTGAAAACCATCCAATCTTTTCCATAGTATTTTTCCATAATAGATAGTTGGGGTACTGAAGACATACCGGTAATAAAATTAAGGGGTAAAATAATCCAATGTCCATACAGTTGAAGCCTACATTATTTGTTCATTATCAAACAAATTGAGCAGGTTAAAGGGTTATATGTCAGTTATAAGAATGTGTGACAGACTAATGTTTTACCTTGATATTAAAGTTCTTATACCAGGCTCGTTTACTACACCATCCACATTCATCTCGGAGCTTGTTATGTTGTGTGTGACCCATGTAGCACCTTCTGTGCATGAAAAACTATAAACAAAAACAAAAGCAAAAGACTTAACAGAGATTTTAAATCTAAATGAATACCAAAGGCACGGTAATGATATATTGGCACCACATTGACATTCAATGCATATTTTTCATAGTCAAATCTAAGTTATACGATATTATATTTCGTTTATGCATCAGTATAATACCAGTCTAGCCTAATATATCCAGAATCATGCAGTCTAACAAGGCTCTACTCTGATGGCTGATACATTCAAAATTTTCTACCATCAATGGAAAGTTCTAAATTCAAAGCTTTAGCATTTCAGTCTCAAAATCTCTCGTAAGAAAAGTTTGGCTAGACTGCATATTCTAGATACATTACAAAATTAAAATCACCTTTTATAATGGTTCAATTTGAAAAGTCTAATATATGTACCAGTCTCGCTGACTATTTAATACTGAACTTTAACAAGGTAACAGTAAGGTTAATCATAATAACAATTTCAATTTATTACAGGAAATAAATAGATCAAAGAGTTATACACACCATTATAAATGTAACAATGATTATTTGAATCTCATTCATTGAGCTGTTAAAATACTTATCAAGCACTGTAGCAGTTGTCACAATTAATTGTAAGTCAACGAAAGAAATAAAGAATCTAAACCTATGACTGTAGGTATAAAGCAATAATGACCTGTCCGATATCTGTTAAATATTTGTTTGTATGCAGATAATTTCATTTTTTTTTGGTTAAAACTGTTTCAAGATATGACATAAAGAATATGAAAACAATATAATTGCATTGTTGTTGAAATGTACACAGTATAATTGACACCGTGTTAATACTTACTGTACTTGGTTTGTAGGTAAACCATGGGCTGCTATAGCTGATATTGCACTTCCCTGATCCATAATGTTAAGAAAATGATTTCCTTTAAATGGTGCCTGTAAACAAACAATGAAAACAAAAATGATACAATGCACTCTAACTAGAAAGTGTTAATCTAATGACATTGCTAAAAAAAAACCCAAAACAACAGTTATATAACATATCAGTGTCATAAAAGTTAAAAAACTAGCATATAATTAATCATTTATAATTGACAAGAACAAATGCAAATGATCTGTTGTGTAAATGCAGAAATTACTGGCATATGAAAAATAAAATATTGCAACTGTTTTATCTATTTTTTTTCAATTAAGCTTGATTATGTAAACAATCTTAAAGATGGAATACTGTAAAATATCAGAAAACTATTTCAACATACAGTTACTTCTATTAACAGAGACAGTACCATGATTCAACACAAACTGTATTAATATTGAACATAGACAGTATTATGATATACCAGTCATATACTGTGATTTAACATAGTAATTACACAGTAACCATGGTTTAAGAACTGAGATTTAACACAAACAGTACCATGATTCAGCACAGTAAGTGTGTTTGAACATACAAATCATACAGTGATTTAAAACAGTACCATGATATAACAAGTAAGTACTCTGATTTAACATTAGCAGTACAGTGATTTAACATAGTAAGTACTGTGATTTAACATAAGCAGTACAGTGATTTAACATAGTAAGTACTGTGTTTTAACACAGACAGTACCATGATTTAACACAGACAGTATCATGATTTAACACACACAGTATCATGATTTAACACAGACAGTATCATGATTTAACACAGATAGTACCATGATTTAACACAGACAGTACCATGATTTAACACAGACAGTACCATGATTTAACACAGACAGTACCATGATTTAACACAGACAGTACCATGATTTAACACAGACAGTATCATGATTTAACACACACAGAACCATGATTTAACACAGACAGTACCATAATTTAACACAGACAGTACCATGATTTAACACAGACAGTACCATGATTTAACACAGACAGTACCATGAATTAACACACACAGAACCATGATTTAACACAGATAGTACCATGATTTAACACAGATAGTACCATGATTTAACACAGACAGTGCCATGATTTAACACAGACAGTACCATGATTTAACACAGACACTACCATGATTTTACACAGACAGTACCATAATTTAACACAGACAGTACCATGATTTAACACAGACAGTACTATGATTTAACACAGACAGTACCATGATTTAACACAGACAGTACCATGATTTAACACAGACAGTACCATGATTTAACACAGACATTATCATGATTTAACACAGACAGTACCATGATTTAACACAGACAGTATCATGATTTAACACAGACAGTACCATGATTTAACACAGACAGTACCATGATTTAACACAGACAGTACCATGATTTAACACAGACAGTACCATGATTTAACACAGACAGTATCATGATTTAACACAGACAGTATCATGATTTAACACAGACAGTACCATGATTTAACACAGACAGTATCATGATTTAACACAGACAATATCATGATTTAACATAGACAGTACCATGATTTAACACAGACAGTACCATGATTTAACTGGCTACATACTGCTTTCCATGTGAGTCCTGCGTCACGACTAATGAACACCTGCGCGTCAATATCTAGGAACTCTCCAACACTTCCATGAGCGAGGATTAATCCTGGGGCTTCCTTTGTGCTAACTGCCAGCGGGATCCGGAAAAACAGGTTTGTGTTTCCTATATGAAGATGTAAGTTACATTTCTGAAACAAATTCAAAAGCAAAACTTCTGTCTTTTTAATCGCTCTAGAGAAAGATAAAACTCTTCTTTATAACATCTGATGACTAATTAATTAAAGAACATATAGAATTTGTACAACTTTACTTTAGTTACTTGAATGATTTCAGTATCAAAGCTCAATAAGATGGAATTCTTTAAAAAAGAGGTTCACCTCTGGATCAAAGCAGTTTCGTTTTGATTCCTCAGGAACATTTATCAGTTTCCAAGTCCCACCTTTATTGAATGTTACATACGTCCGTTGTGAAAACACGCCCCCATCAACACGAGATGTTTCAAACTTGTTGATAATATAAATTCCATTTAACCCTTTCACCTGAAATTTTAGAATATAAAATAATTTAAAAAAGAAAAAGTGATATGAGAGAGAAATGGTACAAACATACACTGAAAGGTCCAGACAGTAATCATAATACTGTCTATGTTATATATTAATATTGATTCATGCTAATTTCCTGACAATTCTAAAAGTGGATTTTAAAGTAAAATATTTTTCAAATATCGTCAAGTGAACAAACAAAGTAAGTGACACATTGCAAACAGCTGTAACAATCCACATTAATTCCCCCATAAGAGGTCAAAATATGCAAAAAGAGCCCTTACTGTGTAAGTCACACAGTAGAAATATGGGGATAAGTCATTGTGTAAATACTGCAAAATCAGTTATTAATCGCACATATGTCAATTATAACTTGAACCTATAATCTTTTTACTTTTCTTAAAATCTTAATATGTTTTTTCTCATGTTTTTTTTTCTTGAAATATCTTTGCTCATCTGGAGTCATGCAGCTTTAAGTGGTCAAATACACATGTAATAATAACCTACTTTTGACTATTGTTATTAAGATTGATCAATGCATAATAGAGATTTGCAGGACTTAACAGCATAACCATTGACTTTTTACCTCAATCTTTTCACCTACAGTCAAAATATTAATACATATTTAGCTTACTCCATAAATACTATTCTTAAATAGAATAAGTATAAAGTGTTTAATGTTAACACTTAAAATGCTCAAGGTAATAATAATTATCCTGTGCCATGACCAAACTGCGAAACTACACAATATCATTCTGATCAAAATTCTACACTGTTGGTGCTAAATTCTAGCATTTAGATATTGAAATCCCTCATATCCATAATGAGCCATTCCAAGTTCAAAGCAGGGCAAGTCAATTATACAAATTAAGCAGATAAAGTTTAATCATTTCTATGAAAAGAAGTTGCACAGAGCTTCTATATAGAATTCTATTGACAGAAAATGCAATTTTCTTTAGTGAAGTTTTTGCGACCTGTATCAATATTACAGGATTTTATCCAAACTTTTATGTATGACAAATTTGATATTACTTTAATTAGTCAGCACACAGTATAGAGCTTGGTTAGACTGCACTGATGTGGATGCTGGCCTTGCTGTAGATTTAGGGATTAATTGACATACCTTGACCAGATCTACATCAAACTTTCCTGGGTATCTCATACCAACAACATTCTCTACAGATGTCACATAAAACTGTCCAGTTACGTCTGATAGGTAAAGATTTGCTATATCTTCCTCATGATCTACTGCTATAAACACTTGATTATCACTTGTGTCAACTACATTAAAATCCTGAAAAAAGCAACAGATTTTCACTATAAGAAAAATAAATAACTTTCACAATTTATACATTAAAGTTTATATGAATAATACAAATATAAATAATATAATATGAAAGTAATTATGCTACATGACTGTACAATAACTAGGTCAAAGTCTAGTAATACAATAAGTAGGTCATATTGAAAGAATTTGGTTAAAAAGTCAGTGAAGTAGATCAAAGTGACATGATATTTAAAGTCAGAGTGACATGACATGACCTTTCAAAAAGGTCAAAGAGACATGTCCTTGCTTTAAGGAAGGTGAAAGTGTCATGATCTTGCTGAAAAAAGGCAGTGACATGACGTTAATCAGTGAGCAGAAAAACAAGTAGGTCCAATGTGATTCATGGCACAAAGAATGAGTTTCTCTAAATCATCTGATGCAATGAAATCTGTTAAAATTCTGAGACATATTGACAGCAAAAGATGCCATAACAGCTTCTCTCTTTTTAACTAACAAAATTTAGTTTTTATTATGCTAAAATCCTAAATTATTATTACTGACAAATTCATCCTGGAGCACAGACAATTTCAAGAATGATTCATATATTTCTCAATCTGTGTTTGTAAATAAACAAAAAATAAACATAAATTTAGGATGAAGTCATCAGACTGAACAAAAGCCATCAACAAAAATCCCTGGAGAACAAGAGTGATTTATAGCCAACTTTTTAACTGCATCTAAGTTCCCCTTAGGCTTCTTTTATCATATGCCAATGAGTGCCATTAATTTACAGGTAAATGAATATTCATTTTATCATTACAACAGTAACTCAACTACAGGCACATCTTGCACCTAATGACGTACATGTACAGACATTTCTAACTATATTTCTTATATTAATATTGTAAATTGTACTAAAAGTTTTAGTGTTTTTCTCATAACGCCTGAAAATACGAAAAACTAATCATAATAAAATAAGTCTGCTGATATTATGCAATGCTAAGAACATTTCCTGTTTTGAATTTATACAAAAGTGTGTTACAATGAGACTGTGTTGGAGATTCACGGTACTAGCTTACACAGTGAAGATACATTTAGCAAACGCCAGAAACACAATAAAAACAATTATAAACAGTTTAAAACATGTATCAAAAAGATAATTACCAATGGTGTTAGATTTGATGGAAAGTATGCTCTTTTGAAAGGCCCTCTCTTGTAGGACACCAGAAATGAGGTCAAATCATCTGTGGATTTCTGCACAAAGATATATTCATTTTCTACAACTAATGAGTAGAAATCTATTGTCCCTAGCGCCTTGTCAAAATCAACTTCCTCACAATTTGGTGCTGAAAGATTGAAAGTCAATGTGAAACATGTGTACACTCAGATTTACCTAAAGAATATAATCATTTAAAAAAATTAAGAATTTTAAGGAAAATTTAATCAGTTAAAATACACCAAAACAACACATATTTCTTTAATCTTTACTAGTTTCGACTGTTGTCTTCATCAGAATAACGTACAAAGTATTTGACGTCACGTCCGTTAGGACGCCAACGTCAACATGACAAATTTGCGCAAAAACGTGAATGTACAAATAAATATGGATCAAAAAGATACAGCGGTTATTAATAATAGAACTATATTTCTACAATATAAAGCAGTGAAAAATGATAAAACCCAACATACCTATATGTCAAAATATATCAATTAATTTTATCTATACATTCACTGGGAATTAGCGAGAAAGCATTACTTTAATTAGCCAGCAAAAAGGAAAATTGAAGAGCTTCATAAAATCCTTCACTAAATTTTGTCTCTAATAATCTCCCTGATCAAAATAAAGGCAAAATTAAAAATATTTTAGCAGGTTATGTGTGTACTTATTGTGAATTTTGACATAAAAAATGGGAAAATTTATCTCTGTCTTCGTTACTCATCATTAAAAAAATATGACAAAAGGAATAAACTTAAAATTTCCAAGTAAAAAGGAAGAAAGCATAAAATGTTTTATTACATTTTCAAATTGATTCTAACTACAAATCTTTCTCTATGTTTTAATTCATTTCCGTCATTATTTGACAAACTTTACATTAAGTTCAGGTTTTTTATTGTACAAGAAAATGTCATTTCATTATCTGTACAAAATTTTAATGAATGGAATGAATTAAAATTCATGAAAATTATTTTTGGCACATGATTATTCATGGTGGCATTAACATACATTCACCACAACAAAAATACACTTATATACTTCAACTTTCACCGACATAGGAAATATTCAAATTCTAACTTTCATATTATCCAATGTGCCCCGCATGATATTCAACTAACTTGACAATTATACAACTTTTTCATGTCATCTTGTGATATTGTATAATCAGCGGTTATCAGTCTGACTTTTAATCTCTCTTTTTTTAAGCCACACTGATACTGTAAATGTCTGTAAATGTTATAAATGTTTAAGGCTTATACAGTTTATATTTAACTTTGATAAAAGTTTGCAGACACACTACCAAATCTGTCCCTTGAACAAACCATTGCTTTAACTATAAGTGTAGTGTATTGCTCAAGGAAACAATGGTTTGTTCTTGATGGGGTTTAAACCCATACAGCAAGTAATCCTTAGGTTACTGGTTTTTGTACTTGTAAACCATGCTGGCACATGTCATTTTAACGTCTTTCTAACTTCTATGGAGAAAAGCTTAACAAACAAGCAGTCAAATCAATGTTATTATTGCCTACCTAGGCAAGCAAAATAAGTAACTGGTCCCATTGGATCTTGAAGCTCCATGTGTACAACAGATGGATTTGAATCAACACCATCTACTGCCCAGAAGAATCTCTCTGTTACCCTTTCCTTCATCAATGTCCATGATGAACCAAAATCATTTGACACATATAACTGTTTGAAATAAATATGTAAAAGGATAACAACATACAATATGAAATTTTATTTTTAACAAGAGTTCCACACCTTAGACAATCACTTCAGTTTTCATATAGATATATCAGAAAAACAAAAACAGTTTCACACAATTTGTTTAAACTTTGCATTATTTTAAAATATAATGACAAAAACATTTTAAGCAGATAGAAATTTTTGGGTTTGTGGATCTTGATATACAGTTATCTGGCATCCCTAAGTTTTTCACTTAAAATGTTCTTTTTTGTCTTGTTTTAAGAGTCTGCAAAGTTAAGATAAATTCAGTGAAAGATGACACCTGTAACCTGTCCTTAATGGGAAGTTACCATTAATGAGAAGTTACCATTAATGGGAAGTTATCCCTGAAACATCATTATTGTGTAAGATCAGTTTTTTGTTGTTGATCTTTTTTTTTTCAGACAATAACAAAGCATTCAATGATATAACTTATCAAACAATCATGGAAATGAACTTGTTTATCTTTTTCAAATGTCACAAGTTCCCTTCCTGGAAATAACCATTCTAATGTCATATGAATTTTACACATAATATTATTATGAGGGGAAAAATATTTTGATGCGCATGAATGAAAAAATGTAAACTGAACTATGTACAATATAAAAGTTTACAATTGTCTCTGTTATTTATTGCTGTGTGTTTAAGTTTTGTTAAAACAGGGAGGTTTTTATATAGCAAACTATTTACTACATTTAACAGGCACTTTTCACTTTATATTAAGTAACATGTTTAGTAGAAATAGACAAAAAGAAAAACTGCAGCAAATAGAATAGACTTCATACTTTTTATTTCTTTTATATGAATCTGTGTTAATTTCAAAAGTATGCTCACTTTAAACTGCAGTTTACTTTAATAGAGCTAACCTGAATAACTTTTAAATAAATGCACTAAAATATTTTGTATCAGCATATCTAAATAATGGCCATATTTTTTCATATTTTGATATTTACAATCCCTTAAACTTTGAATGGACAGTTCCACTTCAAAGTAGGGCAAATGCATTGGTGAGGAGTTCAAGGGATGCCATTTTATGAAAGTACCAAGATTTGCTGTAAACTTCTTATTTTCCTCCTACCTTCATTTCTCGGAGACTATAAGCTAGAATTATTTTTCCTATTGATGGATGCAACAGTAACCTATATGGAGAGAAGTTTAATTTCACGTGCCTCCAGGTTTGACCAGTGTCCTCTGTTATATATAATTGTCTCTGATTTAAATCCGACAAAATTATCTGAAAAAAAGTTGAACTCATTGTTAATTACATGTATACATTGTATTACAATAAATAGCAAAACTTTTAGCATACAGTCTGTTTTTAAAACCATCATACAATGTACAGCTCAAATTCACTATTCCTTTCATTATCTGATTACATCAATATTAACAAATAGGGGTGTTGATAATTCTTATATAAAAACATACTATTTATTGTTACGGTCAGCAATGTTACTCATTTATACCCACTCAATACATTAAAGCACAATAGCGTAGAGGTAGAAAGTTCGCTTCGTGAGCGTACGGGCCCTGGTTTTTAAATGTTATTCAAATGAAAATTGGTAAATTTGGGAAAAAATGAGTCACAACAACATCCAAATTTTATTATTTTAAATTATTACTGACATTATTTTTGGAAAAATAGAATTTTCCTGCATATGAAGGAGGAGAAACAGACTGAAATCATTCAAATGTTTGTTTAATATTAATGCAAAAGCTCAAGATCTCTTGTTTGTTAACACTAAATGGTCATTAATAAGTGCTGGGTTGCTAATTATAACCTCCACACTCAGTATTTCCAAATCTACACACTCTGCCTCAGTACTTCCAAAATATACCGGTAATATCTTTCAGGAAATTTTCCATGGCTGGAAGCAATATATATTTGATAGTTCTTTATTTCTTTTTTGTTCTTCAAAGAGATATAAGAGCTATTAAATGTGGTATTTATATAAAACATCATAAAAGATGGAAGGGAAGGTTTCAAGTTTAGTACAGGAAAAAGTATATGTTGCACTGAATATAGGCATGTTTAACAGTTGTTTGAGATATGCTCATTAAAAATGTATCCTTTTTTATAAAAAAAATACTTAATTTTTGTTTCTTTCTTACATAACAGATTTTTTCTTAACATTCAAACCTGATATCAAAATTCAGAAAGAAATATGAAATTACTATTATTAAAAATACAAAATTATTTTAGTTATTTCCGAGACTGAATCCCTAAGGTCACTGATTTCAAACCACATGCCCCTCACTGCTGTGGGTTCGAATCCTTACAGCCGAGTTGTGACAGGGACTTTGGGTTCTTTCATGCTAGGAAGCTATCCAGCTAGCTTAAGGAACATCGGTGGTTCTAGTCAGGTGCCCGTTTGTGCCTGAAATGATGCACAGAGGGGCACCTAAGGTCTTCCTTATCAATAAAGCTGTAAAGACACCATATACCTATACTGTGTTGGTGCTACCAAACAACCAAAAAAAAAAAAAATGCAGTACACATAAGTGCATCTGCACTTATCTATTCAGATATGATTATATCAGAAGATTATTAAGTTGACTCATCAACATTATGTCATGTTTATTGAAATAAGAAATTCTGAATGATATAGCAAAATTAAAGCTCACAACAAAATAATATTGTTAAAAAAATCATTTTTGTTATAAATTATGACAGTATGATGTACTTGAAACAAAGCATCCTATAAATTCATTGTATAGTAGACGGTTTCTCAAAATGGAAAAAAAAATAAAGCTGATTTGATCTTCTCTCTGAAACTATTTTGCCTTGAGCATTTGTGGTGAATATTGCAGCATATTTTTCAAACCTAAAATCATTATAAACCACAAAAAAAGTTTTTTAGTGTTCAGATATCTCTGATTTATTGGTTTGAAATCATAAATATTTATGTTTGTTTTTACCTTTGATTTGTCGGCTGCTGATGAGTACATATAGGTTACTGAAAACAGTTCAGGTAAATCTATTTTGTTGTATGATTCCCCATAATCTACAGACCTAAAATAGACAAATAATAAATATATAGAGAAAAATGAGCAGAAAATAACTAATAAACATAATATAAATCATTAGGTCCATGCACTATTTATTTCACTTTGATGACTTCATATATCATGTAAGGCAGTATGAGGCATGATTTATCTAAAAATTTTCATTCTTACTCCTGAAACAACATTTTAATTTAATATTCAATAAGGTGATTTTTAGAGTAGCACAATATAACTGAAACTTTATAAGTATGTTCATGTATAAGTGTAAATTTATAATTTCTGTATATACTTGTTTCAGATGATAATATTATAAAGATTAAGAAGTAACTCAGTCCTTTGTAATCTACATATATTGGACAAAAAAAAAATAAGCAAAGAATTGTAATATGTAATGTGACCTTGACTTTCATCTTGTATTAAAGAGTAAAAAAAAAAAATGGACGGTGATATAACATAAATTTTTTTTACCATTTTTCATTAAAGTTTACATATTTTTAGTTATTTAAATTCATTAAAAAACAACCTGGAGCTAAGTTTTTATACCTATTTCGTTAGGTTTTCTAATACGAATAATAATACGTCACTTGCATAAAAAGTCAGCCTAGCAAATCATTACGCAGATAATGCTTTGTTAATTCAATCAGCATTAACCCATAACATCAACAGCACATTAATTTCACATCTTAGAAATCAATCTTCTCTAAATAGATCCACCCACATTGTAACTGCCATTAAACATATAAAAAGCACACAGTAGTTGTCTGCAAGAACATAAAATGCCAAATATTTCTTATGTTTTTTAGATGGATATTTTATTCTGACTCACTCTTTTTCCTACATTATCTATTAAACATGATGCGTTTGTAAAACAAAAATGAGCATCTTTATTTCCCTACCCCCTCGTCTGCTTACACTCATCCCCCTTTCCTACCCCCCCCCTTTCGATCCTAAATCTGACAATTATATCTGTTCATGAATTACAAAGTTATGATGAAACTTTACATTTATTGAAATGCTGCTTGAACTTAATGACATCAGATACTTGTGTCATTTTGTACTTCTTTTTGTTATTACAGAACATATCCTGAACTATTTCATTAAGGTGAAAATGCGCAGGACTTGAATGTCACAGTTGTATTTGCACAACAAAGATTGAAAGGCATTTACAATATATAAATTTGCACCTGCTCACTTTTATTTCCTACATATACAATGTGTACGCATTCATGCCATCTGTTACTTTATGTAGTTATGACGAAGGATAAAAAAAAAATTACATAAAATTATTGTTTATTTATATTATGGTCACATTGATAAGATTCATACAGATGTCTGTAAATAAAAGAATGTTTGAATATATTTGACAGCACGGCAGCTACAGTCTTCCCATACAATATTAGAGCATTAAATTCAACTTTTTTTCTGTTTTATAACATTTTTCTCACACAAATCTTCGCACTTAACTATGCTGATCATTTCCTTATATATAATTATAATATGTTTTGTTTAAATTAACTGTTTTGATTTTTTTTATCTTTAACTTTATCAGACTCAATTACTCAAGTTTGTATATTGATGAAATAATTGTATTGTATTAAGAAAATTAATAAAAGTGGAACAAACAATCAACACAGGATAACTGACGTTTTGGCTCTCATTAGTGTTTGAAATTATTTTTTGCCCAATAGGATTGCAGTATTTCAACTGAATTGTAACACATTTACTTTGGTAAATCGGCACACTATTTATTAATCAGTCTAGTAAATCAACTGTTTATAAAAATAATTTAAAACACTAAGCTGGTTAAAATTTATTAGTAAATATTTACAAAATTAAATTGGTCAGGCGCAGCGCAATTTAATTTTGTAAATACGTACTAACAAACTTTAACTTATACTTCAAATTAACAATTTAGACAAAAATGTCTGAGTACTGGTGAATAGGGGCTCATTGTCCTTAATGATAACAGGCTTTTTAGAGTTTTAACTTTACATGAACAGTTGATTATAACATTAAAACAGGTAGCCATAAAACACTGAATAACTGGAGTTGATTTTACAATCTTACAGTATACAAAATAATAATAATCTTTTATAATCTGTAAATCTTTAACGAGTCAACCCAAATATTTAGTGTATTGTGTATTATAGTCATTTGTAGATTGTTTTTATGTCCAGACAATCTGATATAAAACCTTACATTAGACCTACAGTAACAGGTCAGATTGAGCTGTAATTAAAAGAACTTTAAAACCTATCAATTTAAGTGCCTTAAATAATGAAATTGTATAAATTGTTGGCACCATCCCTGCTTACTGTCAAAAGTTTAATCACCAAATTTTACATAAGATATAAATCGCTGTGCCTTAATATGATGCAATATCTAACTACGGCATTATTTACTTTAATTCCAATATCTTAATAAATTATAAAATGCAGTAAGTCTTTTTTTGGCGAAAAATCAAAAAGTTTGCAGCAACTGGCAGACAAAAAAATGCTTGTTTTGGTGATTGAGAATAAATAAGACCTTCCTAAATAGAAAAATGTTATACTTAATTATTAAATATTATATATCTTTTTTTTTATAGATTCATATTAAATACATTTTTAAAATAATTTTATGAAATGAACAAAATTGAATAAAGAAAAATTCTAAAAGAAAAAACTGCTGTTTTGGTGTCTTTTTTCTTCAGTAATCAGTAATCTAACTTCATCTGTTAATCTTCACTCAAAATAATTATATCATGTATAAACTGAATAAGCCAGAATGATGAAATGTTACATCATCACGCAGAAAAAAATAGTTCCATCTATATTCACATGATATATGTACGCAGTATCATTGCTGTCTGTGTCTTACTAAGATTAACCACATTTAACATGTTTTATCATGTTATCTTTATGGCAACATCTCAACTGCGTATAATTACTTTGAAGGCTGTTATTTTGGGTTAAAATTTATTGGATTTCAAATGTTATGATTCGTTTTACACAAATAACACTCAATTTTTTCATCTCAATCTATTTCAAATTTTTTTTACATATACCGGTAGCAAGATCAAGCGATGTTTTCAGTGAATGTTACATAATCTACAGAGTAAAGGAAATGTTTGTACTTTGTACCCATTGCTTCAGTAGTGTAAATTGATCAGACGTGACGTTAAAGAAACAAAAATAAAGAAAATAATCCCTGGAGTATATTTACCCTACCTCCATAATGTACTGGACTGAATGGCACCATGCCTGTGACTTCTTGTCAGAACAAAAACAGTCTGAAAATAAAACAACATAACATAACAAAAGCATAATCCTTACTCATCAGTACCAGCCTCATCATCATTTTCATCATCATCATCACAAAATCCTCGTCATCACTATTATCATCACCACCACCACCACCACCACTATTATCATCATTATTATCATCATAAATGAATATCATCTTTACAATCATCATCATCACATCACCATTATAATCCACTATCATCGTCACCATCATCATCTGCAGCATCATCATCACTGGTGAATAACTGTATGTTGACTATGCATAAATTTATCATGTTTATGACGATAATTTTATGTGACACATGGTAGATCAGAAATGATAATGTTTTGTCAATACATCTTTTAAATTTGTATATTTCTTCTTTTCCACCAAACAATATAAATCAATGTAGAAATTCATTCAAGCCTTTAACTTGGTGTAAATTCTAGGGATCATTATAAAAAATCAGGATTATTTATTATCAGTATCATGTTGAGATGGAAATCTTTGTTGTATTTAAGATAACTAAATATCTTAAAAAAATGAAATTATCTGGAGTATTTAGATTTATACAAGGGTTGCACGCAAAGTTTATCACATGTGCAAGCTTAATATCATATTTAAAATAAAATGAAAGCAAATCAAGTTATCTTAGTGCAACAACATGTTATTATTTTAATAAATATACCATAAGATTCTTAGACAGTTAATATTCTCAGGACAAACATGTAATGGACAGACATTCTTACAAAATATATATATGCCATAAGATGTACAGCATTGGCCTGGTGCAGAAACTTTGTAACTTCATTTTAAATAATATGCAGATAGAGTAGTTTTGGGAAAAACTTGCAAAAAAGTAGTCGGAAAGTGAATTATTGTACCAAAAATCTAGTAAAAACATTTATTATAAAGTAAAATGTAAAAAGCATATAAATGTCAAGGTAAATTAGTGTGAGGTACAATATTTACTTTCCTTATTTAAGGTTTAACATCCCCTATAACAGAAATCTCCTATGCTATAAACATGTATGAAGATAGGGACAGCTTTGAACACAGAAAACTGATGTTATTTTGAACTCTCCTTGTTTTCCCTAATGGCTTTTCTTTAACTAAAAATCTCTTAGGATATGATGTAAATATCAAGTTTGCATCTTTATTTACAATTGTTATAAAATTTGATACTGGTTCCAATTGCAGTGTCATGGAGCTTAATCATTAATTTTAACTTGATTAATGGTCTATAATGGAACAGATAGATTATGATAGCAAAAACATATTATGATGTTATGTAATTTGTTTTCTATACATATTTCACAATGTGTTATTTTTGCTGTGTTTCTTCTAAATCTGTTGTCTAAAATTTGTGAATGGGAAAAAAACCCCAATAAACTAAAATAATATTTATAATTAAGTATCATGAAGCACAACAACCAAGAAATATCATAACAATTTAAACAGAGCTTTGTGCTTGAATTTCAAAATTATTTATTATTATTTTAATTTGTTCCATTTTCACATAAATAATAGAAGACTGAAGCAGTCATATTCTACAACTTCAAAACTTAATTAATACAATAGTGGCCAACTTTCACACAGGAAATACAACAGACTGACAAATTGATTTTTTGCAGTTATTTATTTTCTTCACAAATAAAACCCATAAACTGTAATATTAATCAGAGAGTTTGGAAGGATTATGATATCCCTTTCCATTACCAATTTTCCCAATTCCACCAGTGTTGCATAGTAAATATTATCATTAAGGTCTTCTTATTTAATTATATAAATTTTATAGGTAAATTTGCATTGTTATTTTCTTCTCAGTAAAAACAGTTTCTGTAAAATGACAATATCACATAAACCATCAACAGAGATTGGGCGTAATTCTAAAATGCTTCATTTAATTACCATTATACTGTAAAGTGCACTTAATGTTTAATTGCAAAAATCAGCTGATAATAATGGCCAATTAAATGCATAATACAAAAAATAAAATTACAAAAATTTTCATCATACACACCCACAATATATTTGAGGCAGATAATTTCTAAGTGAAGGAGAAAGATTTAAGGTAAAGGCAGGTTTTCTAAATACAATGTACCTTTTTATGTTTTACCAATGTTTTGATATCATTTATCAAACTTACAAATTCAATAAATAACGTCTTCCTTTAAAGCTGCACACCTCCAGATGAGCCAAAATCAATATTTAGAAAATGCACTAAACTTTTAAGAAAGGTAAAAACATTCAAGTTTTACATGTTATGTACGATTTAATACTGATTTTGCAGTATTTTATCACCATATTTCTACAGCGTAACTAACACAGTATGGCTGTTTTTGCATCAGTTGACCACTTTTTGGTAATTTTCGTGGATTGTAAGTGCTCATTGCAATATGTAAATTAATTTATTTGTTCACCTCACAATATTTTACACAATATTTTATTTAAAAATATATTTCAAAAATTTTCATGAAAATTAACATGAATCTCGAGGTGTGCATGCTGCCTCAAAGATTTCTGTAGAATAATGAAAAACAATACTTTTGTTTCTTTAACTTTTCAATCTTAATACAATAAGATTGCTGACTTTAAGAAATCATTTTCCCCTTACAGAATCTGATGTAGGTTCCAGTCCTATAGACTTTAGACTCTTTCATGTTGGGAAGATATTAAACTAGTTTACGGAAAATCATGGGTTCTACTCAGCCGCTCATTTGTGAAATAATGCAAGGTTTTCCTGCTGGTGAAGGTCATTATAAGGATTTATACTCGAATGTCTAAAATTTCACAATGAGGTAAGAAAGTAAGTGCTAGAAAGATATTAACCACAAGTTATCTTATTTCAATGATGCATAACTGGCATGTTTAAAACACCAGACACTGAGACAATCATGTCTTAAGCTAATATATCAAGTTTTAAACAGATGCTGATATCAGATAAGCAAAATCTTTAAAGGCATATAATGATAATAGTATGGTTTGTTTTAACTGTCATACTCAAACAGCTTTCAATTTATTTTTAGTTCAGGGTTGTTATTTAAGTCTCATCCTGCCACTGTCTATTTTGTATTTTGACTTTCTGGCTTTAATGGTGCAGGAACCAGTGCCACTCTTTGTATTATTTCAGGCACATGACTGGAGAACCTTAAAGAAGAATCATCAATATACTGTGCGCTGGCTCATGACAGCTTTAATCTAAATTCCCTGCTGAAATTCAGTCCCACAGCTGTGATAGGGTTCACAAACACCTTATTTTCTTATGATTGAAATGTGAAAGATCAAAATTCATATCATTTACATCTCACTTAAATTTTTTTTACTAACTTTCACTCACAATTAAAATTCTTGAATTTCTTCAAGGTTATGTATATATCTCTTTAAATGGTATACATTTAAAATACTATTGACTATGGTACAACATGTATATATACATGAAGCTTACAATGCATCTTCTTTATCTAGACATCATCTTCTAAAAATGATAAGCATGCTGGGCCTTTAAAACCAAGAAAATAAAGAGATTAGATAATTATAATCTTAAAAGATAAACAAAGTTGTCTTGCATTGTTGTTACTGAAGGTTAAAAATCTTGGCATGGAGATTTATGCTTATGAAAAATGTTAATAAATAAGTTTACAAGTTGAAATAGTTATGCAATTATAATAAACAAAACATATCAACAAACACGGTATAGCTGTACATTTTAAAGAGCATTAAGTTTTTGTGTGACACCGTGTCTTTAATTGCGATCTATTCACAACACTTTGTTTACCTGACTTGAAAATAATGTTCATTGCAAAAAATGTTTAATCTGATATTGGATTAATGATATTTTAAGTCATTAATAAAACTAAATAATTGAAATAATTCATGCAAACATCTATGGGAGGTGTTTTGGGTGTGAGGCATTTACCAGCAATCCATTGATCCCCTCTGTTTTAACTCTATACATGAATGATTATAATTTATGTAATGGATTTGCCCAGTTTAGAATATGCAACAGTCCATTTTGAAAATTAAGGGATACAAAAAAACAATACAACAAAAATAAAGGACCTGATCAGTGAAGGCTCTATAGTGGTGCTAGCATAATATAGAAATACCTTACATTTCAAATGGAGGAAACAGGGAATAGGTGTTAAATCATCTTCATGATATATGGAAAACATCTACAAAAAAGTACATCTATCCTATGTTTTATCAAAATAATAAAAAATAAATCACTGGTGTTGTAATATACAATATTTTTTATGCAGTATGAATCTGGTCAGAAAAGTTATATGGGTTTTAACCCATAACCTGCTCAGGAATCAGACTAAACCTCAGTCTTTGCTTGCCAAAACTGTCTTATTCAATTCCAAATCATTATTTTCCAAAAATTAAAACTTTCTGCAAATATTGATATTTCTGGAACAAAATGATGTTGTTTATTTCATATTTTTTCTATCTAAAGAGCAAGTTTTGTTCCTTTACTGAAGAGCAAGTTTTGTTCCTTTACTGAAGAGCAAGTTTTGTTGTTGTTTTTTGTCAAATCACATACACAGTGACACAAATTTATCATTTTATTTATAATAAAGAACCAAGCACGCATATATTTATAACTGTATTTATTAACAATCCTTATGTTCTGAAAAATATCACTGTATTTTGACATGTTCTAGCTAACTAATGTATAAGCATTATGTTCCTTGCATAGTCACCTTAAAATTTACTGATAAAATACAATATTAACTTGGGTGTTCTAAAATAATGTATGTCTGAAGTCTATTTATTAAGTAATTATGCAAATGATATGCTAATGATATACAAAATATAAAGGGAGAAGACAAAACAAATGTGCTTAACAAATGAAAATGTCAATTTTACACTAAGCCTCTAATTACTGTCACCTATACAATAGTTTAATTACTTTTTCTGAAATATATTACATATGTTTCCCGACATACATGTACATGTATTATTCAAATGGATGTTTATTTCTTAGATGTTTTATTTGTCAAAGATTGTAATAATATTATAACATTAAATTTTTTTTTATAAAATAAGAAATAAAGTAAATGTAAGTATTTTTTACAGTTGATTCAGTACAGAGCCATGGATAATCTGACCTATTTGGCTCTATGTGGATTTGTTGGTTGCTCAAGTTTTGTATTTTGCATGATAATTTCAAAGCTGCAAAGCAGGACAAATTCATTTTGCAAATTGAGCAGGTAAAGCGGTCACATTGGTTCAATAAGGAACATTTTATTATTCAGCAAATATAAAATATAATTTAGCAGACTTGAAATGTTTTAGTAAACTTGTGTTAGTTTGAAATGATATTTGTTATGTCAGACAATATGGTAAAAAATTGGAGAAAAACATTGAGATTTGCATGCAGCTTTTAAAAGGAGATTTCTTTTACAATTGTTAAACAAATTTTTAATATCATTTTTATTTTTTGCCAGTTAGATAAATTACATGTATTTTTGTTTACAAAATATTCAGAAAATTTTCCACTTCTTAGCTGTTAAAACTTCTTTTTAATATTATACTTTTTATGTTTATATATGAATTAAATTGTTTTAAAGCAAAGGATGAATTATTATGTCTACTTTAAATCTTTTGATGTAACGTCTTAGAATTTATTCTATATAATTTTATCATACTAAGAAAATAAAAAGCCATCAAAGAGATTTCTAAAAAAAGGTGTGAAAGAAGGGTGTGTCAAAGCACATAAAAATATAAGGGAAACTCCTTTTTGTTTTTTCTTTTGATTCAGATGGGATAAAAAAGTTTAATATTAAAGTGGCCAAGTATACTTAATTAATGCCAGTATTTATTTTTTAACATAATGACAGAGAATAATAAGCATTTGCCAACAGTAGCTGTCTGGCCAGGCTCTCTGTTTTCTAACTTTAAAGTTTGACATGACTTACTGTCTTATTAATAAATGGACACATACTTCAACAAGAAAAAATTAATATCAATCAACAACGTAATATCAAGACAGAATTTTTTTTAACTATACTGTACGTATAGCATCATGATTAATTATCATTAAATACCCTTGTATATAATTAAACTTTATACGAGAAATTGTTATGTTGTTTTTACTATAATGTCAAATACCTTATTGGATAATAGGGATCTAAATATATTAAACACTAAAATTAAGCTATGCCAGATGACAGCTGGCACAGGTTTGAATTGAGGAATCTCACCTCCAGTACAATGGTGTTCTACATACACAAAATAAAGTTATTATAATCTTGTGTAAATATGCACAAAAAATAATTATAAAATAAAATAATTAATTAGCAGCCTTCATTCTTACGGCTGTGATGTCACGAAACGAACTTTTCCATTAGTTAAGTTATGCAAAACCTATCCTTATCCGATTTGGCTAATCCTTAATCAATTTTGATAGACGATGTGTGTGACGTCACAAATTGAATAGAAACAGTTGTATAGTATGGAAAATTTTTCTAGTTAAAATTGAAATAAAGTAAAATTAAGAAAACTTGACAATTAACACTTACATCATTATTTTTACCAGTCCAGTGCACAAATGCCTCGTTGTCACTTTCCCCGTGCAATGCGAAAGAGGTTGTTGACAAATTAGATGAATGAAAGGTATCCACATGGTCAGCAGAACTGGAATTTTCTATTGAATTACTCCTTCTTATCCTTAAATTTAAGTTGTCGTATTTCGAAAATATATGAGGTTGTTGAAAATTTCTATATTCACTTAAAGATCGGCTAAATACTTTCCCTGATATAGAATTTGCATTGAAAATACAAATAAATACAACACACGCGATGTTTTGATTACGCGCCATGTTTACGATATAGTAAAATACTATTCGAGCACTTCGGTTTTGTTCGCTAGTTATGTCAACAAAACCAATGACGGATTAGTGTTAGTGCTTTTTGATTGGTCGCCAATAAAACCATAACAAAATCACGTGGCAGGTGCAATAATTGCATCATCATTTTTAGTTGGCTGTTGCCAGGGCCCTTTTAAGGTATTTACCAAAACGGACTAGTAATTTACTAAATTAAACTTGTGAAATTACTTTTGTATCTAACATATATAATCAAAGTTTCACTTGTGAACAGTTTATTAATCAGTTTATGTAGATCTACGCAATTATAAGCGCGATAATTCGCTAGCTATATTATTCTAAAAAAAAAGATAGGCCAATCTGAGTTAATTGATGATAATTCACCATATTTCTACCGCGTTACTAACACAGCTAGGGCTATTTTTGCATATTTTGACCTCTTTTGAGTAAATTACATGGGTTGTAAGTTTTGTTTGCAGTGTGAAAATTACGTTCTTTGTTTTCAGTAAACAATACTTTACTTTTTAATACATTAAAAAAAAATCATGAAAATTAGCATGAATCTGGAGCCATGTTAATTCTCATGAAAATTTTGGAAATGTATTTAAAGTAAAATATTGTGAGATGAACAAATTAAGCAATTTACATATTGCAATCGGCACATACAATCCAAGAAAATTACCAAAAAAGTGGCCAACATATGCAAAAACAGTCCTTACTGCGTTAGTAACGCAGTAGAAATATAGTCTTGACAAGCATAATTATAATATGTAAAATATCACTTGGATCTTGAATGTTTTTACCTTTCTTAAAATTTTAGTACACTTTTCTCAATATTGATTTTCTTGAATATTGTGGCTCATCTGGAGGCGTGCAGCTTCAAATTCTCAAACCAAGTTTGCGTTTTTTAATCCTTATGCCAAGTTTGGTTATATACATTGTATGTCTCTCTAAAAGCTTTTACTTTTTTATTTTGGATTGTTAGAGGTCCTTTTTATCGTATAATTAGTGCAAATAAAAATATTAAGGGTATTGGTAGACAAGGATGCCTTAATATCTTTATACCTTCTTAGGAAAGAGTTTAGGTCGCGATCGTGGGTAAAGGAAGCTATGCCCCCTGACAGGCCTCAATACAGAAGGCGGACCTACCGTCCTATATATTGACATTATAGCTGAACCACGATTGAACCACGCATTTTACATGATTCCTGGCTGTTGCAATAGTGACTGAAGGGAGCGTGAATACAACATTGCAGCAGACGTTCCCGCCAATACTTTATATATTTGATCCTTTGCTAGATGAAGTTGTTGTGAAATTTGACATTTAATTGAGATATGCGATTATTTTTATTCTACTTTATTTTTTTTCTACTTTATTTCTGAAAAAAAAATCAAACAGGATGCAATCAGCAATATTTCATTCAATTCGCATGTTTTTGACAGGGCCAATGGATAATAAAGAAACAATCAAACTACTTAACATAAACACTTCTCTTCTTTTTTCTGCAGACAAGATATCGCTCCGTGATGTCAAAATCTTTAAATTCGTTCAAGATGTGTGAGCACAATGTAATAAGGAAAAACTCTTATTGCAATTATGAGCAGCTTTTACCACAAAACTATATATAAATTGACTTAATTATGAGAAAATATAAAAGAACGCACCTTTGCAGCATACTTGCCACTCTTGTGGTTAACCGATGTGGCATGTTAATTTAACTTTTTAAAAATCTATGTCAAGGGCGTAGCTCGGTCTTATATATTTATTGAGGGGTCTGATAGACATAAGTGTGAGCGATTTGCGAAAATCTGCTGGCTCTGTCTGCTGCTCAACCCAGGGGTATGAGTTCGAGCCGTACTCTGCATGGTCACGACCATACGACCATATATCCTCAGATGACATCAGTATTCTGGTAAGTTCCCGGAAGCGGTTTTGAAAGTGATTAATACAACCATGTTGAAATTATTTGTTTATACAGGGTCTTTTTACTTCGAAACACTAGTTTATAATGGATAATTCTCGAAATTTGTTTATATCTGTCAGTGCAGTTTTTTTGTTTGTTGTTTTTTAAACCATTATGCCAGTAAAAGCTTTGTTCCAATTCATTGCCATGATGTCCGCTGTATATTCAAAGAAAGAAGATCTACAACTAAATCTTGGTGACACGAATTTCATTTTTCCAAGAATAATTCGATAATTCCTGACCTATCCCTTCATCCTATTTGTTGAGTAATGTAAAACGATTAGAATCCTTAGAAAAGAAGAATACTGTAAGATTGAGGTTTGCTTTTGCCCACCATTCTGTTCCGTAATTAATATCTGACATCAACCCGCTAAAAGAAGTCATATAATTGCATGGAAATCTCGCAGTGATGTTTAGGTGCAGTTAAAGGACAATATATGTATAATACTATTGAAAAAATGCACAGTCAATGGGGTTTGATTTATATTTGAAGAAAATGGTTTTAAAAAACTATTCAAATTTAAGGGCCATTGACAGCTGACATCTTTTCCATACTGTTTAAACGTGTTTTTTAATGTTATTTAAGTCTATTTGTATGAAGTGTTTATTTAAATCTTAACACGAAATGTTTGCAGTTAAAGTCGTGGTCCATGTATGTTACCTTCGGTTACCAACCATTTGAAATATTTCATCAGCACAGTCGGGCCGGACTGTAAGGTCACCAGCAGGGCAACACTTGAAGCTATGTGTTTAAGTCTTTAAATGTATAAACTTATTCAAATCCTAGACCTATTTAAATGATTTGAGAACATTTTAGAAGTACTACTTTTACAAATAGAAAACCGATAGTTCCATGAATTAACATATTCAAGACAAAATATAGGTAAAATTTAAACTGAATCAACAATTTTTACTCTAAAAGTCAAGTAAAAACGGAATTATAATTTATTTACAAATGTTTATATTACAATGAAAAAAACACCAAATAGTAACATCACAGGAGACAATATGTAGCCACAGATCAGTCCCAGATATGAGCACTTTTAACATAAAAATTAGTTATAAGTTATCAATTATTTTTTATAGTACTTAGTAATTCTCACGACAGAAATAGTTAAGGTGCACTTGGCATGCGATTCTCTTTCCTATTTTTCCAAGCTACCGTAAGGTTTCCTTCATCAGGCTGGTACCCCGATGCTGATCTGCCCTGTCGACTTCTTTTGTCTCCATTTGTCACATGTATTGTCGGTACAGGGGTAATTCCCTTAGGCGCTGGTTCTGGTGTCCGGCTCGAGAATGGTGCAAAGAACGGGGAGCCAGGGACTACATTTTCCTCTCTACTTTGAGCACGTTTGTATAATTTAGGTGGGGTTTGAGGACTTACTCTCTGAACCTCTGGTTCAATGTTTATAACCTCTACAGGATTTTGAGACCCTCTAGAGGGTTGTTGTCGGGATTGAAGTAGAGGGGTTTTACTTCCGGTACTTGTTACGTCTTCCGGTGGCGTTGTTCTTATAGGTTGCGCAATACCTTTAGCTACTACAGGCCCGCCTTGATGTAACAGCATAGCTGGCCATACAAGATAGTCAAACTTATCGGCACCAATGCTGGAGTATTTCCGAAACTTTTCAGTGTCGAATTCAGCACCTCTGTCAAGTTTGTCCAGAAAGACCATTGGCGGGTCTTGTACACACATTGACCACGTGATGTCTACACATTGTTTTGTATATTTTTGTGTTATTTTATTGCTGTATCGTGACGGATCAATAAAGGTTGGCAGAACATGGTCAATGAATGTCTACAAACATAAAAGTTAAAAATTATGAAATTTTCTAAATAAAAGTAGATAAATATATAAATTACTTAAAGGAACAATATGCATAAGAAATGAAAAGAAAAATTCCGTTAGAAAGAGAAAACGAAGTACTAAATCACTTTTAAGTACATGTATACAACTTTTCAAAAAGGCCATATAAGGAAATGATGGTTAAGGTAATTCGTAATTTAAAAACTTAAACAGGAGAAAAAAAACAACAAAAAGCTTCTGAGAAGTATAATTAAAAGCATTTTTGGGGCATAATGGGCCTTTAACTGAACGTAACTTTATGATTCCTTTTTGAACTCTTTACCCGTTAATTTTCAACCGTTGTTAAAAGCAAATAAATTAAGAAAATAACCAACATTTCAAATTCAAATTAATAACCTAATTATTGAAATTCTCTAAATGTGTAATGATTTCATTTATCAATATGATCTTGCCTTTTGCAAAGATGGGAGACATTCTTGTGCCGTTGTCTTCTGGTAAAGTTTGGCAAGTGACACGATCTCTCGTGTGATCTGACGTTGTTTTAAGCGCGTGATTATACCGTCGTCATCCATCCACTTCCGATAAAAAAAAGAAATTTATAATGCTATTAACAAAATCATTTAATAATATTATACATTCTAAGATTTTGACAGGTCACACGACCAAGTTTAATTCGAGGAATTAGTATTTTATGGAACGCCATAGCTGCCTCATGTTTTCTGTACGAAATCTGCTGTGGTCATAGTATTATTTTTACAATAGGTTTATCTCTTAGATTTGGTTCGCTAAATTGCTAATCATGGTCATGCAACTACATAGTTAGGTGAAGAAGCAGGCGCTTGTTTTGGTTGAGTCTATTATGTTTTGTTTAGGGGGTTGAGTTGTCATACACAAATTTACAATTTATATGCATTTATTTTTTTCCAATGATTGTTATTATCTTAAATGCTTCTGGGATTGTTGTTTTATCAATTCATTTGTAAATAAGATTGTTATATGTCTATTAACGGAATAATTTTAATGAACACGAAATTAGTTCACACCTACATGTGTATTGGTAACGTGATGGTTTAAGCCAATGAAAACACGTCAATATTATTTTACTCAGGCAGAGAAAAAGTGTGCAAAGAGTAAATCGATAATCTTTATGTAGCCAGCAAACTTTGAATTGCAAGTATTTTTTCATATCTTTTCGGCAGAATAAACTTTTCGAGGATTCGTGTCGTAAAATGGCTGCCATTTACAGTATTAAGTGATTATCCCAAGCACCACCGCGACTTAGCGCGGGAATTTTAATTATAGCTAACCTCGGCGCGTATAACTTGTTCGTATTTTATTGTAATAAATATTTACAAACTGTGTCTTTCGGGGTTTTTTTTATCATAATCTTTGACTATGATTTACAATGAAATTCTACCTTAAGTAATTTTATTTTGTGATTATGCTTCAAAGCAGTCAATTGACCGTGAATTTTCTTTTCATATTTTGATTTCCTTGAAATCATTTTTCTCATCTGAAAGCATGCAACTTTAATATGGTGATACATTAATTACATTCCATGAAAATGTTTAAAGATATAAAATATCTCATGACATGTTTGTTCATTTTACATTACACCTTTAATTCAGCAAACATAAAGTCTTCACAAAAAGTAGTATGCAATCGTACCTATATTACATACGAATGTATGTAATATTTTTCTTGTTACATTTCGTTTTAGTTTCCCCTAAAAGCGTCTTATTATGTATAATAGTAGTGTTGGCTTGCCAACGTTTTATGTGAATCTGTCTTAGCAAAGTTTTATTTGGTCAAATTTTCATGTTAGCTTGTCAAAACAAAGTGCTGACTTGTCTAAACACTGTCTCATTATTTCAAAACGTCATGTTATCATGTCCAAATCCGGTGTAAACATGCCTAATGGAAGTCTTAATATGTCTAACATGCACGCCATCTTTTCGAATTAAGATTTCAACATGTCTAAACATAGCCTTGTTTAAATGTGGTGTTGAATTGTCTTGAAATTGAACAGTAGTGTTATCTTGTCGGAACTTGATGTCATCTTGTCCAATTGTGATCCTGGCTTGTTATGACACTGTTGTATTATGTTATGCTGTCGTTATGTCTTGTCCAAATGTGGTATTGACTTGTCTTAACACTGTCACATTTGGCAGATTGCCATGTCATTGTGTTCAAATTCGGTGTTATCTTGCCTAAAGAATGTCTTTTATGCCAAAATAGTATGCTGTCTTGTCCAAATGTGGTGGCAAAATGTCTAGAAATTGTCTTATTATGTGAAACAGTAGTGTTATCTTGTCAGAACTTGGTGTCAACTTGTCAAACTCATGTCATATCGTGTCGGCTAGTAGTGATATCTTGTTCAACGGTTGTATTGACTTGTCTGAGTATTGTCCTGTTTTGTCAAACTGTTATGTTGCTTTGTATGAGGTGGTGTTATTCTGTCTTATTGTGCCAAAACATCATGCTTTCTTGTCTAAAACTGTTGTTAACCTGTCTAAAAATATACTTATTATGTGTGATACTAGTATTGACTTGCCAATAAACCTTGTTTGCTTGTGTAAACGTTATTTTATTATGTCAAACAGTATTGTTGACTTGTCGTAAGATGGTATTGACATGTCTAAACACTGCCTTATTTTCTCAGATCGCCATGCTATTTTATCCAAACTTTATGTTAACCTGCGTAAACACCGACATATTATGTGAAATAATGGTGGTATCTTTACACATTATGGTTATGAACTGTTAAAACGCTATTTATGTTTGTAAAACTGCCATGCTATTATGTAGAAATGTAGATTTAACATGTCTAGATTCGTCTTATTATGTCAAATAATCATATCATCTTGCCGAAATGTGGTGATGACTTGTTTAAAATTACTTTCTTTTTGTCAAAGTGACATTTTATTTTGTCAAGGTTCGGTATTAATTAGACTAAGCATCGTCCTTTTATGGCGAAGAATCATTTTTCCTTTTCAAACGTGGTGTTTACATGTTAAAACACAGTATCATTATGTAATACTGTTTTTTTTTTTTTAATGCGTTTATTTAAGGTCGCCGCCGGAAAGCCCATATGGGCGACCGTACACTCAAGTCGGGCCATCGTAGAGCGTCCCGCCGAGACTTTTTCGTCGATTTTTTCCAGCTTTTATTGGTGGAGGAAGACCCCAGGTGCCCCTCCGGCCATTATTTCAGGCACGAGCGGGAACCTGGGTAGAACCACCGACCTTCCGTAAGCCAGCTGGATGGCTTCCTCACATGAAAGATTTCGACCCGAGTGAGGATCGAACCTACAGCGGTGAGGGACCTGTGATCTCAAGTCAGCGACCTTAACTGTAATACAGTGGCGTTGACTTGCTAATTTATTACGATAACTTGTCTAAATAACGTCTTATTATATCAGATAATCGTGTTAACCTGTCCAGATGCGATATTGTCCAAATTTAGTATCACATGACCAAAGCCCGCGAAGAGCGTGAAAAGATAGAGCAAAAAAAGATAACGGGGCAGTTTAACAAAATCAGACAGCGCTTTCTCAAGACAGAACTAAATTTGAACAAAATAACACAATTATTAGACATAATAAGACTGATTTTGTTTTTTACAAGAAAACATCAAATTTTGACAATATAGCACTTCTGTTTTACATTATAAGAAAGAGATCTGACAAGACTTTAGTCATTACTACATTTCGACAAAAACCGCATTTTTTTTTTACTTTATAAGATTGAGTTTTAACCAGTCAAAACCGCTTTTTGACAAAATAGCATACACTTTATCATAATAAGGCATGATTTAGCCCAGTCAACAAGTCGGCAAGATAATGCGAATATTTGATATAATAAGACAATTCAGTAGTGTACGTTGGCAAAGAAACACTTCTGTTTGACATAATAAGACAATATTAATGCATTTAAACGCCGTATTTTTACAAAATAACTTAGCAGTTTGATAAAATAAAGCTGTGCTTTTACAAGTCAACACCAAAGTTCGACAAGAGAACACTACTGTTTCAAATGGTCAGACAGTCTTTTGACAAAACAGCTCCACAATTTGACCAAATAGCGCGACTAGTTGACATAATATGACACATTTCAGACAAGCCAAAACATTTTGACATGATAACACTACTGCTTGAAATAATAAAAAAACAATGTTAAGACAAGTCAACATCAGACAAGTCAATATCACATTTTGAAGACATTAGACTTCCGTTACGCATAATAAGGCAATATTTAGACAAGTCAACAAAATACTATGGCAACACAACACTTATACTTGACATAATAAGACGCTTTCTAGGCAAGATAAAAAGAAATGTAATAACATCAGGCAGCTATGGCGTTCCATAATTTTATGTTAATTGTTTAAGGTGTTGTGGAAAACGTCATAGAGTTCTGCTGATAATATATTCTGGTAATCTACCGGAAAAATAAACCTCCAAATAATGACAATTAAATATATATATACATGTATATATATCAAGAAATGGTAAAGGGAAAAATTAAAGTTTCATGATTGAATTTTCCAATTGTTATGTAATTTACAACGATAAAAAACATATACATGTAGTCTAATCATCAGCACCATTGGCACAAAATCAACGCATATAAGTTAATAGCTTATATATACATATAAGCCAATGTTTCACGTTTTCCCCTCCAGATATAATGTAGTCTCTTTTTATATACAGTCATGTAAAACTAAGACACATTTTTGCTATTTTTATTGTTAAGAAAGCTTGGTGTCAAAAATCTCGCGCTGGAGCTTTAAAATTTAAGTGATCAAACAAAAGACATGTTAGCATGGAAAACAAGGTGCACACCAGAAAAAATTTAATTATTCATAAAATCAAAATATTACCCACCGTTGCTGAGGGGTATAAAGCCTCGCCCTCGATGTTCTGCAGCTGCTCTCGAGCAACATCCTTGCTAAAGGAATAACTTGCCTGGAAATATTTCACAAACTTGATTTAAAATATGTCTTATTTTTCCAACCAAAACAAATAAATAAAAGAATAATCAAAGAATAAATCATCTGGCTTTGATTTAAATTTGTATGATTTTAGAAGATGCGTATTGTCGTAATGTTTGAACTTAAGCATAATTAATATCTAAAATATTTTAAACTTATATTATCTTTAATGTGTCTATTCTTTTATGAACAACAAATTTCTTCAAAATATGGATTCAAATGAGTACTATCATTATAAATTTACGAGACTTTTCAACACCTATTTGTTCTGTCTTAAAAATAAGCCGAACACATATCTAGCTTATTATGTGATTTCTTACCCTGAGTATTCTCTGAAGGGTGACTATTATTTCTATTTCATTCCATCCTTCTAACTTAAAGTAATCATAAGTTTCTGCCCATTCCTGCTCAAACAGCCGCTTGAAACTGTCTCTAATCTTGATCACTCGACTGCTTTCAGTCTCTCCATCACCGCGTGATAGGGAGTCTCTAGAATCCAGAAAATAAAACAAACATGGAAATCTGTTCAGTATTTCAATACTTACATAATTTACATATTATATAGTGAGTAGTCAGTGAATAAACAAACGATGTCTTGAGAATAAGGCAAACGATATCTTGATCATTGAGCAAATGGTATCTTAAACAATGGGCAAACAATATCTTAATCATTGGGAAAACTGTATCTTATACAATGGGGAATTCATACACTGAACAAACGCAAATTTGAACTGTGTTGAAATGATATTTTGGACCGTTGGCAAACGAAAGCTTGAACAGTGTTGAACTTTGGGCAAGCTATAACTAGAACTTTTAGCAATGCAAACTATAACTTGAATAGTAGAAAAAACTATAACATCAATAGCAGAAAAACTATAACTTGAATAGTGGGCAAACAGCAACTTGAATAGTGGCCAAACTATAACTTGAACATTGGGCAAACTATAACTTAAAACATTTGGCAAGGCAAACTATATATATCTTGAACCGAAAACAAGCTATAACTTGAACAGTGGCCAAATTATAACTTGAACAGTGGCCAAATTATAACTTGAACAGTGGCAAAACTATAACTAATAACACATAGAATCTGCATAAAACGTTATACCATGAGAGTATGAATTGCTACATTGTATTACTGTTTTAGCTATCAATGACAAAAAGATAGTGAATTCGTTTGCTTAGCTTATCACAGAACAAAAATAACAATTTTGATAATGGATTTATTTACTGCAGATTAAATTGAAGACGGTTGTTAGCAACCGCTCAGTAAACTGAATAACCTCGCTATAACTGTACAATTTCATTGATTTTAGTATCAAAATTATAAGAACACCAATTAGCAACTGTACTAACTGCACGTATGAATTTTCTACGCCAACCCCACAATAAAACAACATAAGCACAAAAAACAACACCATAATATAAATAAAATACCCCCCCCAACAAATCAACAAAAAAATATATATATTTTGCTTTGAGTAAGCTATCAATCTGGGTCGAACTTTTTATGTAAAAAAATTCTTTGTGGCAAACTAACGAAAGAACGGACGAATGAAAAAAATCACACTTTTCTCTGAGAATAATTTTCATGTGTATCTGGTAAAATTCCTGAGATTGAACTTGGTACCGCTCAAGTCGGTGCTAGGGGGCGTGAGGGATGGGGCACATTTTCGTCATATACAGGGGGATAAACAACAAAAAACAAAAATAAAGATCAACAAGGTAAAGGCAACGTTCACATTGCGTGACACGAATATGTTCCTTAAACTTTTCAAACAAAGACTTATTGATTGTTGTACTCAACAATGGTATGAAAATATAACGAATTCTAGTAGATGTTTTCACTATAATAAATTTAAATCACTTTTAAATGTTGAACGATACTTATTAATAGAAATACCATTTAAACATAAAAAGGCGTTTTGTAATTTTCGTTGCTCCAACCATAAATTAGGTATAGAAATAGGCAGACATAATAATATCCCAAGGGAAGAACGTTTGTGTACAACTTGTAATGATGGTATAGATTGTGAATTCCATGCTTTCTTTATATGTAAAAAATACAAACAAATCCGTGATAAGTATTCTTCAATTGGTATTTTGGCGGAAAAGAACTACATGATTTTATGTATTAATAGGTACACGTGATATAATCACATTAAGGAAGCTTATGTTTTATGTATATGTTTTAATGGATAACATAAACAACTAGTCTTTTTACGCATTAATAAACATTGTTAAGGTGACGCAACCATATTACTATATTGTTGTATGTATGCTATGTATTTTGGGCCTGAGGCCTTTGAACACAAATAAAGTTATTTGAATTTGAATCTTGAATCTTGTTCACAGGACGCAGCCCCCCCCCCCCGCCCCGACACACCCAAGTAGGATCGAGTGGACATAAGGGCGGAAAAAGGAGTGGGACATGGAATGTCATATAAACTAAAACGGCCCCATATGGGAATTAAAGGGATAAGGGCTGTAAGGGTGATAGGGGATATTCTTAGTCGAGAGAAAACTCTGATATTATTATTGAATATGTTTTTGCGCATTAGTCCCCTTGGTTGCATAAACATACCTATCTCGTAGTTGTTTTTTCAACAACAGTATCTCTGTGTCTTTATCTTGTAACTGACTTTGTAACTGCTGTGTATCTGTCTTGCTCCAAGACTTCTGGAAATAACAATTTTAACATCGGACTGACCATGCTAGTGAAAAGATGTACGATCAAGTACAGAGTGCGTTTCAACCATCGCCCGGCGAAGACATTTTATTGTACCCACAGAGTGGGCCTTGTCGGATGTTTAAGAATCTAAATTTCAAAGTCATCGCTAAAAATGCGTTTTTAAAGGACACACATATTTTAGTTAAGATATTAATTACTTGTCTGTCATATATGATGTAAAGAAACTAAACAGGTTAAAAAATACAAACCGTGAAGAATGCTCTAACTTTATGTTACGACTTAAAAGTACCTTAAATTATTACGTATCATTTGTATAAGTACATGTACATTTTGTTCGGTTATCGTCACTTCATCTATTTATTTTCTACATTAATAAAGTTCTTGAGTTGAAATCGTGGGTTTAATTAGACCATGTTTCACTATTTGACATCAGAACTTGTTACGGTGCTAGGGATCGGACTCGAAAGTGATTAATTCAATTAATATAAGTTGCAAGAACTCGTTTCATAATTGGGGTTAAGAATTATTAGTTTATACTTACAAGATGTGAACACTTCATATACTGCACAACCCACTCAATTCATGTACATGTATTTATACAAAACCTCAATACGACAACACTTAACAGAATAACCACTTACCTGTTTATGATACTGTACGTTTATTCCTGCTTTATACTTAAGTACATTAAGTTCCGTTTTGGCATCTTCAATCAAACGGGGATCTATGCCGCAGTTCTCCGGTATTTTCCGGAATAGTTCGTCAAGTTTCACCGTTTCAACAAAATCCGACATTTCTAAAACCATCTCATTGCTACCACCTTAATTATGTACCCTTGTATCTTATATATCATTTAATGCGCTATACACTTGAGATATATGTATCATTTTGTCCAAAAATAACCAAGTTCAAGATAGTAAAATATGTGAGACGTCTGACTTCATATATGTATGTCTATGTTATAATTAGAATCCCCATGTATAAGGACAGCTCTATGTTAAAAACAACTGATTTCTACTTCACATCAAACACAATATTTAATACATCATCATTACAAGCCTAAATAAACAAATCAATTAGCGCTTTTAATATCTAAACTTCATATTATCACATTTTAAAAGTACTATACACCAAGCAAAAACAAAAACATTCAATAAACACAAAATCCTTGAACAAAATATTTATATCTTAACGCATGTCTTCTTAACAGAAATTTGTCATTCGAAAATCGGATTTTTTTATTATTCAAATGATGAATGTCTTTATCATATTTATCAATGATAAATATACCTTTTGACACTTTTATAGACGGCTTTTATAAATCGTTTGATTTTTTTACACTTCAGTTCGACAAAATGAAAATCAATAGTAGCGCCATGTCCTTTATTGAAACGATTTAAATACCGTATTTGGTTTTCTTTTTTAAAATCCGGTGAAAAGATGAATAAATAAAAACGGAAATCTATCTTGTATATAAAAGTGTTTATATCAATTTATTTGATAACTGTGTAGTGTATACAAATTATTCATATACAAAATTAAAATAGAGTAATCATTTGAATAGATATATTTGAGGTATATATATTTATAAAGTGTCATTTTGGTACATATTTTAATTTTTTATACATAATACTGTACAGCAAAAATAAAATGAATATTAAATGTAGCTGTGACGCAATGAATATTACAAGAATGGATATATTGGAGAAATTGGGACACATATAAAGAAAGGCCGTATGTAAAGTAATACTGGGTAACATTATCACTGAGATTATCATATATACATGTATGTTGCTTAAACTGTGGTGCACGCAAGACTTATGGAAGCATCACCTACCGATGTCAAACACACATTTTTACGGGTTCCTTGCAAATGTCGGACCCTACTTGCAGGGTCTAGATTTATAAGGGGTACTTTACTGTACGACAGACTGTTAAAAGGCTGTCATTGTGCCTTTTTATTTTTATGAACCTATACGCCATTATACAATTTAAAGAACATTTAAACATTTTAAATTTGGAAGGGCTATATAGACAACACATTTATTGCTTAATCTAATATTATTGATGTTGGTGGTCGGTAGTATGCTGGTGATGAAAATGATAATAATAATCATCATGTTTTTTTTTTGGGTAATGATGTACAAAATGATATAAACTTTTATGTTAAAATTTTCTTTATCTTCATTCTTTAGGCTTTTGTTTAATTAAAGTCAACGCCTACACATAACGTTGAATAAAATTATGAACAAATGAACAAAACGGATTTGCTTAATAAGAAATGCAAAACATGACAAAACAATGTAATGCTTAATTAAGAAAAGAAAAGAAACAAAACAACAAAAGAAACAAAACCATTAGATAAAGTACAAAGAAGACAAGTATAGCGGAAACAGATGACATGTCATGATGATGTGACAGGAAGTTCTTGTGACCGCCTCAACACTATTGTCAACTGGTGAATAGAAACAGTGGACAGTCTGACAGCGTTTTCTGTAAAATGCGGATAAACTGGTCAGCTGTCATGTCTGAAATGGAAGAAAAAGAAACAACACCACAATAAGTCACATTAAAGAAAAATTACGATTCCAAGAAACATTGTCTTATAAAACCAGTAATGAAAAATGCTTCCCTTGACTTGTTGTGAATCGATCTTTATGAAACAATGGTCATAAGTGAACGGTTTTATAATCGGTTTTAAGTAAAAGATCGTCTTTTCGCACAGGGGTTGACTACACTATATGTAAAATTGTTACAAACAATATAGTTGTATACCTTGTTCATCTTCACCAAAGCTCGAATCTATAACATCGAGTAAAAGTTGGCCGAGCGTCTTTCGACTCAGACATTGACTGCGTCCTTTCTGTAGGAGACGAAATACTGACACAAGTTGATCTTCTAACGCAAGCAGACGACTACATTCTGTCTCGAGAGCCTCGACTTGGAAGTTGGCAGTTTGAAGATGTCGTCTGCAAAGGTCTAATTCCGTATCGAGCCTAGCCATTTCCTAGAAAAGACATGGTATTTAAACGCAAAAACTGACAAAAAAATAGATAAATTTGCCAATTAATAAATCCTAATGCATAAGGTTTCAGCACAAACTTATATTTGTGGTCTAAAATGATTTATTTATTTTTTGCGTGTACAGTTAACTTCATTAATGTATGACATCGAGTTCCCTGAAATACCTTAATTTCACATTCACCCGTTATATCACCAGAACACTTCATCAGGACACTTTTCTAAATATTTTTACAATTTTTACATGGCACAATCTTTTTAATGCAGAGGGAGGTTCATAACACCATAGTAATTTATTTTTATCTGTTGAGTTTTGAGATAGAATTAAACACAGAAAAAATATTATACAGTTACATACATGCAATATTATTGGAAGTAAATTTATCATATTAAAGTCATTCATATTATAAAATACATAGCGGCAACAGTAAAAATATCATCCCGAGATAAATACTATTACCCAATGCGTCTGAAATTTTCAACCAAATCTAATTTCTTAGTTATGTGATAAACTTTCAATAACAGTTATATTTATAACTCCTATTGATATTATGGTTCGCTGCACGAAAACAGGGGAGGCTTTATTGGTGCGTTATTTCAGGCACGAGGAGGCACATAAGTTGAACCACCGACGTTCCTTAAGCTAGCTGGATAGCTTCCTTATAATTATGTAAGAATTCAAGTCCCGGGCGGGATTCGAACCTACAACTATGAGGGACTAGTGGTTTAAAGTTAATGACGTTTTTCATCCGTGAAATAAAGATTACAAAAGTGTAAGGGGTAATAATGTCACATGCAAACCTTCATTGCAAGTGTACAATTTTAAAGGCATATCGCAATGCATAGTCCCTAACTTGACAAAGACAAAAATGAATACTGCAGTTTTTTTTTTTCAAAATGAAAAACAAGTTACATTTTTCTTCCAGATGAAACATTTGAGGTATATAAAAGATGAACAGATTAAAATATAACATTAATTTAGACTTTAAGAAATGTTTTACAGAAAATATACTGAACAGAAGGGATATCCTGCGTGATTTAAAACAGTTACATAAGACGGAGAGGATGAAAACAGATTTTATCGAGCAAGATAAAAAAGACTATAAATCAGAACATAATTGCATGATATGTTAAATCTTCAGTAGGAGTTCTATAATTAGCCTTTATTTACGGTTCAGTTACATATTAAAGAAAAAAGGCAAACGTCTTAGATATCAAAACGATCTTTTATCAGTATAGAGTTTGCAGATTTTAAAGATATTTCAGAATACTTTTTATCTGTTTAATAGACATAAAAAAAATATTCCTTCCTGTAAGCCATGTCTTTTTACCTGTTGCTGCGTCTGAAAAACTTCACACTGGGCTTTTATCTCGTGCTCCAGCCTCTTTATCAAGATAACTTCCGGTGGGAAGTGTTCGTCTGCCTCAAACGCAGCGGTTTCTATGTCGATTTTATCTACAAAATAAAGTTTATGACCTATAACTTTTTTATCAGATATATTTTCTCAAACTATCATGATTTACATATGTAAACAATAATATTTTACCAAAGCAGAGGAGAGTATGATCAAGGCAATGTAACCAGGTCAAGAAACTGAACCGTTTGTTCAAAAAAAATTGTACGTATCTGTACGTTTATTGGTCGAATGTATGATTCCATTCGAGTCATTAAGGATGTCCTATGGGAGAAAAACACCCATTAAGTGGACCTGTCTTTGTATTGACAATATCATATCGAACACCAATCTAGGGGAAGAGTTGTATCATAGCATTCGGACACTGAATATCCAAGAATTATTTGACGAAATATGACCAAAAGGGTAATGAGTAGCACAGTTCACTGTGACTCGGACCCGAATACGGAGGATGCACTTAGTCACTAAATATCGGTACATTTTGGTTGTTTGCTTTTTTGTAACCATAATCACATTTGAGAATGCTGTTTAAACAGAATTATAACGATAATTTAAAATTATGTCTGATTAAATTAAAATGATTTTATGTTGAAGACGGTGCAAAAGTTAACATGTTCTCCACGAGCACTTCAGTCACTTCATTTAACGTAAAAACATACTCGTATACACCGAAACAAGTCTCCGACTTAATTTAATGCCAATTATTGGTTAATCACATTTTCACGTTTTCTAGTCAAGAAAAGCCAGAGAAAAATTGTTACATACCACAACCCTTCTCTGTCGAATTTAACGGCTCCGTGTGCCTGTAAAAATAAGAACTCAAATATTAGAAAAGGAGAAAAGTACAGGATTTAAATATTTCTTTCGACAATGACTTTTCTCAAATGTTTAGTGTGCTGAAAAGCATAATTAAGGTATTTCCAAATTAATTTGTATAATGATATTGGATTTGATTATAAAGCGATTTACTCTCATTTGTTTACAATGTATGGAAATAAAAAGATACGAGTTCTGTTTTCATAAGAGAAACCATAATTTAGATATAATTAAAATCAATTATTTTTTATTCTAACATTCTAGTTAGAAATGTATATTCCTGTCTACCCTGAGGTCATTGGTTCGAGCCACCGTTTAGGTCTTAAGTAAATTGCTTCATATGACACCTGTATAGATGGAAAGGAAGCGGACTCCAAAGTTATTAAATCTAAGTTTGAAAAGCCTTGGGAATATGCTTTAATGATTACCTTATCTTCCCCGAAAAGGAGAATTTTCTTTTTAAGCCTGGTGTGCAGTTCGGTGTTCTTACAAGGATCGGAGATTGGGGGACGGACGTCGGTGTTAGAGGCGTATCCCCACATATCATGGGTGTGTCCTCGGCATTTTCCACTTCCTTAAAACTTTCGACACACACTGCAAACAATTCACGGCAACATCTGAAACATATATGAGCAGAGAGTTGACCATGAAGGTCACTGTATGTGCATGCAATAAGTGATGCTCTACAAGCATCATTGTCCTCAGCATATTGAATATATTAAGGGAACGTTAAACACTTGAACCAGTGAGTTTACAACCACATATGGAACATATATCAAATGCTTTTCATATGTGAACGGCTTTTTAGATTTTCTTACGTTCATCTGTTTCAATGTTTGATAGTAATGAAGGGCCTTTACATAATTATAAAATTAGAAGGAAATGTTGTGTACTTTAGAAGGTTAAAGAGACACGTTTGAACCAGACACGAATATTGAATATAGCTTAAATTCTTCACAATTTATCTTTACGTTTGCATATGGAATCTTGTTTTCGCCAACCAAATTTCTACCAATTTTTAGCAGAAATTTTATATCATCTTAAACGGAAATCAAACCTGTATGTTTTCACGATTAGCTCCAGCTGGCCGGATTGTCGTCTGCTCTCATCTTCCAGACGAACGATCTCGCGTGACATATCAGTCAAGTCATGCTGAAACAAAACACATACGTTTGACGGCTGTCAATGTGCTCTTCATTTTAGGAAACATTAAACAGACCTCTCGTGACTTATCGTTCAAATTCGTGACAGTTATGTGTTAAATTTAGCTGTCGTAACGTCTTTTTTCTGAAACTTGTTCCCAATGTCGTCTGATTATCAGACAGTTGTTTAAAACGAAATCATACTGCAAAATAAAATTGGCAGTACTTGAAATTTATTGTCCTTTTCTCGTCAATTACTGCATTTCTCTCTCCATTGAATCTTAAAGAAAAAACTTTGAAAATTTATATTGTATCTTAAATTCTTTTCCAAAAAAAAACAAGCCATGGTTTTTTTTTAAATGCAAACGTAGTACCAAACAACAACACAAGCTGTAAGAATAAGGTGTGATGTACGTAAATGAAGTATAAGTACCTGTAACTGGTTGTTGAAATTGATCAGCTCTTTAACCTCTTTGTCTCTAAGCTCTCTTAGTTGAGTTAGTTCACGTGCAAGTATTCTCACAGACTTCTCTTCTCCTACAATAATAATACTAGGTCAGATTGACCATAGATCAGGACAAATGATACTTTGGTCTTATTACTGATTATTAATTTTTAACGTTTACATTTGAAATGATTTTGATACTAAAGAAAAATAATTGACTGAAATATCCAACTATTTCTTATATAGATTTGTATTAATAGATATCTTTATTCTTGAAAGATGTTAAACACTTTCTCCACTGGAACCTTCGTAACGCCGTGTCACAACATTGTAACAACTGACATACCCGGCTACATACACATTTTCTACCATAATTGATGAATTCTATATCGTAACTGTGTAATAAATTTGGTAAAGAGCTGTTGAAAATCTTTGTTGAAACTTTATTGTATGGTGGCTGATTTGTGCCATTCGTGTTTTCGCCCCGCGCCCCCGCCATTTTAATTTGTTAAATCTCGACTTTTCGCTTGGCGGGGTCGCGGGACGAAAACACGCTAATTAGCGGGGGCGCGGGGCGAAGTTTTATTTCATTAAACTTCGCCCCGCGCCCCCGCCGTTTTATTTCTTAATTCTCGCTCCGCGCCCTCGCGGGGCGAAAATTTATTTGTTAAACTTCGCCGCGCGCCCCCGCTAATTAGCGTGTTTTCGCTCCGCGACCCCGCAATTTAAACTTGTTAATTCTCGACTTTTCGCTTGGCGGGGTCGCGGGACGAAATAACGCTAATTAGCGGGGGCGTGGGGCGAAGTTTTTATTTTATTATACTTCGCATCGCGCCTCCGCCGTTTTATTTCTTAATTCTCGCTCCGCGCCCTCGCGGGGCGAAGTTTTATTTATTTAACTTCGCCGCGCGCCCCCGCTAATTAGCGTTATTTCGTCCCGCGACCCCGCCATTTAAACTTGTTAATTCTCGACTTTTCGCTTGGCGGGGTCGCGGGACGAAAACACAAATTGCACAAATCAGCCACCATATTATTGATTTAAAGTTTTCTTTTAGTTTGAGCAATTCTGTATTGCAATAGAAATATAAAAAGGCATGGAAAAGATATATAAATTGTATATAATAATATTTTAACCTAGCTTTGGCGTTTTTTTTAAAGACATTACACCTACATGCTGAATGGAGCATATACATGTATAAAGAAAGAAAACATTGCCTTTAAAACGATACCTTTCAAGGGTTTATAAACCAATGTGCTCCCACCGGGAGGCATGGAATGTCTGTTGGTCCCACTGGATACCATGCCATTAAAGTCATGTACAGACACGAGGTTACGCTGATACTTTTTCAGTCCCACTTGCATTGCTATGTTTTGGGCGTCTGAGGCCTGCAACATTGTTCTCAAATCTTCAATAATCTCTTTCAATGTCTGTGACTCCTCTTTGTGGTAAGACACCTCATACAACATTTGGTCAATATGCTCCCTCATTTCACTAAGCCGGAAACCCGACAGACGGAGTTTATCCCAGTTTTTGAAAATCTCAGCGTCATGAATACACTTGTGACCATTTCCTTTCGCCATCCTTCTCTGGAACTGCGTGAGTTTTCTTGTATCTGGAAGCTTAGACGTTGAATCTTCATTTTTACCATTGTTTGTATTCATAGCACGGAAGGACTGATTGACAAGGAAACCGGTATAATCCCCATAACATGCAAAATGTTCACAAAGCCGATCATGAAAGTCTTTAAATCCAAGGTCACCTTCCGTGTCTCTGTTAATAACAGACTCTCGTAAATTAAGAACGTCACAAAGCAGGCGAAATTCTTCTCCCGATATTTTCCCACGCCCCTTGGTGTCTATACTTTGAAATATGTCTTGTAAATATTGGTCCAGATTATTTGATAGCACGATTATCTCGTTTTTCTTTGTCCCATTGCTTCCATATTGATACGCCATTGTATTTGACAGCCATTTTGCCTTCAACTTTGGAGAGCGACCAATTCTCGGTGATTGAGGAATCAGACTCATATCTAACTAAAATAATGGATATATCTTTAACCTTAAATCAAATACTAGCGTGTAAGAAAATTAAGTATCACAGTACGATAAGATTAACATAAATCCAAATAATCAAAAATAAAAAAAAGTTAAAACTATACAACGTAACATTTCATTCATATATACGCATGGAACAAATCTAAATATATTATCCTGCAAGCTGTAAAAACATGCGCACTTTTTTATTTGTAGCGATATATAAAAAAAATCACAACTTAACTCCAAGCTCAACATTTTAAGATTGTAATCTGCCACCACATGTGAACGATGTTTTTTATCATTGCAGAAACATCTGACCTTTCACCTTTATCATAAATCGCTTCATTTAAAACATATCACAACCTAATAAAACCTCGCACCTGTTTTTGTTTGAGAAGCAAAGAAACAACAAAAATCACTTATATCACCTAGTGTTTTATCTTATATATAGATAAAAAGATAAAAAAAAGATGCCGAGCCAAATTAAAAATCATCATCTTTTGACGGCCATTCAAAACATATAACTTACAGAAATTATTACTAAAAGATCATTCACGTCTTCCAGAAAAATATAATAAAATATGATAAAGGAGAAAAAATAGAAAGAAAAAACCTTCCCACATTTCCTGATTCTTCGCTACAGTTACCATTGTTAAGCAAAGCTACATTATATGTCTAGTTATATATCCCCCTTTTTGGCCGACAGCTACATGATTGACATAAAAGGAGATGGAATTGTCTGCTAGCCAGGTACAAGGGCAAATAATTAGAACAATTACACATCATATGCACGATGCAAACTATCAGTTTAATGATCTTATTATATATATATGAGCCGCGTCACGACAAAACCAACATTATGGGTTTGCGACCAGCATGGATCCAGACCAGCCTGCGCATCCGCGCAGTCTGATCAGGATCCATGCTGTTCGCTATCAGTTTCTCTACTTGTTATAGGGTTTGTAGGCGAACAGCATGGATCCTGATCAGACTGCGCGGATGCGCAGGCTGGTCTGGATCCATGCTGGTCGCAAACCCATTATGTTGGTTTTGTCGTGACACGGCTCAATTATATTTTTTTTCCAGATCATAATGAAGCTGTTCAAGCATACGAGACTTCAGTTTTTAAATTCCTTAAAAATATTTTAATGTATTTCTTTTGCTTCATCAGAATGGAGCTAATTTCGTATAAATGGGCTTAAAGGTCTTAGAAGCTATTTTGGACAAGTGTCCGAGTAGTAAATATTTTTTGATTAATGCAATTAATATTGATCAGAAAATAGAACTACGAAAATATGTTCAAAGCTATCATTTTATAAAAAAAACAACAATTTTTTCTCATAAAGATACAAGAGACATCAGTTTTGAGTTTTAATAAAATAGAGCAGAGATGTTATCTATGTCTCTTAATAGAGCTACATGTATTTCAGATGCGCATTTTATTCTTTTCCAACTTTGTGCAGCCAAAATGTAAATTACCAGCGGCATAAGTACAGGAGCGGGCATCGTATAAGGAACTTACACCGGCTGAGGTACGAACCGGAATATCTAGCTCTTGGGTAACTGTTTACGGTTCTGCCGAGTTTCCGCTGTACAGGTACCCGAGAGCTAGATATTCCAGTCTGTTTCGACATTTGATTCTTTTTCTTGCATATAACATATAAAATCTCAATCCGGAAAGAAATTACGAAATTTCGGGTGGTGTTAGACAAGTTTTTTTGCTGTAAATGGTAGGTAATCCTGCCCGAGATGCAAGAATCACTGTTCGGTATCAGCCAGAATGTGGAATATAGTAGCCCTTTGCACGAACTTAAACATTCTAATAACTACTTTTAGTACTGTAAGTACTTTGATATTTTGATAAAAAACAATGAGATTTTTTCAGATAAGCGTTTGGATTCCGGAGAAAAGAGAACAACAATGTTAAAAACGTCTCTTATTAATATTTTAACTATGTATGTGTAGAACATATTAAATCAATATAAAACATGTAGATAAATTCTAGACAAACTATTATGTACATGGATCTATATTCCGTAATAAATTAACAACTAAAAATAAATAAATATCATAAATAGATAAGAATATACATGATATAATTCGGTAATGATAAGTATTAGTATCTACGTATAAATTAAAACCACGGCTATGTTAAATCAATCCATGTGCAACAGTTTTTGTTGTATTTGCTCACTTATGGAATATAGGACTATAAAAGTGAGATAAAAGTAATATCAGTCAATGTATTTCACATAAAGCTAAAAAAAAACTCTAAAAAACTATTATACTGGATGCTTCTAAAGAATTAATGTGATATTGATAATATAGAATCTTTTTTCTTCATTCAGAATCTTCTTTTTTATTATATGTTTACACTTACGTTATACGATACTAAAATCATCTTAAATTTCTCATTTTTCACAGTGAGATATATTTCTACGGAAGCGTATCTAGGCCTACAGTCGGTGAGATGTTTTGCGCCAAGTCAACTTATTTCTATTCGCATTGATAAGATGTTTTTGCATTTCTCAATAAAATTAACTGACAAATATGAGAAGCTTTTAGGCATTGCAACTGCATTTTTGTCGATTTGCTTGAAGCTTTTGTCTCTTCGACAAAAATCCTGTCGAAACTACTTGATTTCACGACTTTGCTGAAATATTAAGTAAGACGCAAAGACGTTACTCGCATTGACAAATAGCTCACGTAACTCAACAATTTTTTTTTGCAATGATTAAAAACTTCTACGTATTACGTATAAATCATTACGTCTTCACGGAATGTTTTATGTATTACGTATTAATCATAACGTCTTCATGGAATGTATTTGGTCAAAACGAGAAGAAACAAGTTGACATGACGTGAAACTTTTAGATGCTTCCGTAATATTTCACATCAACCAATTAAATCTACTCAATAATCCTAATAGATCTTGCAATACATGCCCATATATATAGCCTCAACTATTTAGAAAGCCAAAGAAAACACCTCTTTCGTAATTGTCCAAAACTTGTTGTTAAGTGTTTACTAATTTCATTAAGGACTAGTCCAAAGTTTAAAGATGTAAAGTGCTTGCTATAATTTCATACTAGTTTGACGAAGAAAACTTCATCATTCTTATAAGACCATTGAAGGCCACGATTTACTACTTTTGTAACGCTTTTTATTTCTAGTTTGTTTTTGTCATTTTGCTTGATTGTTTAAAAATATGTCTTTAACACTGTTGAACACCTCTCGTTACGAGAATTATTTCGCCTCTATACACTTCTGTACGTTAAATGTCTTTGTTTCTTTGAACTTCAATATATATCACTATTCTATAATTTCAAAAGTATTTCATTGCTTGGTATTATAAACAAATCTAGATTAAGATCTACATCACAAATCATCATTTTCATCTATAAATTTGATCTCTTCCCCATGCAAAAGTCGTTGTATTTCTTCGGTAAAATTCAACGGTTCACAATCTGAATCAGTATAATTGTTACACCCAATTTGATTTGATGCTGCCAGGCAACCACTTCCGGAACACGTGAGCTTTTGTTCCGCAGAGAATTCTTGGCATTCTGAATCCTGTTTTTCTTCCATGTCAACATTGCTTTGTTTTCCTTGTTTGCTGTTGCTACTAGCGATCATGGAAGATGCGGTGCACGTTTCATTGATGACGTCACCGTTATTCGTGACAACAAAGTCCACGTCAGGAGGGTTTGGAGAGTCACCGTTTGGCTGAAACACTACTGTGGCCATACCAAGTGCTGCACCAATTAAAATAATGAAAGCTGTAAAAGAGATAATAGACTTAATAGATAAATAACCTTGAGTGCGTCCTTCACAAAGTTCTAGTTTAGGCACCCAGTAATATCATGCATCTGTAATTAGGCCTAATAACAATGTATCTGAACAAAAGCCTCACCGTGCTATATAGTATGACAAAATCATTTTTGTCAGATCTAGATTAAAAGTACATACTGAAGTTCTTTGATTCATAAAATTTAACAACAAATTACAACAACAAGTAACTGAACGAAATTAATGCAAAATTTCAGAACACTGTGACTGGTAATACATTACTGCAAAAAAAAATCTCGACATTAAAAGTGAGGACAACATAAGATAGGAAATAATTATTTAAAGAGATGATGACTAAAGTTAGTGTTCATGTTATATGGATTTCATGTACTAATCCTTGATATTTAGGGAATTCATAAACTACCGTAACGTGTCTTGGAATACACGTGAACCCTGATGTTTAGAAATTTCATTAACTCCCGAAATATGTCTTGGAATGCACGTTATCCCTACAATTTGCTAGGGTTATAAAGGAATCCTGATTGTTTAATGAGCATTTACCACTTATTTGGAACGTATCTTTAAATGTTGCAGTGTATTTTAAGATTGCAAGTATTTTTGAGACATAATACGTATCGCATACTGTTGACAATATTTATAAGGAAAATAAATAAATTGTTGATTTCTGCAATGGCTTAAAATGAATAGATTTGGATAATCATATTCCTAAGTGTTGGCCTTTGCTTACAGTGTTACAGTTAAAATTTTATCAAAGGTTATAGAGACATTTTCTACAGCACGTATAGTGCCCTTTTACACCGCATTTTGGGGTCCAACGCACCTTGGGGTCCGACCCAAAAGTGCATTACGTACTTTGGGGTCCGACCCCAGAGTGCGTGACGCACTTTGGGGTCCAATTTTAACCCCAAAGTGCGTTAAACAGGTACATATGCATTTTTTACACCAGACAAACGACCGCACTTTGGGGTCATAAAAATTCAATCAATAAAAATGAATTTTTATGATGTTTTAAATAATATATTGTATTCAAAGCCAATGGTAAACAAAAATCAAGGTATTAATTAGACGCAAAACATTATAGTAGAATCAATAGCGATTTGAAAAAATTAATGATCTTTATCAGTTAGTGAAGAACTTTCATCAAATAAAGAATTTGTATCATTTAATACGCTCAAAATATTTTTTCTCCCATTTTCCAATTATTTTAAAAGAATGTACACCTTTCACTAACTCCATTGTTTTAGCTAATTGCATCATTTTCCCGTTTTTTTATTTATATATTTTAAAGAAATATGATAGTCTTAGCAGAGACAAAGGTATAAATCCCGGTAAATCTTAATAAGAGATTTCAGTAAAAAATATGCCTGATAATATGTTGAAAGGGTCATTTATTTAGCTTATCTAAATCTGACTAGATGTAGATGCGGCCTTAAGTAGTAGTTCGCATAGGTAGTACTCAAACGTATCATAAACTATTTAAGAAGTCACACATTAAGAGCGAAACTTCATAATAATATAAAGTTCTCACTGGGGGGGATCTAGAGGGGATGGTGGGGTTTCGATCCCCCCGAGATTATAAAAATAACGTTTTAAGGCCCATTACGCTTTTACTTGTATTTCTTAAAAGCTTTTTAATTTGGGTGTACTTCTATAGTATCCAAAGAGTTAAGCAAATCTTACTGTGTGAAGGCTACTATTTCTTCAATTCATACAACTTAATACTAGGTTTACAGGATAGGACGTGTTCTATCTCTTAATACTTGTTGTATAGACTTCCCACGATAACAGATGACATATTTCCCTACTATGTTAAATGAATGAAATTCCAGAACAATTCTGGCTGTAAACATAGTAGTAAGATGGGGTAAAAATAATGTTGAAAAACTCTTCAGGAGACCCAAAGTTGTGGTATTTTCGAATCCCAAATTATTCAGAAAATGATAGTGTCACAGTATTTAACTGTTCATTAATCAGTGGAGGTAGTTTGTAGCGACTGGATAGCTCAGTCAGTACAGCCGCAGGTTCGAGTCTCGGCCAGGCTGCACATTAATCTCGCCCTGTGACAATTATAGATTTTTTTTAAAAAATGGAAGTGTTTCAATCATTACTCATGGAGAAAAAAATATTTTTAGTGAGTAAAGTATGTAAGAGATCAATTTGGTGGAACTGTTTTTGAGGGAAACCTGATGATTCCTACAATGCAGCATTACTGTCTGAATGCAATTGCTGTATTGCCATGAAAAACTGTACATCATATCTCTAATTAGTGTTGTACAACTAAATTCCACCGTCTGTTGAGGCCTTTACTCATTGGCCAATTACCTGAACCTGATCTTTTCATCTGTTCCTTTTTGGCAATGAGTACAGTTATAGTGAATTAGTATTTTATAAGTATGTCAAATACTTCAATGTTTACATTTTGCTACTTCAATGACAAATTATTTCACATTTATCGCTACTTTATTCAGGTAACAAGCATCTTACATTTCTCTGATACCATTATTTAAGCATTATAAAATTCATGTTTGTCCTTTCTAAAGAAGTATGTAAGATTTCCCATTAAAAAAGCCTCTGGCGGACGTTACAAAAAACTAAAGTTTGTTGACAAGCTTAATAATGATTTGTAAAAATCACTATTTAAAGTCCGATCGAAAAACTTGATATTTCACCGGAACATTGTAATGGAGTATATTTATAGTTCTTGGAAAAAAAATATAACCTGCATTTCATTTCATCCCCATCAAATTTTAAATGGGGCATAATATGGCACCAACAGTTATTAAGTAAATGACTGACACAGGATATGTTTACAGCATCTTTTAATTTTAGGAATACATTCACAATTTATGTACTAGAGTACTTTGTTATATGGAAGCAATTTTTAGATATTTCAAGTGGTAAAATTAATGAAACTTTTATCACTTAAGCATCAAACAAAGTATCGACCGCCATCTTGAACTCCACCTCCTTAAATATTTCAATGTCGCAGATCGAAAATAAGTCAGTACTCAGTATTTAAAGCTGCATGCCTCCAGATGAGCCAAAATATTTCAAGAAAATAAAACTTGAGAAAAATGTATTGAGGTTTTATGAAAAGTAAAAAGACTAAAGATAAAAGGAATAATTTCCATGTTATTTGCGACTGATGGCAAATTTTTCAGTAATTTTCACCAAATTTCTACTGCGTTACTAACGCAGTAAGGGTTAATTTTGCATATTTTGACCTCTTTTTTGTAATTTACATTGGTTGTAAGTGCCATTTGAAATGTGCATATTATTTTCTCTGTCAGCTTTACAATATTTTACTTTTGAATACATTTTCAAAATTTTCATAAACATTAGCAGGAATCTGGAGGCGTGCTGCTTTGTAACACCGCACTTTGGGGTCAAACGCACTTTGGGGTCCGACCCCAAAGTGCGTTAAACTTCGCACCGCACTTTGGGGTCCAACGCACTTTGTGGTCAAAATCGAGAAATTGACCCCAAAGTGCGTTAATATGCTACATATCAACGCACTTTGGGTTCAAGATGTCTAAAGGTGTCATCTGAGTTCTGCTTAAATACTGAGTACTGACTTATTTTTCTATCTGCGACATTGGAATATTTGAGGTGGAGTTCAAGATGGCGGTCAATACTTTATGATGCTTAAGTGATAAAAAGTTTCATTAATTTTACCACTTGAAATATCTAAAAAAATGTGTTCATATAACAAAATTACGTTGGCATAAAAGTGACATTTGAATTTTTTTTTTTGTTTTTAGTTTTGTATACATATTTTATTTTAGTTTTGCATACATACTTTTTTCAGTTTTGCATACATATTTTGTTAGTTTTGCATTCATATTTAATTTTTGTTTTTCGTACATATTTTATTTTTGTTTTTCATACATATTTTAGCCAATCAAAACAGCCTTCAAACCTCATAACAACTCATAGTTGAGTATAAAACTATCACAGCGGTTTGGTCACATTTCGGCCCATTTTTGGAATCGACCCAGTCGTTTTCGGCCGGGCAAGTCTGGTTTCGGCCGACCCTTTTCGGCCCATTTTTTATATTATATGTATTTTATATAATTATTGTTTTTTATTATTATCTACTATTATATTAGTGTCTATTTGGAAAGGGCTGTTGATTGGGGATCAGTTATTATTCCATGATTATGCACCACTCAACCCTACCCCCTGAGAATTATGAAACTTAGGTCAATTCTTTAGCACATCCAGATAATGTGCAAAACTTATATGCCAGGTGTGCCGGCTCAAGGTCGGGGCCACACCTACAGGTCAAAGGATACACTTGGGTTTCATGTCTGCTCCTTATTTCCGAAACCCCATGAAGGATTTTAAGGCACCTTGTGACAAATGTTAACCACATCGAGACCATATTCAAAACCTTTCTTTGGGATATTCCGTTCTGTCGCTCATTTACTTGATAGCTTTTGATGCCATATTGAGCCACATTTTAAATATGCTGGGAATGAAATAAAATGCAGTTAATATTTTTTCCAAAGAACTATAACTATACTCTATTGCAATGTTCTGGTGAGACATCAAGGTTTTCGATCGGACTATAAATAGTGATTTTTACAAATAAATTATTAAGCTTATCAACTTAAGGGTTTTCGTAAGCTCCGTAACAACCGTTCGCCAGAGGCTTTTTATGGGAAATCTTACATACTTCTTTAGAAAGAGCAAACACGAATTTTAAAATGTTATAAAGATGGTGGTATCTGAGAAATGTAAGACGCTTGTTACCTGAATAAAGTAGCGATAAATATGAAATTATTTGTCATAAAAGAAGTCAAAACATTGTAGTATTTGACTTCCATATAAACTACTTTCACTATAACTGTACTCATCATTGCCAAAAAGCAACAGATGAAAAAGATGGTTCAGGTAATTGGCCAATGTGTATTTTTTTTGATAATATAGAAGAACATCAAAATAAAAAAGCTTTTAAGAAAAACAAATAAAAGCATAATGGGCCTTTAAAACGTTATTTTTAACCCTACCCCACAATCCCCTTTATACCCCCAGGGAGAATTTTTACATTATTCTGAAGCTTCGCTCTTAATGTGCGACTACCTAAATAGTTGATATTTTGAGTACTGTTTGTACTGACTACTACTTAAAGCCGCATCTACACCTAGTCAAGTTTCTTATATGTCACATTTAGCTAAATAAATGGCTCTTTCAACATATTATCACGCACAGTTTTTACTGAAATGTCTTACTAAGATTTCCCAGAATTTATACCTTTGTCTATGCTAAGACTATCATATTTCTATAAAATGTGTAAATAAAAAACGGGAAAATAATGCATTTAGCTAAAAACAAGGGAGTTAATGAAAGGTGTACATTCTTTTAAAATAAATGGAAAATTTGTGAAAAAATATTTTAAGCTTAATAATTGATACAAATTCTTTATTTGGTGATTTATTTGGTGAAAGTTCTTCACTTACTAATCAAGACCATTTAAATCCCTATTTATTCTACTATAATTCAGGGCACATGTTTGTGTCTATTTAATACGTTTACCATTGGCTTTGACTACAATATATTATTTAAAACATAATGAACATTAACTTTCTATGACCCCAAAGTGCGGTCGTTTGCCTGATGTTAAAAAATGCATATGTACCTGTTTAACGGACTTTGGGGTCGAAATTGGACCCCAAAGTGCGTGACGCACTCTGGGGTCGGACCCCAAAGTACGTAACGCACTTTGGGGTCGGACCCCAAAGTGCGTTTGACCCCAAAGTGCAGTGTTACACTGCTTTAAGCAGAACTCAGTTGACACCTTCAGAACTATGGAACGCAAAGTGAGTTGATATGTAGCATATTAACGCACTTTGGGGTCAATTTCTCGATTTTGACCCCAAAAGTGTGTTGGACCCCAAAGTGCGTTGGACCCCAAAGTGCAGTGTTACAGTGCCCCTGCACTCTGGTTATCACACTGTCCACGTTGGAACATAATTATAGAAAATTATAAATTGAAATGAAATTTATAAATTATGATAAATTTATTTATTTCAATATTCATTTTTTAAATCCATAGGAAATAAGGATAGATATAAATAATTTTGTATTTTTTAAGTTCACATTAATATTGTTTATTTGCAACAAAGATATCACTAGAAATAGATACTATTTTCAATACTTCTGCTAATAAAAATGCAGCTACAATAATACATTTCCGAAAATAGAAAATCGTAATTAAGTGAGTGGAAAAAAAGATTGTGCGTAAAAGAATTTATCATGTGAACTTCATAATCTATAAATTAAGTACGGTTGTTTGAAATACACACTATTACTGAATATCACAGGAAGAAAAACACGTGTCGTAGAATTGACGTAAAACTGTAAAAAATATTTCATGGATTCTATCTTATGTTCTATAGGGATTACGTGAAATCCTGGATAACTCATTTTCTCTGTCATAATATATACCAAGAAGAGTACAATTTAGCAATGAAGGTGTAATCTAGAAGAGCTGTATTTAAGGTGAAATGTGAATAAGGCTTATGCTAATTAAAACAAGATAATAAAAAAGAAACAAACTTGGCCAGAGAGTAATGGAATTCCGGATAAGCCTGATAGATATATGGATAAGTTTGGTAATTTTAGCGATGATATAAATACATTTCTGAACAAGTCTGTTAGATATGCGAATGTTTGATAGCTGGATAAAATTGATACTTCTATGAATAAGTTTGATTATTATATGCAAATGTTTGACAAAAATACTGGTAAGATTGATCTTTGACACATGATAGCTATATATATTACAGTAAATAAATATAAAGGGGATGGGTGGGATGAAAACATTAAATATGTACCAGTTCAAGTCAACACATACCTGCTATCATAAAGGCATGATCATATGTTCCACCTTTGTCCACGATCAAACCTGAATTTCAGAAAAAATACATACTTTTGGCTTTGAAATTACCTTGCATAATGATTTGTGTTTACGACAATTAGTGTTGTTCTTAGATAATACGAGTATATATCAAGGTCTATTTGTCTTTGTTTTGTTTGCACACGCCTATGTCACTTACTGTGCCTTAATGAACATAGGCAAGGATTCTGAAGTAGGTCTACATGTTTGCAGCTAATTCTGACTAAATACAATATACAGTGTACTCCATAAGCATCACAAAAGTTATATAGGTTAGCAGCGACTGGTAAAGAGTTTAACGTAATCCATATACTCATTCATTGTGTAATTTCGAATATCTATATTGCTTATCACAGCTTTCATTTCATTGTTCTTACTACATATTAAAATATTTTAAACGATCGATAATTATGTTTAAACTCTTCTCTCCGGAATGCGATTTATTTTCAAATATCGTTATTAAGTAAAACTTTTCATAATACTCACCAGTTATCACAGGTCCAAGGGCTGTTCCAACAGCACAGAAAATGAGCTCCATACCAGTGGCTATTGATAAATACTTGATTCCTACTAATTTAATATTTATACTGTTCATTACTGCATAGCACCCGCCAAAATAGGCACCCAATAAAAGAGAATATACAACTAAACCCGTATATGTCCGAGAATAAAGGGGAAATAAAAAAGTTCCTAGTGCTAGTGAGCCGAATGATCCTGAATATAGAACTACTTCGTCGATATTCTTAGTCTCTGATATCATTGACGTCATCACCCGTGCTACGATTGTCGCAAACCCGCAAGATGAAATTAGAGCAGTTGCAGCTAGATGACTGTGCCCTTTAGTCATTGTAAAATGCGGCAGATGTAAAAATATCATATATGTTCCTATACTAAACAACATCAAACTGAGCGAGAAACAGACGATTAGTTTATTAGTATACACCTTTGCATAGTGTTTCATAAGCTGTCGTTTGGTAATTTTTTCTTCGTCTTCTGTCTGTATAGAATCTTGTCTGGCTAATTCTAATCTTGAAGGTTTACATAACACAGCAAAAAGACATTTGTGAAATCCAATTCCAGCCATTATTATAAAATATCCTGCGTTGCCATAGAAGTCACGTAGCACTTCCATAACAGGCGTAAGAATACAAGTGCCTACACCGACGCCTGATACTGCGATACCAAGAGCAGTGTTCCTCCATCGCCGGAAGTTGAATCCAACCACAACCATTGTCGCCGTGTAGCCAATACCGCCACCAAACCCTGTAAACATACGCATGCACGTTGTCTGTTTATTTGTGTTAACATTTATGATATGAAAATTCTTTGATAAACAAAAGTTATAACTATGATGCACTTTAATGTAGCCGCGGCCACCTCCCACGACGGAGGGCGGGACATTTGATTTTTAAACTCCTCCTCGGAGAAAGTCAGATTACAAAATCCCCATTTATCAGGACGAAAAGATCCCCATTTTTTTGGCGCCAAAACAAAACTTCTGGCCAGATTGGATGGACGGTAAGTAAAAACCGTTCTCATTTCCCTCATCCCCCACACAGTCAAAGCGATGGGGAAATATGCTACGATTGGGACAGGGTCTATAACATGAATAAATACGCGGCGTGACATTATAATGGAGCAGCGTTATATATTGTGTAATGTTCTCACTGCTACAAAACATACTACAGATATATTTCAAAAAACGCTGAAATCGAAAATATTCTAATAAATTTAAATATCTAGATATATAAATACGTTATCCATAATATAAATGGATGGCCAATGCAAGACCATATTCATTTCAACTTCCTTATTCCTTTATGGAAATAAGTCTATAAAATGTCGATAAATAATAAAGTAAAACATTATTCTTCTTTCCTCATTGATTTTTACCGACCAGGCAATAAACAGAGCACTACAGAATAATAGAAGACATCCGTTTACAGAAGCCTGAGTATACGTTAGACCAATAATACAGGATTTCAATTAATTAGAGCTATTGACTGCGACAACTTGTTAGATTACTCCATCAGAAATGGCGCATGCGTTTTAATTACAAAATCGTGACACGGAATCTCTGCACGCGATAACATGAATATTTTGTTAGTTTGAAGAATTAGAACTTCATGCTTTTTTATATTGGATTTCCATTTTGAAACGATTCTCATTACACAAACTCATGTGCACTGACCAAGCCACATAAGACCGGAAATTGCACCGGCACGTGTCGTTAATTAATAGAACCGTTATCTGCATTGTTTCAATGTGTAATCTATATACTTTTTAATCTGCTGAAATTCCGTTGACGATCTTTCGTCCAATAACTAAACAATAACATATTAGTTACTTTTGATTTTAACAAAACGTTGAGTGTAGTTGCTCTTAACCACGTGACCGATACTTTTAAATCTAACAAGTATTAGGTCTCTTACGTGAATCGTTGACTTGATTATTAAAAATTAGATAACAATTCAAACTTGCAGTACTTAACGCTGATAAAACAATCAAGAATGTTTGTATATTCTTAAAGCATACATGTATTTATAGCTTACCAGCTAATATTCCATATGTGAAGATAGACAAGGTTAAGTTCGGACTGAATGCCGTGGCTAGGCAACCGACGGTGGTAAGGAGCCCATCTATAAACATGGCGGATCTGCAGCTAAACTTGTCGATGATGATACTAGAAACTGGACCTGAAATAAATAATGGAACATAAAGCATGCAAGGAATAAATGGCTATTTATGAATGTTATATTAAAATGTGGATAATCTTGTCGCATAAGAGATATAATGAATGAACAGCATCGAAGTAGATTTTACGCTACAGGTTGTTCCCACAGCCAAATATCTGTTTGTATAAGAAAGTTTCATAGTTTTCAAATTTACTTTTGTAAATGATACCTTAAGATAATTATACTTCTTATGCTTTGATAATCGTCAATTCGGTCAGAATTTTAAAAATAATTATATATAACTTTATTATGTTAACAAACTCTTACTGCTGTTTGATATATCACTGCAGGTTTTTCAGCATATATTTTTCTGTATTCTACATCAATATCCGATGATAAATGATACGAGTAAAATGAATACTGCCGTATAGCTCAATGTCAATTTGAAGAAGTTTTTTTTAAACTCTTTTTTAATATCCATCATGAATGTATGATAAACTGATAATGAATATACAGTTACATTGTATCGTCATTTAAAAGAGTTTTTAATTATTTAGGTTTAATTCTTAAGATTTTTAGTTTTAAACACGGTCGTTTACCATAAGATTGTCCGCTGTTCTTTCAATAAGAAAAAAGATTGGACCTCAGTAGCATGTTTTAGTGATGTGATAAAAGGAATATTATATTCTTGTCTTTTTTTTTTGGTTGGGTTAACGTCGCACCAATACAGTATAGGCCATATATCGACTTTCCAGCTTTACTGGTTGAAAGAAGACCTCAGGTGCCCTTCCGTGCATTATTTCAGGCACAAACGGGCACTTGAGTAGAACGACAGACGTTCTGTAAGCCAGCTGGACAGTTTCCTAATTATATTCGTGTAGATTCACTAATTTATGTATCGACAAGTTGAAGCACTGCGATTTTCCTCCTCAAATATGACGTCAATTTACTGCATAACGTTATGTAAATTACATAGATCTACTACTCCATCAAATGTTGTTTGCGTTATTGCTGTCAATTTTTATTATTCAATAAGTTTTGAGGTCTATATAGAAATGACATGAGTCAAGCGATTTAGTTTAAACAGAATTAATTTTCGTTCGATTTTGTAGGAAGCTTTAAACTTATAGACACAGTATGGAACCAACCAGTACTGAGCAATGGTTGTAATGTTTCTTGCTTTGACTCTGACGGGGTTTGCACCTACTCGGCTAGCGTTCCTTAGATTACTAGTTCGACACAATAACCACCCGACCATGTCGCCACTTAGTCAAATGATTTGTTGCACACAGCGTTCTTGATGAAATTCGTGCGCAGCAATGTGAAATTTTACGAGAATAAGCCCAATATTAAAATCTATATACTAGACAAACCTGTATGAAATAGACGTTTTGTATATAACAGCCACCGGAAAATCTTTGCACCACCAGGATTGTGGCAGACTTCACTATCATTTATAAATAAGCTAAACACTTAAAATTCATTTCATTTGTTAGTTAAGTAGTAAATTATGAATAATTGAATTAAATTTACGCTATTTCAACTTTTTTTCGTATCGAAAATATCATTTTTTAAAATTTGTCCGGGCGGAATTTAGCCTATTCCGGCCGGATAAATGCTGTCCGGCCGGAAAAATGAAAATTCCGGCCGGACTTTTCTCCAGCAAAAAATTTTTTTTTCAATTGGATTTCTTATTTTTTCTGACTAATTAAATATGATATTTTATTGAATATTTTTATTTCTGTTAACTATCTGTCTATTTTTTACGAAAATATTCATCCAAAGAAAAAAATCAAATTTTGAAAGCTGGAAAAAAATCCGATCGGATTTTTTTGTGAAAATTCCAAAATTACATAAAAGCCACTTGAATTAATACCAAATTCTAGATTTCTAAAAATGTTAACATTTAAGACACTTAAATTAAAAGATTAAGTTTTTTTTCAAATTTGTAGAATCCAAATGGAATTGGTATGATACCTTCCTATCAATTTTCCATGCGTAATATATTTATCCATAATCAGGAAGTACTAGTGGTGAATGGAAGAAACGAAGTTGGAGGAAGTCAGACAAATAGTGAAATAAAAGAAACCTACTATTTTATGATATGTCTCTGAAAATGTAAATCATATAACGAATAGTTGACCACTTTGTATTCCTTATCTGCGTAATCATTATATTTTATGTGCGTTTCTAAGAATTCAAAAGATATTAAACAAAAAAAAAGAAAAAAGACATTTTACCGGTACACAATAAGATTTCGCAGTTATATGAACTGTGTTTGGTCATAAACCAGGCACTATGACAACTTATGCAATTTAGTAACTTAGAAATAAAACATAGGTATATATTCGAATTTCAGATATTGTTATATAAAATGATTATTTTCTCTACTTGAACAAATGTATAACAAGTATAATAACAGACGACATAGATAAAATTCTTATTTAAGAGTTCCGGAAATGACCAGTTCCCGAAAGCAAAATAAACCAATAATTTCTGGAAATGAATTAAGGTCATAAAGATATTCTAGTTTATGATTTCATCAATAGATAAGTCATCAAAAATGATTTATCAGTAATCTTTTATGACCCATTCACTTAGATACAGCATTATTGTCCCAGAATATTTTTTTTTATTTACCAATGCTCAATAGAAAGACCGAGGAAATTGATGGCGTAAAAAGTCAAATGAACGCCTGCCATCCATTACTCTGACAATGAGCATCGATTGCATTGTTAAGTGACAGAAAATTCTACTCAGGGAATGCTTGCTTCGTGCCAATTTTTCTTTATATAGTGACACTTTGACTGCTTTCTTTGCATTCATGAATGTAAGTTTTACGAATTTACGATCCCATATAAATGCCAAACCATAAAACCGACTTTGCTTTTTTATGTATAGAATTTGGCACTTCCCGTTCTTAAATAGTACAGTGATTATTATTTTCAGACATCTTTGTTTTAACACTCTCAATATATGATTAAAACAATAAAAACGTGATTTACTGTTCTTTTAAAACTGTTTGTAGCATTTCTCAAGTTATTCCTTTACACCATTTAAGCCCTTTATAACAAGCTGGCTGCAAACGATTGCACACCAGAGTGGACCATGATCCATGCCGTCTAGTCATGGCCTGCACTGTGCCTATTCAGTCAGTTCTAGTTTTGAATTTTGTCCGACAAGACCATTTAAGATATTTAGCGGGTCAATGATCAATGTAAACCATTGTTCAGTCAGTGACATGATAATGTAAAAAAAACTGGAATACAAATTGATATACAGACACTTGCAAGAAATATTGTGCAATGTTTATTACATTTGTACAGTTTAGACCAGAACCAACTAATTTGCAAATGGAGTCGAAAGGCAATCATTAAAATGCAAGTCTAAGATTTCGTTAAAATGTAGATTTTGACACACTTTTTATCTATTTAAATCAACTGACCTCCTAAGGACACCAAGGCTGCATACAAACTTCCAGCCCAGGCTGTTGAGGCCGACTTTCCAGAGAATTCATCCAGTAAAACAGCGTGAACCATTCCAATACCGTACAAAAACAGTCCGAATATCATAAAATATCCGAATGATGAAATGAGTACAACCCATGACCATCCTCTATCCAACTCCTCCATTTGCGACATCATCGGTGTCATGGCGATAAGAGAAATATGTCACGTGCCCTGAAATCATAGAAAATGACTATACAGTACAAACAAACAAACAAACAAACAAACAAACAAACAAACAAACAAACAAACAAACAAACAAACAAACAAAACTTCATCAGGATGAAGATTAAAATGAACAAATACACACATCTCTTTAAGCAATGCAATATAATGAGTAAGTTGTAAAAACTTATTACATAATTCTGCATTAAATCTTTTAATGGAAATAGCACGATTATTTCATGAGCGCGAACGAATAATATCCTGTTTGATTACGAGTTTCCTGTCATTGATTGATATTTAATAACATGCATAGTAAACATGTGTTTGTTAGACAAGAACTTCAATGCAATATTAACTATTTGCTATTAAATGATATTTTCCATGGTCGTTATTAGAAATAACAACGTAGGGCTTTGACATTTAAGACAGTTATTTTGAACTAGAAATTCAAATATAGCAATTGTAGAGCTGTAGGACTTTGACATCCTAAAAGTTCGTATCTGCCTTACGTCATACCGAGGCTGCTTAGATGTTGTAAAACTTAAAAATAAAGCGTAAAGTCAAACTTGTAACTTTGAGACAAAATTGCTTAAAAAAGTAAAAAGATATCAACTTTACTGGAGGCAAAACATTTTCTGGAGAGTTTAATTCCTTTTTTTAAGGAAATATTTTTATTCCAAAATATACAAAATATGATTGCATGTTACTCTTGGAAATTATATTTTAAAACAAAATTCAACCAAATAAAAAGCCTTGAGCATCGATTGTATTATATTTGTAGAATATCTTGTTCTTTATTGAATATGTTTCATTGTCATTTTTTTAGACGATAAGCAATGAACCTCCCGTGGCGTGCAAAATAATTATCATATAATCGAAGCCGGAGTTTCAAAGAGGTATGTGACGTTGCAGTGGAGAAAGCCGTGAAATCTGATTAACTCGTTTAATTTAACCCGTCAAGATTTATGGAAGTGAAGCAGGAAAAAGATATAATCAGCTTTATATCCATTCATACCAACCCTTAACCAGCCCACTTTACATCATGTATTTGTCCTGCTTTCATTTGTAGGCTTTTTTATACTATAATTAGCTGTTCCGTACATCAAGTTAAGCATTTTCTCTTCTCTTTAAAGGATATAAAGCTAAATCAAATGAAATACTTTTTATAAATATTATACATAAACAGAATAAAATGATTTAACCGATCACCACTTATTTCGTGTAAGCGTCAATTGCTTTTAAGGAATGTACAAACATATTTTTCGCTTTTACATAATTATTCTTTTTTAAAATTCAAACAATTATTTTTTACTAGATGCAGCAGAATGATAGCTTTTTACACTATAAAGACTGATATTTTATTTTTACAAATATCGTCCCGAAGAATCTTAATTGTTTCATTGATTACTAGTAATCGTTAGAAATGACAAATGTTGGTATTAAAATTGACTATAAGCAACATATTCATTTGCTATTAGGCAATTAACAATTCAACTGAAATGGTTTAATCATTATCATGGTCTAAAAATCATTCGTATCTCGTTGATATTGTTATTATGATTAACTAACATTGGTAGTCAATATGAATCTTCCAACGATTGATTCTACTAGAACTGATCAACATGTACAAAACGATCGATTATGAAATAATGATGACAAATAACCACCACGTTTCTTCTACCGTTTTAATTAGATTATTTTGACTGATTTAAAATTATGATAAAAGTTAATAACAATTTTACTCTGCCAAAACTTTGTTAAACTACCCTTCTAGGATGTAGAAATGTTTGAAAATACATTAAATACATTTATTGTTGTCAAATTATGTATAGCATACTAGAAAAACAATTGATGTTAAAAACAGCAAGAAAAATATTGATTCCACCGATCATTTTGTTTGAGCATTTGACACCCATATTCACATACTGTGCATAAATTTATCATCAATTATATCTGGGAAATATGATACCTCAGTTTAGTATTAGTTGTACTTACTGCAATAATCAAAGTGTTTAATTACATATCATAAGACAAGTAAAGGACCGTCTTAGAAGTTTGAAATATTGGCATTAAAGCTGTTATATTTTCCACTTAAAAAATCATCATAGAAATTCTACCCCTGTTACAAAATACGAAAGCACAGGAAATAAAATAAGCAAGTTTGATGATCTTTATTCCATATTTTTTTTTATAAATTTTATGAACACAATTCCTTGCACTTTATCAAAAAGGTCTACAACATCCGTTTCATCATACTTTTTCAGCTCACTTCCAATTTTCTTTTCAGTGAATAAAAGCAATAAAGATTTTTTTGTGATAAATGTTTCTTTAAATCAACAAAATGAAATACTTTTTATCTCATGGCAACAAAGAATTAAGAATATCTGGTAATCGATCGAGACAAGAACCTCAAAACAACGGGAACTTGCGAGAAGACAAATCAGCTAAAATAACTATGATTGTAAATGGGTAACATAGACTATTGGTATTCGTAATTATCAGACAGCAACTTATAAGAAAATCTGAGAATCGACAAAAAAAAAACAACAAAAAAACCAGCACGTACCACAGTAAAATGTTTGCATTGTTAGACTGTCCATGAACTAATACCACCTTTCTATTATTTGTAGCAACATGCCCTCTACAAGCATTCACAACTGTTAAAAAAGCAATTATAGCCTTTTACTTTGTGTAATTGATGAATGTTTTTTAGACAGACTTTGTTCGAAAAAACATTATCACTTGTACCCAGACCAATATCTTGTATCTGAAACAAGGTCAAGCATCAGTTATAGCTGCAGATAAATTTTGCCAGACATCTTGTCGCGGCTTTTTACATTAAACTATCCCGGTAACTTTGTACGTATTGTCAACATTTCGAGTATTTCAAGCTTTATTTTTTACAAACGATTATATTGTTTTTTAGGGGTGAAATTGCATTTTCGGTTGCTTGAAGGACAACATTTAATTTGTTTTGTAAAACTGATGGAATGTAACAATTGTTGGGCAGTTCTATAGGTAAAAATAACATTTTAAAGTGGTAGTTTTTATGATTAGATGTAAATATTTTTGACAAATTATATGACAAAAATAATCATTTTTATGCAAAAATCAATTAAACGTTTATCCGAGGTCTAATTTATAACACTTCATTCCTTTGAAATATAAGCAGCCGTGTATACCGGAAATATAAATGTAACGATTCTCCAATGAAAATCGACGCTATTAGACGCGAAGCATTTTAAGTTTGCTTTCTAGTAGTAGCCCTAAGTGAATGTTCACAAGAAAATACGTGAAACTGGCCGTCTGATAAATGTCTTTAACGACGAAGTCATTAAAGAAACTTAAAGGTAGACTAGGTCAAATATACAGCCAATTTCAAGTAAACAGAAACAGAAATAAGATTTTATACATAATTATATAAAGAAGACATATATTTTAAATTGTTGACGTGACAAACAACCAGACAAAAAAAAGTAAAAAAACTTGATGAAACACATTTTAGTTTCTTCTCTGAAATTTTCTGTAAACTTAAAGTTCATTGACATTTTAAATAGCAGCTAAACACAAATCAATAACTTTTCTGTCTGCTACGTGTCTTCATAATGGGACAAATGTACGGGAATTATCGTGCGTTTGACTTTCTTACATAATTTGTTTTTGTTCCCATACCACCAAGACGGAAGTATTGAAGCAAGTACACACTGTCATCGTAACATCACTTTCTTTATAAGTAGCATTTTTGAAAGCAGTCAACATCTGACTTGTAAACTTAAAATTCAAACTACGAAATTGCGTTACTAGGTAGACTTGTAATTTGTTCCTTGTAATCAAATAAAATGATATTTCTCTGATTTTTTTGTACGTACACACAGCAATAGCTTAACAAATATCAGTTAAAATCTTTAACAGGTCTGTTGAGTATTTTGTATATAAACGCTGTTGACAAGGACTTATTGGGGACAGCCCTAGTATAATATTATATAGTAAAGCGTAATACAATGTAATTTCAAATATATCAAAAATCAAAATCAAACCGTACTATATTATAACTTTTAACATATCAACTTGATCATCAAACATGTACTACACTGTAATAATTTCAAACATGTCACAAGTCTTATAATACAATGTAATAATTTTATGCAGAACATGAAAGAACCACTTTTTAATGTCCTTTTTTAAAATACTTTTTATATATGTTCTTTTTTGTTCAGAGGGATGTTATTATTTTCTGTTATTTTTGTGACTCGAATTCTTGAATAAGATTGAACTATGTGAGTTAGATATCAAGGCTCATAGTTTCCTTTGATTTTGGTCATAGTATTCTATTTTCCGGAGTAGTAAATGTCTTAAAAGTGCCTGTACTAGAATTCTCAGTTATGCTATTTACATCACTGTCAATATTGCCTTATAACATAACGAAATTAATTCGTAATTCATACCACACATACACTCATAATCAAGTATAAAAACCACCACTTACATCAGTTTTATACTAAAAGTGGAATAACTACATTAGATTTGTAAATTTCAATCTTTTTTATGAGAGAGTATTAAGTTACAAGAAAACCATCATGTCTTACAATTCAATATTATAGTTATCTTATAAGAGCATAAAAAATCTGCCAGAAGCTTTAAACAAGTCTAATTAAAGAAGTTGATTTATTGTTGGACTGTTTTATTGATCATTGGAGACATAGCCATTAATGTTTGATAGAAAAACATCACGAAACTATCTGACAGTGGGAAGAACTATCAAAGTCTAGATTTGTAGTAATCATGTGTTTGGAAAAGAAATACGACATGCCGGCAATTGGGATATTCTCGTTATTTTCTTATACTTTTGTCAGGTTTCTTTTTATATGATTCTTTACTTCATCATTAAAGTAATTATGCGACTCTTATCGATTGGGAAGTTCAACGAAAGACTGACGGAAAGATGCTTGATGTGGATGGAGATAAAACTTCAGAACATAATGTATACAATAGTTTAGAAAGACTAATAT